TTAGATTCAAATTTAGTATGAAATAATTTTTTTTGGCTGTTTTTAATAAAGAAATAGATATTGTATTTGCTAGGAAAATAAATTATGATGATTTAAATGTTTATCTGGTATTGGGGAATTGTAATACCTCATTTAAACTTTCATATGAAGTATCTACTTAAACTTTGACAAATGCTTTAAAATTGGATAATATTTAATTAGCTTTTGAGATAAGTGATGATACTAAACTTAAGAAAACTTTATACTTGTCGTTTGAGTTGAATTTGTTTTCTCATAATGATTTTAGAATAGAATTCGAAATAGATCTTTTAGAGAAAACAAAACAATTTGAATTTAATTTTAATTTAGAACAAAATTTACATAAGTTTCTAGAAATTTTGAATTCTTATTATGATTTTAAGTTACCTATTTTTTCTAGTGATTTTAAAAATAAGTATTTGGATCTTTCATGTACTTTAAAACTTAGTAAGACATATTCCTTTTAGAGTTTAATACTTGAATGTAAGAAAAATTTATCCATCAGAAATGGTATCACATAATTTAAATAAATTACTCTAATATTGGAAATCAAATCAAAATCCACATAATTAAGCTTGTAATTTGATGTAAATATTTTTGAAATTCCATTTACTCTTTAATATGATTAAGGAAAAAAAAAATTCACTTTTTAGAACAATAGCATTTTCTCTCTAAGAGGAACGGACATATTTTCTTATATTTAGAAAAAAGATGGAGCCCAGTTAAAGGAAGAGAAGGAATATGACAGATTTGACATTTCAAGATAGGAACTATAAATAACTGATTTAATTTTTCAAAACGACAAAATATTTGTTACACTAAAAGAACCATATCATAATATCAATCTTTATTTTAGAGATCATTATCATTCAGCGATTTTCTAATATTCATTTGATAATCATAGGAAGTTTAAGGATATATTTAATTATTTATGTGAATTTGATTATTCTTTTAAATTAAAAAAAGCAGATTGCTTATTTATATATACTAATTAAAATGGAAATTTTATTTTCAAGGAATTATAGGAAAATACAAATTATGTAAATTACTTGAAACTTATTGAAAAGGGAGAAATAAATAAGCGAGAATTTAGTTGGTTTGCAAATTGTAGAGCTCAAATAAAATAAGAGCTCAAAATTATTTTGTTTTTTCTCCCATAAGAATTCGATTTATAAATATAATATTAGAATCTAAAGGAACTTAAGGCTCAAAGTCCAGAATTTTCCTTTGAAAATGCAAATTTAAAATGTTCATTTCAATTGAAATCAGAAACTCTTCCAAGTTATAAAATTTATCTTCAATTGACATAATTTTATAAAGATTTTGGAAGCCTAACATATAAAGGTAATATTTAGTTCGGATAAGAATCATAAGAAGGTCATTTTGAGCTTGTTTATAATAAGGCTTTTCGAATAGTTGGGATGAGCTTTAATGGAAAATGTTAATTTAAAGTAAAAAATTAATAGATAACTGAATTTTTAGGAAATTTAACTGGGGAAGTCTATAAAAATAAGGTAAATCTCATTCTTTTTAATTATTATCACTTTATTCCAAAAACATGGGTAGTTGAAATTTCTAACTCAAATCTATAAAATTCAATGGAGATATTTTGTATGGAAAAAATTTTTCCAGAAAATTTTTTTGATTTCTTTACGAAAACAGAAAGAATATTATTTTTCAATGGGGAAATCGATTTAGATCTTACTAATCCAATTTTTCCTAAAGAAATAATGCACAAGTTAAAGGATACTAAATTTCATACACTTTTGTAAAAATTTGATAAATTAAAATTTTCCAATTTTAAAATTGAATTATAGGATTTAGAGGAAACTTCATTATCGTGGAAAAAATATAAACCTGTTTTCATATTTATAGAAGACTAAGAAGGAAATTAAAATTTTGCAACATCTAGTACTCTATTATTCAACAATGGAGATATATATATTGGGAAAGGTTGGGCTAAATTTACAATAACTTGTATTGATTTTGATATCAGTTTAAATTACAATATTGATGTGAAAAATAGTTGCTTTGATTTAACAGCGAAATTATCGGCTAAAATCTTTGATAATATTCCTTTTACTACATGTTCAAAATACATATTAGGGAAAGGTTTTCCTTTAAGTTGTGATTTCTAATGGGATAGAAAATATTGCAAACTATGTTTAGAACTATAACTATTTAGACCAAGAATAAAAGGTAGTTTGGAATTCGATAAAACTTCCTGGCTTCAACTTGATCTTAAATTGATTCAAATCAAATATATAGGAATTGAATTTATTGGTGATGTAATTTTTGGAGTTGCTGCACATTTTATAATTTCATTTTCATTTTGTTAAAATGAAGAGCATAAGAGTAGGAAGCCAATTTCTTGGAATGCGTAATTAATTATAAATGGAGTAAATCTAATAAGAGATGTTTTTAAAAAATTTTCGAAATTATTTGATGATGGATTTTTAAAAAAATTAAAAAGATTTGGAATAACGTTGAAACATGATGATTATGAAGTTAAAAAAATGATTTGTAACAAATAAAAAGAAATTAAGGAGCTAATGAAAGAGATTGATGTTGATGTTTCTGGGGATATTGAAAAAATACAAGTAGAAGTCGAAAAATATGAAAAAGAAATAAAAGAAGAATAAGAAAAAAAAAAAATCTTAAAAGAGAAAATATGTGAAAAAGCTTAAAAAGATGAAAATAAGGAATCTAAATAAGACAAATAAGAATAAAAGGAAAAGTAACATTAATAAAATAAAAAGTAATAAGAATATGAAGTAGATGGGAATGAAAAAAATAAAAATAAAAAAGATTAAAATAAATCCAAATAATATAATCATGACCAGACAAAAAATTAAAATTTAACAAATTATAATGATTTGGAGAAAGTATATAAGAAAGAAAATTCTAATGAAAATAACAAAAAAGGATATGATTATAGATAAAATATGAATAAAAATTCATAAGCATAGGAGATAAGTGAAGAAAAAATTGAATAAAAATAATAAGAATAATAATTACAAACAAAAAAAACTAACAATTAAAATACACAATCATCAAATACGAACAATGGATAATAGACATCATAATCATCAAATACTAATGTTGGATAATAGACATCATAATCATCAAATACTAATAATGGATAGTAGACATCATAATCATCAAGTACTAATAATGGATAATAGACATCATAATCATCAAATACTAAAAATGGATAATAGACATCATAATCATCAAATACCTATATTGGATAGTAGACATCATAATCATCAAATACTAATAATGGATAGTAGACATCATAATCATCAAATACTAAAAATGGATAATAGACATCATAATCATCAAATACTAATAATGGATAGTAGACATCATAATCATCAAATACTAATAATGGATAGTAGACATCATAATCATCAAATACTAATAATGGATAGTAGACATCATAATCATCAAATACTAATAATGGATAGTAGACATCATAATCATCAAATACTAATAATGGATAGTAGACATCATAATCATCAAATACTAATAATGGATAATAGACATCATAATCATCAAATACTAATAATGGATAATAGACATCATAGTCATCAAATACTAATATTGGATAATAGACATCATAATCATCAAATACTAATAATGGATAATAGACATCATAATCATCAAATACTAATAATGGATAATAGACATCATAATCATCAAATACTAATAATGGATAATAGACATCATAATCATCAAATACCTATATTGGATAGTAGACATCATAATCATCAAATACTAATAATGGATAGTAGACATCATAATCATCAAATACTAATAATGGATAATAGACATCATAATCATCAAATACCTATATTGGATAGTAGACATCATAATCATCAAATACTAATAATGGATAATAGACATCATAATCATCAAATACTAATAATGGATAATAGACATCATAATCATCAAATACTAATAATGGATAATAGACATCATAATCATCAAATACCTATATTGGATAGTAGACATCATAATCATCAAATACTAATAATGGATAGTAGACATCATAATCATCAAATACTAAAAATGGGATAATAGACATCATAATCATCAAATACTAATAATGGATAATAGACATCATAATCATCAAATACTAATAATGGATAATAGACATCATAGTCATCAAATACTAATATTGGATAATAGACATCATAATCATCAAATACTAATAATGGATAATAGACATCATAATCATCAAATACTAATGATGCCTAATAGTCATAATAATCGTCAGATACTAAAAATGGTTAATAGACAGCCTCACTATAATCATAAATTTCAAATACTGATAAATAAACATAACCATTTGCAAATACTAATTCTAAATAATTAATAATTCAACAATCAATTTCTAATAATGAATAATAGCAAATATAAATATATACAACTTCTACTAGTTTGCATAATTAAACAGATTCCTATCGGAATGTTAATTAATAAAATAACTAAAAACTAACAAACTCAATTACTTTAAATATGAATAATATTAAAAAATATTTTTTTGATGATTATTTGGATTCAAATATTTATTTAAAAACTAAAGTTACCAAATCTAATAGTAAAATTTATAATACTTTGTAACCTCAAAAATTTAAATAATAATCAGAGGTTTTTACAAACATAAACTACACTGATTATAATAAATTAATTATTTAAGCAGAGTAAAAACTTTATGAAGAATGGTTGGATTCCTAAGAAATCTGGAACATTATCAAAAAATTTACTTTTAGAATTATAATTACAGAGTAATAATTAGAGTAGCAATATTTTTAACATTTAGGATTATTGTTATTACAATTTTCTTTTCTTAATTTGACTTATGATATCATCTTATCAGGATAGTTCAAAGCGATATTTTTAAAACAAAAATAGGATTATTTATCTGTAAATCTTCTAGATTCAATTTTACATGCTGTAAATGGTAAATGCAAAAAGGATTTTATTATAGTTGATGAAGAAATTTAGCACAAAAATGATTTTATATTATTATTTACAAAATAATTATTGGAAATGTCAAATAAATGTAAAGAGGAATTATTAGATGAAGGGTTTACTTCAATTATTCAAATATAGGACAAATTTGATTATAATATTATCAACATTGAAAATGGTCAAACAATCAGTAATTCAAAAAATTTAATAGAATTGTTAAATCAAATTGTAGAGAATTAAAAAATAAGGACAGAAAAAATAGTCTAAAAATTGTTGGACGAGGCAGAAGAAATTAAAAAAACTTCTGAATTTGAATCCCAACTTGACTCTAAAGAAGCAAATGATATTAAAGCATTGCTGGAAGTAAGTAAATTTACGAAGTATTCTTTATCTTCAAAAGGAACTACAATAGATATAAAAGGCATCATCAAATTCTTTTGCACAAATGGAACTGCTAGGGATATAATGAAGAAAAAAAATAAAGGAGGAAAGTCTTTTTATCTTTTTTAGATTGTTTTAGATTTAAGTTAGATTGAAAAGGAAACCCTATAATAAATTCTATTACCATTTTTATTTTAATTTATCGAAATATGTAAGTAATGTTCACTTGTATGCAATTTAATGATTTTAAATCATACTCAAAATATTATCAAGTAAAATTTTTCTACTTCCTGGACTGATTAGGAATAAACCTTATTAATATAAAGCCTAATTGATTAATGTAATAAGGTGCCATTAAATGATAATCACAATAAATTTTAGTTAGTACTTGATCAATTTGAAAGATTTAGCCAATATAAAAAATATTTGATTTTTATTAATCACTCTTTTTATAACTATCCATTTCATAAACTTTAAATACAACTAAATATGGCTTAGCAAATGCAAATAAAAGTAGTTTCGTTGGGACTTGATATAAAAAAATATATCAATCGTTCAGTAGATGGTGTTATTCAATATCCCCTCATTCAATCAAATAATGCAAACCTAATTATAACAAATTTGCTGTAGAAAGTATATGAGGGTGTGGATGTTGATGGGTCCTTTGAGTTCTTTGAAAATATTGAAAAATATCCAAAGACACTCGATCTTTAGGAAATTACTTCAGAAGATAAATAAAGTAATTGCTATTTGAATAAATATTTCAATTATGTAAAATGTGAAGATTCCAATAAAGATTCCGATTAAGATTAATAATTAGTTAGACTTAACAAATTAGATTTGTTGTTAAACTTGCTAGTTAAGTTCAAAGAATTTCAAGATTGTTTTATAAAATAATAGAGTGATTCTCTAAAATAATTGGGTTAGAATACATGAAATATATTATTTACAATATTAATCATCCATCTAATTATTTTAGTTATCTGGAAAATTAATTTATAAAAATACTTTTTTTCAAACTTAATTAATTTAATATATTTATAAGAATGAACTTTTCTTATTTTTCTAATTAGTGAATTAGTTGTAAATAAATTAAAAGATTCTTTATTTATAATACAAAATCTTAGAACATGTAATAATGTTTATAAGCTTCAAATAATATTTAAATTACCATGTCATTTATTTTTTTACAAATTCAATTTTAATTTATTTTTCTGATTTATAGACAACACAAAAAATCACGACCATTTACTTAATTCAATTTATCCAAATAAAACTAGATGTGTCTTTTATGTTAAAAATATCCTACTCATTTCTATTTAGTTTTCTTTAGGTGCTTACATCTATTTACAGTTTAATCTATATTTCATTCTTAGCATTCCATAGCAACCATGAAATTATTTAGGTTTTTAAAGATTCTATAAGATAAGAGTAATGAAAAACTTATAGAAATTGACTCCTTTATGTTGATTATAATTTCATTATTATTATCGGCTTATCATTTAGGTAAAATTGTAGACGGTATTCCAAATCCAAAAATCCTTAGATTGTTGTTGCTATTTTGATATTAATTTATGGAGTTAAATCATCTATTGCTAGAAATTATCAAAGCATTATAATATGAAATTAAAAAATTTTCTTTGAGGAATTTTAAATACAAAAAATCCTAATTACGCATGAGATATTTATGTTACTCATGATAGAGCATCTTTAGTTGACACTCATTTTGATCTGAATAATTCTCCAGTACGATGGCACTTTTTTAGATATAATTGTTAAAAATAATATATATTGATTTAAAATTATAAATTAAATCATAATTATTATCTTATATTAATATCATATTATAATGGTTACATCAAATTTATTTTATTCTAATGCTTTCACCAAATTTGAATGTTCAGCCTTTGTAAAAGTTGATGAGCATTAACTCAAATCTATTAAAATTACTTTAGATTCTCCGTTTTTTAGATTTACTAAGCTTTAATATAATCCTGCCTTATTAAATTCACATCTTTTCAAATTCATTTTAAGAGTTTTAAGGGTGTTAAATGGAAATTATTAAAAATCTAATCTTATATTTTCAAAAGTGATATCCAAAACTTCCAATTTGCTTTTTATGTTATCAGAAAAGTTAAAGCTCTGCATTATGGCATTATTATTAATGGATAACTGGAAAATCTTCATTTCTTTGAAATTTCCAAATAATTATGAACACTATTCTAAATTTAAGTTACCTGCAATTTCAAAATAGAATTATTCAAAATCGTACCTATCTAATTCTAAAAAATCTTTGTTTACATCTAAACTTTTTTGCTAAACAACTTAAGCACTATCTTTGTACTATTAAATTATCTAGAAATAAGAATAAGAGAAGGCTTTAAGAGTAGCTTTTCTTTCAACACAAAAGGGCATTTTTATTTCTTCTGTTGCTTCAACTTAGATTTGTAAAAATTGTAATTATGGGGGACAACATTTAATAAAGGCATTAATATGAGGAAGATCAAGAGGGTTTACTTCATCTAAATTGAAATTGAGCTTCAATTAATAAATTGGACTAACTTTTAAGCATCTGACAAAATCATTTATTTCAGGTCCCATGCAAAATAATCTTTATGCTTTATCTATTTCTAAGATATTTTGTATAGAAGCAAGAACATACCTAAACTAGGCCAGTATCTTCTCTTTTTTTTTCTCTTTGTAATTTGAAAAATCCATGTGTTCCATGTTAATTTTAAAAGTACATTTTTCTTTTAAATATTTTTCATCAACTTTCGACATGATTTAGAAGGATTTAGGATATTCTAACAAAAACTAATTTGATATTGAACTCAAATACAACATGGATTAGAAGAATTATTCGACAGAAACCGTACTTAAAATTAGTGCTGGTATAAAGAAATCTTTAATAACAACTTCTAATATATCTTTGACTGCCAAAACACCCTCCTTTATCTGCTGGAAAAAAGACATTGCCCACACTGCAGTTAAACCAGTAGATGATAATGCTAAAATATAGATAAAGAATTAAGGAATCTTATTCAAAGCTTCTTCGACACTAGTTCTCCACATAACTGCCTAATAAAATGGTAATTATTTTATTGCCAAAATGCTCTTAGAATCAACCTAAACAGTTTCATACTAAAATACTGAAATAGGAAGACTACCTTAGAATTTAGAGGCATAGCTTTTAAATTTTATATATCCTTCAGCACTAAACTTTCTCTCTAAAGTAGAAAAAAATTTCTTTGAGAAAAAATACATTGCAATCATCACAATATCCCAAACTTTTAAGAAGTTAAAAATAGCAAAAAGTAGAACATTCTAAATTTATTTTTAAATATTTAAAGTCTTAAACACTCTATGTTGAAACACCATAAAGGATAACATCTGCATAACAGGAATGATAACAGTTAATACAATTAATGCAGATTAAAATTTATCTGGATCATCTCCTATGTAAACAAGTGAGACTATCTGCAAACCCCCATTCAAAAATGACTATAAAGATTACATGGTAGCCTAATATTAATTCATTTGGCCCCAGGTTTCGAAATAGTTAATATAAGTCATCAAACATTTAAAATATCCTAAGCTTTCCTCCAAGATTTCCTTTTTAGATATATTTTGAAATTGAATTTTTGCTTCTGTAGCGATATCAATTTAAGTTTCTTATCTATCAGTCTAAGCAATGTTAATTTAACTTTATATTGTGCCTGTTCCATATGATCTAGAATTTAATCTGACTGATTTCCTTAAATGATCGGGTATCAATTTAATAAAATGATAACTCATTTCAATATATTCTCTCATAGCTTTTTAGTTTTATGCTACTGCTTACCAACCAGCATTAATCTTTGGATTTTCAATAAATTGAATTTCTTGAATTTTTTATTCTTCTGCATTGGCATCTATTTTATCTGTATCCCATAATTAATCAACATTTTAGTCTTGCATTAGTTCAATCTTTATTTTTGGAAATTGTTATGGTTTAAAAGTATCTTACAACATTTTTAATTTGTTTGCGTCTTTATATTATAGGCTAATGTTTTCTACTTAAATCAATTTAAAACAATTTGCTAAATATTACAACGTAACTTCATCATATTAATCAATATATAAAAATTATACATTTTAGAATTTCTTATATCTAGTCAAGAATGTGATAATTTAAACTATGCATCGTTTCTTTTGATAAGAGCTAAATGTAGTTGGATCAATGTGAAAATAAAAAGATTTAACAAATCCCAGATATTTTTTATCCGACTTTAATAATTGTTTAGTTTCTTAAATGAACTTTAATTTTATTTTCTTCAATTTAAATTGAAGCTCTGTTTGTATCTATCTATAAGTTGTTGTGAAAACAATAAATTGCAATTCCAAAAGGTAATAGATTAAATTACTTATTAGCAATAAATAACTAAAAACATTGAAGCCATCCCATTCATGTTCTGTATTGTAGAAGCCTTGGATAAAGAGTTAAGGGAATGTTTGAAGACACATTGTTATCATCATGGAAAGAAGAGCAATCCTATGGAAAATTAAATCTCTAAAGATATTGACTGGTTTTGTTCTGTGTTTGAAAAGCATACAAGGATTTCTAAATTTATCTTCTCCATCTAAAATCAAGTATTTATTTATTTAACTGAAAGAAAACTACGTGATTGATTGGTCTCTGTTGTAATAATAGATAAATGGAGCTATTTTAAAAAAGCTTAATCCTCCCATAAACATGTAAAAGATATAATAAGAAATTTCTATAAACAAACTCTTTTTGGCAACTTATCTGAATTTATATGTATACATCCAGGTTGCACTGTGAAGTAAAGCACAGCCAATAATAGAGATATGGTAGCAACCCAAATAAAATACTTCATTATCAGGAATGTTATTATAGGACTTGTAGCTTAAAGTAAAAATTAGTTCAAGGACATTTAAAATGTAAATAAATACTTGAAGTCCTATTTTAGCATAATATTTATATATGCTCGAGCTTCTCTTAACTTCTAGGTAGCGAGATTCTATAAACTCCTGGAATTCACTATACAATTTCTTCTCTTGGTGGGTTTCCCAATTTAAAACAGGATCAGGGCGAGGTTTAAGACAAGCAAATTTTGGTGGAGCCTCTTAATTAGCAATCTTAACCTCCTAACTTTGCTCTTATCGACTGGTCTCAGGTTAAATCAAAGACTACTGAGTTTACAATGTCATCAATACGTATGTTTTTGTATCATTTGGATTCTTCAATTTGGTAGTCTGATCTGGGCCACCTTTTCTTGCCTAGGGTTATTATTAGTTCTGTTTTTCTTGTTGTCCCTAAGGTATTTTTTGGCTTCCTTGAATTTATGCCTAAGGCTGGGGTTGCATGTCCAAATTTTTTGAATTTCTTTAAGTTTGCTTGATTTGTGACATCAGTTTATTTTTGTTTAATAAAAAAGCAATAAATCTTTAAGACTTTAATTTCACTTTCAGAAATTCAACAGAAAAAACAGAATCTTTTGTTAATTGATATGCTTTAAAATGATTATTTAATGTAGGACTTATCAGCTAAGCAAATTAATTAACAATTCCATTATACAAAAATAATTAATTCTTAATAATCACAATTAATTTTGTTGCATTAATAAATAATTTAGAAATAAATTTGAGAAGTGATTTCAATTTTAAAGACAAAGTTTTTTAATACAATGCAATAGGTTTTCATAAAAATAGGGTTTTAATATACTAAAATGGAGCAAATTGATTTAAAATAATATTTCAAAAAACATATATATATTTAATTTTATAAAATTATAAAAAATATTAATACATGACTATTATCAAAATTCTGAGAATTTAAATTAAATCTTTCAAATGTGTTATTATTTATTTTGATTTTATAATTAACAGAACCCTTAGGTGGTAATATTTGAACTTGATATGCTTTAAATTATTTCAGATTCAAAAATTGATTCTTACTATTAATAGGGCAGTTATGATAAAATAAAGAGTGTTAATTTTGGGAAAACAAAGTGGAAATCATTATATAAATAGTAGTTAAATACTTCAACATTATTTGAAATTTATTGTTTAAGTTATTACCTTATATTAACATGCAACCTATTTATTCTTTTCAACTACTAATTTTGATTAATTATGATATTGTAAGAGAAAATGCAAAGAAAGTAGAACTATTTTATTAATTTATTAAATACAATTCAGTTCAAGAAAAATAATAGGATTTGTGTATATATTGAATTTGAGATAATATTGGGGTAAAGTCAAAGAAGTATTTTTGCAATCTAATTTAGAATTACATAATACAATAATTTTTTTCAAAATATAGTAAAAAATTTCAATCAAATTTTCTAAATTCACTATGATTTATTATCTCAATAATTAATCAAATCTCTCAAGATTCCTCTCATTTCCTTCTCATCATAATGATACAAAGATGAATTTGAAAATTGAGCTTTATGGCAAATTTTCATAAAACAACAAACATGATATCCACATGAGTAACCATCATTTTATGAACCAGAGTTTCCATTTATGCTTTATTATGGATTTTGTACCATTAATAACTCTGAGAGTTTTGTGATTAAGTTTTGATAAGCATTTAAATTTGGTTTCAAAGAATTAAAAATTTCTACTTTGTTTTCTTCTAAATCAAACAATAAAAAAAACCAATGGCTGTTTGAAACAACAGGGAAACCAATTTTGGAATAAATAGTTTAAATCTTATATTTTACTTCTTATAACTCTAGAAAGTGCTTTTGAAATAAATCATTGCCTTGTTAAATGTTGTTTAATCTACTAATATTTGTGGTTAAACTACTAGTAACAAAGTAGATTCTCTTTATTTATCGTCTTTTATCTTAAGATAAGTTAAAATATTCTTCTTCGCTTTTTTTGTTAAGTGATAAAACATAGCAATCAATTATACTACTATTTAGCCACTAATTACTTTTAAATATATCTAAATCTCTTTAATAAAATTATTGATTATATTTACACCAAGTACTTTTCTTTTCGATTCTATTATTTATTTGTATTGGTTATCCATCAATAATTTCCATTATTTTAATTCGTTTTGGCTCAACGCTAAATGATTTATATTGAGATTTATTTTATGATGAAGGTATCCTCTAGGCTTATACTCCTTATTTAAATTCCCCTTAAATTTTCACCTAATTAGATTTTCCTTAATATTCTATTCCTTACCCATCCAATTTAAATTACTTTTTATTTAAGTCAACTAAAAATTCTCCCTCCTAAATGATATAGGAAGGATTTTGATCATGATCATACAATGTATTATACAATTTCCCTCTTATTTTATGTTAACCTTATTGAGATTATGATTATTTTTCAAGATTCTATTGATTTTTATTATAATAAAATAGAATATTAGTATATATTAGTAGTTTCTGGTATTCATCATTATTATTAGAAATATCCTTAATATCATAATCGTGTTAAATTTCAGCATCAATTTAATCCTCAGCTTATGGATTAGTTTATGGGCTAGTTTAAGGGTTAATTTATTTATTAGTTTATGGATTAGTCGATGGATTAGTTTATGGGTCTTTTTATGGGTCAATTTATAGATTAGTTGATGGATTGGGTTTATAATCAGGTTTAATACATTTCTAATTAATAATTTATTTTTATTATGAGAAGGCCCTAATTCTAAATTAACTTTGTTCTTTATATTCCATTTTTTGTTAGTGCACTTTTGTATATGTTTTATCTTTATTAAGATGTTTTGGCTTAAATTCACTTATGCCTTTATTAATTCGCTACTAAATAATTTATTTTAGTCTAATACTTCAAAGGGAATTTTTGGTGTTTTCGTCCTTGTTTTTTATTCTTCTTATTTTTATTTCGTTTGTTGGAGATTCATAAAGCATTAACTTTGTTTAGAACTCATTATGCTTAGTGCAATTATTTAATAAAAATATGGTTGTATAAATAATATTAATTAATATCTTCAAAGAAAGATTTTTGTTCAATGGATTATAAATGCAACTATTAAATTCTAAATCTCAATTCTTATTGTTTTAATAAAGTGACCATCTGCCTTATTTATTAATAAACTTCTTATTTAAATATATATAATTAATTAAAAAGAAATAAATGACTACCTTCTAAGTTTGAATAGAATAACGTATAATTTTTCATTAGATAATAATATTGTTTAACTCAATTATTAAGATTATCTCATTTCAAGATGATATTATTTCCGAAACAATTCAGGTAATAATGAAAATTATAATTCACAAAAAGTGTGGATCAAAGATGCTTTCATTGAATTAGATTCCATTAATAAGATACAGGATGAATTTCCAATTGAATTTTTAACTATTTATACCCACTAAAGTTTTAATGAAAGATTAAACATCAATTGAATTTTTGCATATTTTTTAAGATCATCTACTAATTATAATTAAGCAGCTGATTGCTAGCAAACTAATTAATGGTGTGACTGTCATAATTTTGGATGGTTCATAATGAATATTGTTTTAAAATTGAAACTACATAAATTAAATGATGGAGCTCTGTATTGTTATACATTAATTTAGTGTCATCATAATTTAAATTAATATAATAGGCAATAAATTCTGATAATTTTAGATTAGGGGATTTCATAATTTAGTTTTTTATACAAATTTTGAATTCTGAATTATAGATATTAATTAATTTAGATAATGTCCACACAACAAGAATTACCAATCTATATTCAATAGACTCCCTAGTCTCCAAGTTAGATTTCACAAGTTCAATACCCAATATTGAGTAATACGGTGCCAGCAGATTAATATATTTAATTGGATGATGGAAAGCAAACAGGATCTGAGAAGACAGTTGTGAATGATGTGAATTTAGATCGATAAGCTTTTTTGGTTGAATACTACATAAAGATTTCCGTTCAACATTCTATAATTCTTGGATTGTTCCTATTTGGATTGAATGAATGGTTTAGCTCAATTGTAGTTCATCATGGTTAATGGTGGAGTTCATTTAGATGGACTTGGTATGTAGTTTTGAGTCTATTGATTGCCATCGTAATAGGACTTCCACTATTAAGAAAATACAGATTCATTGTATTCTATATTGTCTAAACTTATTAGGTTTAGCTTTAGTCCACATTATACCAAATTCAGACAATATTGATAGCCTTTCTTTTAATTGGAATTGCTGGAAACCAAAGAGGAAATGAATATCACAAAGCCGTGAATGTATGGACTATCTTGGTTTTGTTGATTTTAATTGGCCACGATTTACTACAGATTGTTATAGTAAAGTTCCAAAAAACTCATTATTACACTGTTATTATGAAATTTACAATCATTGGATCATTGGGTTTGAATTTTATTCTAGCTTTGTTAAACACCCAGTTTAACACTGCATTTATAATTTGTGGAATCATCATCTATGCATTTTATTATTTTAATTAATTGAACAATTAATTATTGAAATAGACTCACGAATTGCCTGAAGAATTATCGATATTTGAAAGAATTAGAAAGCTTTCCTTCACCAGACACATATTGAATTAAGAAGCCAGATAGAATCAAGTGATTGAAGAATTATAAGTCACTCATTTTGTGATAAACAAGCATTTAGCAATTGTAGTTGGATCAGGTGTTGGATATATCATAGTATTGGTGTTAAGCATTGTGACTGGGAATGTATTCTTGATATTCACCTTGATTTTGGGATCTATTTCAATGTTGAGTGTGATATTGGAAACTCAAGTTGCTTCAAGAGTATAAATTATTATAATATTAAACTTAGAGTTTGTTACCAGAAGACTCCCATTATGCAGTTTGTTTGACATACCTTGACATGGCCAGCCCATTGAGATTGTTATTGAGAAGTTTATTCAATAAATGAAAAAAAATCAAATATTTATACCAAAACTTTTTATATATATCATAGTGTTAATTAATGGGAATAAAATTATTTCTAAAAATAAATTAATTGAATTCAGAAGAGTAATAAGTAAATTTTTTAATTCAATCTTTTTTCTGAATTGATAATTTGAAATTCTTCATAACATCTTCAGGTGTATTTTTAGATTAAGTGAATATTGAATGATTGATTTGAATGAAAATAAAATAGCATATTTAATCAAATTATAAAAATCATGTTCTCACTTAATTAAATTAGAACTCCGAGGTTTTTATATTGCTTGAGAAACTATAGAGTGAAGAATTAAATTTTAGTGATTTAACTTTTAATATTTACTGTGATTATTGCCTTTTTGACCATAGCCTTGGTGATTAATAGAGTAATAATTGAATCTGTAATTGAGAAGGTTTCATTTTAATTGTTATAAAACATTAATCAAAAGGCTCTATTTAAATAATCAGCTTATTTGGAATACTAAACCTTTTTAACATTTAATTTTGGCTTCAGTCTGCTTAATAAAATTAATAATCAAAATTTGTATTTGCTTAAGTAATAACATATCCTTCTGAGCAACACGCCATTTAGTTGTGTTGATTACAATGTGAGATAGAATCAGCCATTCGAATATTATCTGCCGGAGTTTTGTTATTATTATGCAAATCAGGTAGATTTTGCCTTAATTCCGAAAACAGAAATTGATTAGCATTTGATAATTTTGATTTAAATGTTAAACCAACAATTTTTGTTAATCAGTTATCGTGAATTGGAACCTACAATCTATTTGACTTAATAAGGAGAAGGGTAATTTTTTGCCATTATTCCTTAAAAAATGAGATACCCTAAATATCGACCAAAGGAACGACAATGGTACAAGGATCACATTGCTAATCTGAACAGTAGTAATCAACCAGAAGTGGTTTCGGAGATATACAGGAATTACGAGACCCAAGAGTTCGAATTTACTCTCACAGTGTCATTGACGGATGCATAATTACAATTTGATGGAGTCATAGCATTGGATAGCAATTTTCAAGTGATCAAACCCAAGATCAATTATGATTAACTTAATATCTATCTAGTCGATCTGGCTGGTAGGATATTGATATCGAATGTGTATCCCTCAGTGAATTTTGTCTAGGAGATGAAGTTCTTTAATGACACTTCCATCACAGGATTTGACAACTAAGACTGGATTGAAGTTCTCAAATAGATTTTGTATCAGAATGGAGAATCTAATTGCCAATTTGCATACAAAAACTTTTGTAGACACAATAAATTGTTTGGATAAGATCTGTTCATTCGAGGGTTTGGGATTCACAACAGATTCTATCAAATAGTGTAAGCATATTTCAATGTATATTTAAGATTTGTAGATTACAAGTTCATGTAGGAGAATGACAATGACACTCAAGAATTGAAATCGGAGTTGTTAAGTCAAGCAACTGCCCAATTGATTTATTATGTTATCTACAACATTTCAGGAATCCTGCTCTGTTGGATAGTGATGCATTTCTTCTTGAAACCTTACTATGAATTGACTAGATTATTTTAGTAGACAACCCAAACTAAATTTAATCAGAAATACGAAATCGCCTTGAAGAAAGTCAAAATCTTCAAGTAGAACAATCTCATTCAGACTGGACTCGATAATCTCTGTAACAAGCTATCGGAAATCAGATCAAGAAAATCAAGAGAGTGTCATTACATGGAGAATTACAAGTATCCCAAGAATTTAGCAAAACATGCTTACAAATTCAGATTTTATATCAAACTATTTCCCAAGGTATTTTACATTCTTTTCTAATTAGAAATCACAAATCCAACAATTAACACGGTCAATCAAATTAATTTATGATGAGATCTTAAAGATTTTGGCAGGAAACACCGATGAATTCTACTCCAAGTTGATATGATTAAATATTGTATCTAATATTTTTCAATTGAACTTACTTTTTACTCAACATAATTGTGCAATCGAATATTATAAACAATTATAAACAATTCAAATAATATTGACAACCAATTATTTCTCCTATGGACTTATTGAACCTTGTTTAACTGGCTATTGATATATCCTTAACGAGGGATAATTACTGTGAAGAGATTAAGAAATTGCGCATAAATCTAGAGGTGTTCTGTCACACTCTAAAATAACTGGATGATTCCAATTGTCCCAATTAATTCCTGAAGGAAGCTGAATAGGAAATCCAAAAGACTTATGAGTGGCTCAAGAACCTCCCTCAAGAAGTGAGCATGTAATCAATCAAAAAATATTTAACATCATAGATTGGATAGTGTTAAGTTTCAGATCCCTTACAACAACAAAGTAGAACAAATCAAAGAGAAGTGTAATTCCATACAGCAATTGATCACCTTATCAACAGCACTTAATGTTATTAAAAAATCCACTTCATAAATTCCCTCCATTCCAAAACCACCTCTAACCATTCAACCCACTGTTACCTAAGTGGATGACATCCAAATCAATGAGAAACCTGAAAAGTACATAGTCTTGTCTGTCATTTCGGATGAGCATACTAAAACCATATTCAGAAAGCATGGAGTTAATTTGCAAAATAAACATGCCATCCATTTCAAGGACAATGAATCTGAGATTGTTGTATGCAAGATATCGAGATAAGATTACTCTCTCCTCAAAGAAGACATCTAACAAATCAACACAATTTCATAGGATCACGCTTAGATCTTATGTCGGAAGATCGATAGGAGATAGAAGTACCCAGAACCTAAAGTAGATGAAAATAATGATTAATAAGAGTATTATATTATAATGAATTTAGTGTATTTTATTCTTTGGATGACAACGTAAAGGAATTGTCTAAAAATATGATAGACGAAGTCAAGTATGAGTTCTATCTAAAAATTACTGGTCGTTTGGGAGTCTTTTTGTATAGAAAGAAAGAAAATATCACAGACTTTGGCAAATAGATCTTGCCTGACACTTGGGCTAATCGAATCCAAAATACAACAATCAAATTAGAAGACAACGATAAATTTGCAATTCTAATGAAGAAACCTGATTATAAGGTGCCCTTGATTGCTTATTCAATAACTTATAATATATGAATATCATTTCTTGTCAAAATTTTATATTTAATTTTGATGTTCTTATTTTTGCGTTGTTTAATTTAATTAAATTAACTTGATTTAATATCATAATGGCATATATAAACACTTTGATTACCATTACAATTGCTTCTACTCTTCTGGGTTTGATTCTATTCTTTAGGGGAGTCTTCATTGATCGTCATTACATTAGAACGATGGCTCAAGGAAAAATTGAAAAGACCAATCCTGTAGTCCTGATAGTAATAGACTCTTTCAGAATGGATTTGGCAATGAGCAATCATTTTAATTTTATTTCTTAAAGAAGAACTGATTCAGAATCCCTTACTTTTTTATCCTTAGCTGAAACACCCACTGTAACAGGCCCTCGAATCCAAACTATGACCACAGGTAATTTTGCACCACTGACCAAGGTTTTGGACAACTTCCATGATTCAGAAGTAAATATATGCAATTGATTAGATTGTGGAGGATAGCTTCATTCGATAGGCAAAAATAAGTGGAAAGAAAACATTATTTATAGGGGATAACAATTGGTTAGGGCTTTATCCGAATGAGTTTACAATTGCCCATCCTCTAAATAAGATGAAAATCAATTCTAGAGCTATGTATGTAGTGGATAAAAAATTTCAAAGACTTTTTGGGTAAAATTTTGATACATCTTTCGATCTAGCCGTTGTTCACTTTTTAGGAATTGACTATGTAGCTCATGAATATAATAGAGTAAGTGAAAACAAAGTACTTGAGGAGTAATTAAACTAATTGAGTACTATTATTACACAAATTTATTCGAGATTATCAAATGATACAACTTTGATCATCACTGGAGATCATGGAATGTTGAATGATGGAAATCATGGAGGTAATAGTTCCTTAGAAACTAATACTGTGTTCTTTGTAACTAGGAAGAATGCTAAATTAGATAAACACTATATGTAGAAAATAGAGGGATTTAGAGATGACTATGAAACCTCTGTGACTTCAAAAGATTCGTATATAAGAACGATCAAATAGGTTGACATAGCACCAACAATAGCTAAATTAATTGGAGTTCCAATCCCCTTTAGTAATATTGGCATCATAATCCCAGAGTTATTTCCTGGTGATGTTGCTAATGAGTATTGTGTGGAGAACTTGAAGTAGATGTTTCATTATTCAAAAAAAATATAATAAGACTAAGGCTTATTTACTCGATAACAAATTAAGTTATGGAAGAATCAAATAAATCAGGTTTCTACATGTGCTTAGGCTATACCAATAATGGAAGACATTCAACATCAAAGTAGAATTATATGGAATAATTATAACAAACTCTTGATCTTCCTTTCAATGATCTTCTAAATCCTCAGCCTAACACTTTACATAACAACCTTATTGACTATAAAGTATGTTAAAGACTTTTCTCTTAGAAGTGCCCTTGAACATTTACACAAATCTGATTTTAACACTTACCGAAATCACCTCTATGCTGGGATCTTAATGGTGGCTTCATTGGCATTATTTGTTGAACTCGAAATCTTTATAGCAACAATTTTAATTCTGATTATCTCTATCATCTTGATTTATTCGATTGCATAGCTGATTATTGGTAGGAAGGAATAATCTCCAACATACTCCACTTTAGATTTAGAAACTCATAGGAGCGAATTCCAATATTTTAAATTTTTTATTTTAGCTTTATTTTTACATAAAGCATTTCGATAGGGATCACTATTGTTTTCAATTGATCCAGGAACCATTGAACATAACGAACTTTTTGATTAGATATTCGACTTATTGTTCATGAGTATTATTCTAAACACTCTAATTTTTCTTAAGACTTACTACGATTCAGGAGAATAAAAAGTCCATATCATTTCATTAGCTAAGTCTATTGGCGAATAATTAATGCTTGGAGTTATAGCTCTGATTCTGCTCTATTTAGAATATATATATTACTAACTTGGTCTTGAGAAATCTTTTAAATCTCTAAGAATGATGAAGTCACTAGTTCATATATTCTTCCCCTGTATTTTACAACATATCCTACTCTATTACTACTAGAAGTTAGAGAATAAAAATAAATTCAATAAAGCAATCCCTCATTTATTCTTATTTACAGTTCAATCCTACTTTATGGTCCCATAGATTCCTTTATTTGACCTAAAACGAACACTGATAAAGAGTACTCTTAAGCCTTTAATATTCTGCATGCCCTTTGTGTATATTTATGCAAAAGACTTGGTTTACTTCTTGATTCCATCCCTATTAGCGACCACTTAATATGGAATTGCAATATACACTTACTTCATTCTATTTATGCTGTTAATATATAGATTATCAAAGCCATAATTGAAGGTATCAAATTATAATATCCTTTATTAGTATAACAAATTGATTTGTGTTGCTCTGATCTCGCTCAGCTGCTAATACACTTGGTTTATGATAGGTAATGAGTGCTCGATATCGGCTGTTCAACATGCAACAAAAAGAATAGGATTTACAACGACTAATGGGGTAGAGTTGCTTTTAATAATCATTTTTATCTTGGTGGGACCTTATGTTGGTGGATGTCTAGTTTTGAAATTCGTAGAGAAGTTGTTCAAGTAGTAGGAAGGAGATGAGTTAAGAGAGTAGTCTAATACAAACAAGGAGACAAAATTATATTTTTTGCTTAACTTTTATCTTTAGATCTTGTTTACACAATTTCACAGTTATAACAATTTGGGTGGGTATACAACAATTTAATTTAAATATATCTTTGATGTAGTTGGATATATAATTATATGTTTATTGGTTTATATTGAATGATATATATTTACATATTTGAGTATGGTGTTGTTGTAATTTAAAAGTAGTACGGTAATAGTTCTATAGTTAAGCCTTGGTCTGTTTCTTAGTGATATTGAGTTTTCAACAAAGATCTAGATTAATTATAGAATGTACAAATTTAGTTTTTAAATGTTCTTATAATCCTGTTTAATAGGTTTAATTTGGTTTTAATTAAAATTAACACGTTTCAAAGATGCTTAGAAAAGAAGTGCAATTATTGATAGCCGTGGGAGGAATTTACTTCTGCTATTTCAAAGTGGGTCTCATTCAGGAGCATTTGTAAATTATGTGATTATTTGCCAGATTCAAGAGCAATTTAGGTACTATGGATTTTCCATCTCCGAAATTTGAGTTTTCGTCAGTGCTGATCTTTTTGCAGATGCTAATATACAATTTATTGTGTTTGGCGATGATTTTGAAAAATAAGATCAGTTTTGTTTGCACAATAAAGGAGGGAGCTTATTTAGGATTGTTAAACTTTTCATCGATGATTGGTGCATTGACAGCATTATAGTATGTGAGTTTTCCTCTTCAAGCCTTGGTGAAAAGCTGCAAGTACATATTCCTCATAATTATAATTGAATCCTGTCTGTATTGGTAGTTGGATTGGTTTTGGGCAACCAGAAATTCACAAAGTAGCAAATACTGTGTGGGTTGATCATCACTGTGGGAATCTATGCATTTAACGTGAGTGAGGGCAGTAAATCCAATAAGACTTCCTCGATTTTCGGAATTGTTTTATTAATAACTTCTTTGTTCTCCGATGGGTGTCTAGCAACTTTGTAGAGCAAATTTAAAGTGAAGAAATTGGAACAATGGGAAATGGGATTCCACATTAGTCTCTGGAGTTTTATAGGCTCAATTATCTACACACTGATACAAGGCAAGTTCATTCAGTTCTTGAGTTACATTCAATCATACCCACAAGTTATTCCAGAAATACTGTTTTTGACCATCTACTCTGTGTTGGGCCAAGTGTTCATCTTCTATTGCATAAGGTAAATGTGAGACTAGAATTTAAGTTGCTTCTCTCCACGAGTGTTAAGTGTAGTAACGACAACAAGAAAGTTCTTCACTGTCCTCTTGTCTATTATGAATTCACAATCACGAGGTCGATTAGATACAATGGATCGGCATAAGTTTGGTTGCCTTGGGAGTGGCATGGGAATTATTTATGGTAAGGGTGTATTTCGATTTTCGTTAGGGAATGAGTTCCAGAATCCCAGCTGAGAAGAAGAAGGGTTCATATATCAAGGTTCCTTATGAAGATGAGAAGAAGGAAGAAGAAACCAATGGACATCATAATAAGGAGCATAAAAATGATCACAAACACAATCATAACCATTGATAGCCTCACATTATAATTGTAATTATATATTTTATCAATATTTTTGATTATTTTACAATTAATCAAGAAGTCTTTGCATTTTCGGAGCCCATTGTCTATTCAAATCGCCTATTTCTTTCAACTCGCCAATTGTGTTTTGTTGTTGCGTATTTATTATAGAGAGTTTCTTCGCCAGCTTTTCCTCGTCCTCTTTGACTTTTCTGAAATGCAGAATTGAATCCTTCAGATGGCATTAAATTTAATAGAGCCCAATTGAAGCCTCATTTATGATAGTTAACATCCACTGTTTGAATGATTGAATAACTAATGTTTAATGAGAGTTTACATAAGTCAAAACGAGACATGGGAGTGTCTCCTTGAGTTGAATTATTCATTAATTATAATTATAATATTTTACAAATCTCACTAAGGCAATTTAACTAATATATCACAAGAAACGCCATAATGATCAGACAATTGAGTAAATTTTTGACCTTCCACAAAGAATTTCTCAACATTCACTTATTTGATTTTGATTTAATTTGGATTCCCTTGATTTTCAGGAATCATTTAGAATATGTAATCCAAACATTGTCCAGTCAACAAATCAGCTTTATCTGTTAACTGAATTTCCATTGGTTTCTTCTAACCACTCTCGTCTTCCACATAATCGGCATACGTAATAAGAAACTTACCTTCTTACTCAAGCAACAAATTGATGAACTTATCCTTACCATTGTTCGTCATAATAGATATTAGAGCATCGTACTCTTGATACTTTTGAGGATTGCCTAATTGTTATTGCAAAATTGGAAATTATTTCAAAACGTCATTAGGATATCCTTACTCATACCTGCTATCGATATTGTAATCCCCTACCAATAGAATCAAATCATTCTCCTATGCCTATTACTATTCAAGTGTTGAATGCACAAATTTCTTAAAACAATACAATTAATCAATTCTAGTGGAGACAGTTGCTCTCTTCCAATAAATTATGATTCATTACCACATTAGACTCTTTTCCAACATAACTAGCTTGCAAGTGCGTATTGAATAAATGCAACATCTATCCGTTTACCAGAATCTTTGTATACAATACTCCCTTATTAGATAGATTATCAGATAGGATCCCATATGGAAATTCTTTAAACTCGTGACTTAGGATCGGGTATCTAGAGATGATGAACATATTTTAACCTGCTCAGAGTGACTAATCCACCGTCGACCATTTGACTAGAGAAAAAACTAGGACTGGGACTGACTGCTTAATAAGTGAAGCCAAGCTTGAATGCTTTATGTTTTAGAATAGATTTTCTCGAATTTAAAAACCCAAATACTTCTTACAGACACACTATATCAAAACTAATTATTTGGATCTAGCAATTTACTTCATCAATTCTTTAATGATTAATTCGCATCTTTCATTTTTGTAGTCGTCTCCATTATTATTCACAACGGGTGGTCTAAGAAATGTATTGTAAGTCAATATCTTGATGATATCCTTCTCGGGAATTTGCTCAAAACTCAAAGGAACCTATTCTGAATTAGAAGACATTAATAAATTATAATATAATATAATATACTCAGTGTTCAAAATTTTATGCAAAATAATTAACAACCTTAACCATCGCATTTTTTATTGATTTCCTTCTTGTTTTAGGTTGGCAAATTGCTTTAGTACATTTTTTGGTCCCCAATGTGATCAAGAATAGTCAGATTATCATATTTTAATGATAATTCAAACACCCTCTTAATGGGCGGACTCTTTTCACTATGAAGCAGTTCCCTAATTGATTTATACACCTCTGAATCCTGGGTTTCAGCTGCAATTCCAATATCATTGTGATTTGCTCCTTCTACTTTGATAAATGCAAATAAATTCTAGCAACATTTCGATAGTTGTTCTGAATGGTTGATCTTTATTATGTTGTCCTTGGTTCCATGGAAGATCAAGACTGGAGCAGTGATTTTGTTTATGATGGCTTGATTTGAAAACTTATCATGTTCTGAGTAAAACGAATTGCGATTGTCTATAATTCTACCCAACGAGGCTAATGGAGCTTATAGAATGATTCCAGAAAGTTAGAATTGCGTAGCTACATCAACTGTCGGATAAGAACCAATGGAGAATCCCCACAAAAATATGTGGTCGTACTGATGTTAAGCTAGAGCCACTACATTGGAGAGGTCTCTTGAAATGCCCAATCTATTAGATACCAAAAATACTCAGATGGTTTCATTGTTTGTTTTGTAATTCCATATCCCGAGTAATCATAACACATCACATCTACCTCATACAACTCACAAATCTTAGAGGCCCATCTCGATGCTAGGGTCAAATCCATTGCATTGCTGTGAGATAGGATGATAACCCTATCAGAATTGCACGAATAATGAATTATCGGAACATATGAGACAATTACATTATTTTCCACTTCTTTCAAAATGGAAACCCTGTGCTTGAGATTGCACAGCTTATTCAAGCTGACCCAATGGCCTTTCAGTTCTACGCTGAACTCTAAACCATTAAAATCTGAGCTATTTTTAATATGATAATTTGGTTTAGGAGGCTAAAAAATGAGATTATGTTCGATGACTTCAGCCAAACCAAATTTATTGATTAATGACATCTTCCAAGATTCTCTAACTTACTTATTAGTGTTCTACATGCAAATTATAATATAAATATAATATTTTATCACTTTTTTTAAGACAATATGTCCTTGATCAATTTAAACATCGAATCAATATTACTGTTCTACAAAGCCGACACCTCTATGTAATGATAGGATCTCTGCTTTGCCCAATCTTACCCTTCGTTCTCCGAGATATTCCTCTTATCCTGCTTATTGCCCACAACCAATACGGGTAATTTGGTAGCTCCCATATTATTGGCTTCTTAAGTCCACTCGTTCAGACTGTTAAAACTCTTACGAGATGCCAAATCAAAAACCAAGATTATCATATTGGCATCCTCATAAAACTCCTTTCTGACGTTCCAAAACTGTTATTCTCCACTAAAATCCCAAAAGTTTAACTTTCAGTTATTTAATTAACATAACTTACAGTTATATTTGATGATGCCTGTACATGTCTCAAATCAACTGCTATTGTTTAATTGTGCTTCTCAGAAAAATTGCGATTAATATATCTGTCCAAAATTGATGTCTTACCCACAGACATATCCCCAAGCATCACAATTCTATATTCCTAATAATCATCTTTGTTTATGTTTATCTTAATCGATCCTGGTCTAATGTGAAAATTCAATTTACTTCGCTATTGTCTTCATTATAATAAATATCAAAATATTTGAGATATATAAATTAAAACCATGCATTTTGTTGATAATAAGAAATGTAAGAGAATCTCAATAAATTATATTAATTAATTAAAGAGTATATAATGGTATTACGAGGTGCATTTTTAGTGCTTAATAGACGGAGATAAATTTATGAAAATAAAATTGGCAGCAAATAAGATTGATTACAATATATTTTAGATGTGAATATGAGAAATGAAGTAGATAAGTAACCCTCAATAATACAGATTGTATCAAGCAGATTAATTAATTCTTACCTAATCTAAGCTATGTCAAAGATTATGTAATTTGATTCTCAATTTCAAAATTATATCTCAATCAAAGAGAAGAATGATTCAAATTTGAATTTTATATTTAACATATAAAGAAAGAGTATATTTAGTAAAGAATCATTTCTTTTAATTGTTACATGAAAATTATATTAATTTTAATCTATGATAGTATTTACTAAATAAGTTACTACTATCTTAATAATACTCTATAATTATTATTTATGAGTCTTTGTTTATATTTTATTCTGCTTTAAATTGGTCAAACTTTAAACCATATTGGTTTTAAAGTAAATTGAAATTATCACATAAATTAATGAGTTTATTTCATGACATTGATGATTATATAAAGATTTGCTATTATAAGATTATCTGCAAAATAAGTTATATAATCAAATTTCTTACTCTAAAGGTGATTTTAATTATCCTGCATTCCCTTAAAAATTATATATATATATTTTAAGTTTTTTGACTTTTTCAATAATTCATTTGAATTGTTTTAATACTAATCTAATCTAATTCATTCATATATTTATTTAACTTCAAACACATAAATGAGATTTGATCTTTGTGTCTTATTATGAAATTTTGTTGGATAAGTATTATAATAGATAATTTAAAAAATAATTTTCTTTCATTAGGATTTCAAAGGGAAGATAAACTGGAAAATGATCGTAGAATGCATTTTAATTGATAATCTTCCTGCATGTTCAAATGAATTAGTATGAAAAAATATTTCAGTGTTTTATAAAAAAATGCTTAAATTTATTTTAATTTACTTAAAATACCTGGTAAAGAGAATACAAGTAAAATTGATATAGAGACAGAAAGAACGAATAATCAATTTAAAGTAATGTAAAGACTTTTCGGTGATTCCAGCATACGAATATTCATATGAATTGCGATGGAAGAGTTGAAGGAAATTCCAAAAGAATATTGATTCTTCTTTTCGATGGTTTCAGTTGTAAAATTTTGATTCAGTTTTATCATTCAATATATCTAAAGTATTCTACAAATTTTGATACTTAGCAGTAAAATGCCTTTAGTATTTACGTAATAAAAAATTCTTGGATAATTAATAAGATTTATCAAAATCGTTTTTTTAGCATTTTTAAATCATTTTGGTTCGATGAATATTGTGTTAATAAAATAAACCTAATCTCCACTCTCCTCTTCTTCCAATATATGTAATCTACCGACTTTCTCGGAGTCTAACCAAGTACTAGATTATCATAACCCTAGACTTTCTATAAACTCATTGTATGACTGCCTAGTAATAATTAACTGAATTTCCTTTTGAAAATGCCCAAGAGGAGATCCAAATAAGTAAGCAGTTGTGAATATCATTCAGTCGAGAGTGTTGAAACGTTCAATTTTGAGGGGGATAATGCACCTAATGATTATTACAATCCGATTCAAAAATTGCCTCTGAAGAAACCTCGCAAGAGAAGAAGAAGACAAGTCATACACGATAGGAGAAGAAGAAGGCCAACCACAAAGAAAATTGTAACCAAATTGATTTAATCTTTAATTAGAATAGAAAGCATCAACCAATTCCATTCAATTATGTAGAAGATAGACAAATTCTTCTTTAAGTCTTGGAGTTGGGACCAAAGTTCTATAAAATCGCTAAAAGCTTCCCTAGCAGGACCTTGAGCATGGTGAAGAATAGATATTACAAGACCTTGCGCTTCCAGTGGGATGCTATTTTGGGACAGTAAGAAATATTTTAAGATTTCTAGGGCCTATGGTCATCTGAATGCATCAGATAGAGAAATGGAAAATCAACACAGTATGGATTGCTTGCAAGAGCTTAGCGATGAAAATATCTATTCATAAATTTTATTTTGAATAAATCCTATTATTCTAAGTCACTATATTCTCTATGAGACTGGCTTTAATAAAGTATCAATAATGAATCAAAAATATAAAAACACTAAAATTTCAAAAGAATTCAGAAATTAGTTTATTCTCATTTTGACCACTAATAAAAGCCTCTCTATCATAATTTTAATTCTTAAATTTTTGATACTCCAGTTTATATATAGATCAATTAATAATAGATATATCTCTTTATCGATCATCCACATTGATGAGTTCACTTAAATCTTATCAAATGTAATGTTTATTATCTACTAAGTCAATCTTAGAGTAATGTAATTTAATTATTCTATAAGTTTACTATAATATCTAAAAGATGAATAAATAAATAGATGTAATAATAATATATATTAATGTATCATTTAGAATCAGTTGGTAGCAATACGACTTTAGTGGATCCTTACTATCCCAAAGTAGTAATTGTATCAAGATATCTAATTTGCATAGCTGCCTTTGAATCTAATAGTTCTGCAGCTTATCTCATAAGTTTTGCTGATTGCACATCACCTTAAGCAGATATGACTTTCGCTTAAGCTGCTCTTTGTTCTTTGGCTGCCATTGACAATGTGTTTTATAAATCAGCATTCAATTGAATATCTTTAATCAACATGTTCTCAATGTCAATACCCCATTCCCAGACATGTTCATCTACGAACCCTTCAATTTGCTATTAAACTTCAGCTCTCTTCTCCAACAAATCCTATAAAGTGTGGGATCCAGCAATGCTCTTGATAGTGGCCAATGTTAATTGCGTAACTGCTTAATGGAGATCGTTGATATAAAATATGGATCGTCTTGGTATCACTATTCTATAATAAACAGTTGCATCAATGCTCACTAAAATATTGTCTTTAGTCATCACTTGTTGTCTAGGACAATCGATCATCTGAACTTTGCAATCCACCTTCTGAATTGTATCAGTACAAGGATTGATGTAAATTAATCCAGGTTGAACTTCCATTAAACATAATTGTTACCTGTCTTGATGTACTTTCCAAAACGTAAATACACTCCAACAAAACTTTGCTCTACCTACACATAGGGATATTCCACACAGGGATTACAGGGACAAACAGCCTTGCAATTACCGCAGCATTCTCCACAGTTGTAAAGGTAGGATTAATAGGAACCACCCAAGTCGAGATTCTGCTCTTAATTCTCAGGTAACTCTTCCCTGGGGTAACGAGGAGCCTTGTACCCTAAGATATGGAATTGAACTACTCACTTACCGGGTGGTGGAACATTATAATCACGATGCTATTGAGGTGGAGGTTGCTATTATTGATACATAACTTAGTTTTGTTGATACATAATTTAGTATTTTTAATATATAAAAATAAGAAATAATTTTCATCTTAAACTAATTACTACTGGTCCCGAATAGAATGGAGCATATCCTAAAGGGAATTCAGAACCTTCAATGATAATGTTTCTAAAAAACTACTCATGTGTTTAAATAGAATATCTACTTAATCATTCGTATATATACCGTTCGTCATCATCATTGGTGGCAAACAACATCTCCATCTATAAATTGGCTTCTATTCCCCGGACCACTTCACTATCAAATCGGAACACTTAACAATTGATATTAGTATATGATTGTCGATAGACCTTCAACTGGTTTTAACTAGCATCATAGCCCAAGGACCAGAGCAGAAAATTCTAGATCATGGCTTTTTACCAACCTTCATCACTGCCCATTCCAACAAAACATTCCTTCATTCCCTCCAATTCTTACAACAATTAAGTATCTTCAATTCTCAAATGTTATTCAATTGAGTAAAAATCTAGACTTATTTTCAAAGCACTTCGAATGGCTAATGTGGCGATCTCTGACAGAATCTTATCAACTCCCTTCATTTGATGCTGTTCAAAAAGACTGTTCGAATTTTTGAATAAATCAAACAACACTATCTAATTTATTCGACCCTCAAAATTGAAATCTAAATCTCTCAATGAAACTTAATAAATATACAGAATTGTTCTCTAAATGTGATTATAAAATCCTCCAGACAGATTAATGTTCTATTGATGATTAAAATTCTTATTTTAGTATTGGTGTAAATTCTAATTTTGTAGATAATTATCATCATCTAATTCTTCCAACATACTAGTGATTTCATCCCTATTGGATTGAAGTTGCTTTTTAGAGTGCTGTGTATTTTATTATTTCATTCCCTCATCTTATTCTAAGTCTTCGCTCATAAATGATAAGAAATTAGTTTTTAATTCAATTAAATCTGCAAATTAATTGGGGAATGGATGTTCAGGACCTTCGAATCTCTTCGATAATTCAATAATGGATTTCTTATTAGTCTCAGTTAACTTTTAAGCTTAATAACATAACATCTTTAAATATATTGTTTTAAATCCACTAACAAATTCAGTGGCTTCTATAATCCCTGTTAAAGTCAACTAATTTTCCTCATAACCAGGAACTGAGAATTGATTTTGTAAAGTTAAGGCACTTCCAAAATATGATCCGCAATCCTATGCATTAACCAATCTATCAACCTCCCTAGCCTCTATGCTATGACAACTTGTGGTATCCTAGGATTCCAAACCCTTAAATTGAATGACTGCATATCCTCCTTAATATTCTAAGACTTACACTACTCCCAGGTATTTCCCTATTCGTATTAAATAATGACTCCACAAAGGCTGAGAACCCAATAATTTGTTGTATGACTTACTCAAATAGAAATTGTAGATTTAGCCCTCTGCTGAATTACTCAAGTGTTTCTATATATGAATTGTATTTCTAAAAGGTCTCAAAGATGAAAAATAGAAAATGGGCAATCCCAACAATGGCATGTAAGGACTGTCTAAGATGCTGGAAATAAGCATAATAAAGAATGTTATGGGACACATTAATAATTACAAAGATGTAATAAGTGCTGCTCCCTCTACTTTCTACTTCTTCACTGTCAACATCTTATAACTAATCTACTTTAATTGAAAGTTACTTTGCTATTATCCATATTACAAATCGAGATTTCGTTCTTATTCCAAATCTCAAAGCTATCTACACCAAGAACCCAATCAATTAACAGTAAGCCATCGAATAACTTGTAGTGAATGAAACGATAAAACACACTAATTATTCGAAAAATAAATAGGTGGGATTTGAGTGGATCAGACTGTACAATCTGATTATAGTCGTACATTCTAATAATCTTTAAGCGAAGATGCCTTCAAACTCATAATCCATCATAGATATACATGCATATTCAATAGCAGCATAAAAGATTTTATAGTATTTCACATATTATTGAAATTGGAATTGAATTATCATGTAAATTGTAAACAAAACAATTATAGCATAATATAATTCCTTATAGTAAGAGGATGCCAATGTCCCGCATAAAATGGTTGAAATTACATTCAAAATTGAACTTAATAGATTGTAAAACAGATATAATCTATCAAGATTTTGCTGTTTGTAAAGTTGTTTCTGATCTTAATTTATGGATCCAAAAATATTGAACATTTTGATGTTTATCAAACAACCACTTATAATTATTGCAATTCTCTGCTCATCTATGTATGATAATCCTAAACAAATTGCAATCAATGCAACATTTAATAATACTGTTAAATATGTGCGTTTCTGACTTGATTGATAGGATGATCCCATTAGAAAATTGAATTGTTCACACACATATTCTAAACTAATTCAATTCTTAAATATACATACAATTAGGAAAACTATCCAAACAATCCGATCCAAATGAGTATTGGTGTGAAATAATAGATGTACCTGATTATATTGGCTATGATCATTCTGTTAGCATGAGTCAAAATCAGAATCAGAGTTAGAAACAAGAGAGCGTAACTGGATCTGGAGTATAACTCCAATTGAGTAAATCCAAGTTCAACATTTTATTCACGAGGAAACAAGAAAAAAAATACAACTGCATCAATAACGGTTCCTTCATATTTGATAGCTGAAGCAGTTACTAGAGTTTAAAAAAACAGCATTCCAATTTACATTCCAACCTATTTTCCTGATTTGCGATGCTCATTCGCTGTGAAATAATTCATGATGAACTATAGTTGCAAATTGATAAATGCAGGTACTATTAATACAACAATGTAGTTATCCAAAAATTTTGCAATGAGATAGGGTTGAATTACAGCTGCTAATTATATTATAACCTACTCCTTAGGATGAATTCTACCTATATAATGTACGCCTTGGTTGGCAGGTACAATTAATATCCTCCAAAAAGAGAGGCTAAACAAGCGTATAGTAAGTGTTTTCTTTTTTATATAGTGAGAACTGTAGCAGTTTAATTCATATTTAATTAATAATATATATTATTTTTCGTGATAATTAATCAAAGGTTCATTATAACTTCTCTCTTCGTATATCCTTCTTTTTGTGCTGATATACATAGATAAGAGTAAACTAAGGTAGGAATTACAATTACTTCAAATATAATTATATAAAAAATCGTCCTATTCAAATGAATAAAAATATTATGAAAAAAAATAAAAAAACTTTATGTGTTTGACAATGCATATTATGTATTGTTCTATATTTACAAGTCTTCATTCTCGAATTTCTCCACCAAATGGTTTCCATTTTAATACAACTTAGAATATTACAATATTGAGTTTTATAAATTCACAAATAAACTGACGAAGAAATTTGATTTATCTTAAAAATGAATTCTTATTAGAAGACTCTTACGAAAAACATTAAAAAGTTATATTTTTCAATTACAGACAACTTAGGGTAGCCTTGGGGGAGGGGTTCAAGTTCTCCATTTTATTTTAAGAAATAATTGTAAAAAGTACGGTTTTTGTGGTACATTATAATGGTAGCAAGTTTAGTTGCTTAATTATAATGTTTGGAAAACATAGTTGGAGGAGAGAATGAAGACTTTGTACTTGTTTAAGTAAAAATGAGTGTTAATACTAATACGTATAATTAATCATATGCAATTATAGAAAGTTACTAAATATTAATTAAATGGAAAATATCTTTACCAACTGAACAATATTCGATTAATTTATAAGTATTACTAAGACTGTATTAATATATGCAAATAAAAAAAGATTTTATAATTATTCAATAATATAAATGCCGATGCAGTAAATTGCTAATTTCATATTAAATTTAATGTAAGATTGTGCAAACGAATAAAATTACATCAACTTCCTGCAGTTGGAAAGGGATGACGGGTCTCATGAGGATAATTCTTCTTCTTTACTTCTCATGAATCAGGAAAATCCTTCTCTAACACAACTTATGGAATTGGATGTTTCTCCCCTCAATGAGCAGGGGAAGAAGATAAAGAAGAAGAAGAAGAGGATGGACTTCCATTACAAAAAGAAGAGAAGAAACAATAAAATAACAGATATGAATAATAATAATCCATTCAACTTCGAGGAAGACAAAAAAATCTTATCTCTCGTACTCGAGCACGGCCCGAAGTTTGGTGATATAGCCAAATACTTTAGTGATAGGAACTAAAATGCAATAAAGAATAGATATTATAAATACCTTCGATTCAGATGGGATTAGACTTTGGGAAGGTATGTCTATACATTTATTGATTAATAGTGAGTACCGAAGACTGAATTGCAAGCGAGATAGCGACAGGGTAGAATGCAGTGATCTAACTTAAATCATAGATGAGATGAACTTTTTTCCAGAAATAACAGATTTGTTATCCCAATTTGTGCACAGAGTCCATTCTTATTTCAATTGATTATTAATTCTCATATATGTTTGTTTTGCATTTAGTAAACTTATGATTTTTGAATTTCTGATCCATCGAATATTGGGACCTTCAAAAAGTTATACAATTTGAATTTATTCGATGGGGAATGAAAGAAGACTCACCAATCAGTGTATTTGTGAGAGTAGGAAGACCAGGGAGAAGAAAAAGTTGAATACCGATCTGATTGAACTTAAAGTCCATAGGAGATGAGATCAGGATGGCTTAAACGAGAGTTTGGAGGTAGATAAGTTAGAACGAAAGGGGAAATGAACGTGTGTTAAATAAATATAAACGAATTAGGTTTTAATAAATATGCGTGAGATATATTATGTAGATATCAAGAAATGCTTTGGTATTTATGCATATATATTAATATATATTTTATATATATATTATAATTATATATATATAAATAAGGAATTTAATTATAATTATTAATTAAATGCAAGAGAAATTAATAGCTGGGCTAACATCTAATTATGGCAGTTTGTTGGGTCAATAGTATTTGAAGTGGTTGAAGATGCCTCCTACTTATTTGCGAGTGATGCAATCCATCGATTTCAGAAAAGGGATGTATGCAGCTTAGCAAGTAAAGGCAAATCAATAGATAATGCTGATTTCGACGGAGAAGTGTTTCACAAGTGTGGAATTCGTCGGTTGTGACAACAGGAAATCACAAGAACTTCAGGTATGTAGTTGCAAATCAATTAGACCATAGCATCACAAATAGCTCACAAAATATGTGGTGGAAAAGTGGAATAGTAGTATTTGGTCACAGGCTTGCTCAAAATTATTCTGCAAGTGTTCGTGCACCAGAAAGACCAATCACTAAATCACTCTCCATTTGCAAACATGATTCAACCTCCCAATACTCCCTTATTGTGGCCTCAAACAGTGATTGATTTGATATCCTCGAGGAATTTGGGTTCTCTGATAGAAGGCACTCTCCTTCAATGTCAATCGATGTATAATGAATTGCAATTGAGCAAAGTTTACGGTTTGACAGCCCTTGAATTTTTGAAATTGTTCCAAGCTGTCAGAGCCTCCTTAATTTGCTTCAATCCACAGTATGACCAATATCAATACATTCTAGAAAGCCTAAATACTTTGACATGCAATCAGTCTAAATAGTATGTCCATTAGTTTATCAATTTGATCACTCCTTCGACCCAAATTGCTTCTTGGATGGTTGTTATTTGAGCCATGAAAACATGAGTTTCGTTGACTTCAGTGCGAAGAAGCAAATTGAACCAGGCGATGTAAGAATACTCCCCAATTTTAATAGAAATTAACAATTAATTATGGTAATTTGAGTAATCACGATCTACTCATGAGACATGGCATTACTGTGGAGGACAATCCTTATAATGAAATGCCCTTAGATTTGGATTTCACTAAAGCCATAAATTACACTGAATAGCTCTTTGAGTAGAAGTAAAAGTGGCTGAGACAAAGTGAAATCACCAACATTGAAAGATAGACCTTGTATGCTAACAAAATTAATGTACAACTATTGCAGTAACATTTATAACTGACTCTCTTAGGTATCTAAGGATATACTTTCTGACTGAGGAGGAATTCTCTAAAAACCCCCTTTTGGAATTCAATTCATTCCAAGAAAAAATCAGCGAAGAAAATGAATTGTTGGTTAAGTAGTTTATGATTCACAACATCAAGAATATCTTGTCCACTTACAAACAAATATCTAAACCTATTGGCAAAGAATTGTAGGATCTTTTCAAAATTCAAAAGGATGAGATGACCATACTATAAAATAATCTCACTTTTTTTAGCAAATGAGTGCAAATGATAAAAATGTTAAAATTATTTATAATTAACAAATTATGAGGTAATCTAACAATGAAAAGTCCCTTCCTGTACAAGGAAATGCCATTGATAGACAATTCTACTATAATCTCCTATCTCTTGAGAAGGCCATAATCAAAGAACCACAACTTGATGCTGTGCAGTAGGCTCTTGCTATGTATAGGTAATGGTTGCATATTCATGAATAGAAAGTGCGTGGAGTATTTTGATAATATACAGGATCCTATCAAATATTACTTTTTGGATAAGATCCAATAGGCTTTGAGTGAAACCAAAACACTGATGCTCATAATTAATTCCAGATCAGAAATTGAGTCTTCCAAGACTATCAGTCCTGTGAAGAGATCCTCCATCTCAGACCTGCCTCCCCCACTTTTATCCGATCAATAGATTATGGATAAGAAACTCAGATCCAAATAAGTGACCCTATAAATCAAGTTGCATGAAGCTGCTGATTAGCAATGTAAAACCCATTCACAATTATTCTAGCTGAAATGCTCAATACGATGGTCACAGATTTTACAACCAATACTACAAGTACGGATCAAAAGGTTAGATAGGATTTGAATTAACAAGCAGACATAATACAAGCAAGAATACTCAAGAGATAGCAAAGTACTAAAATGAAAGGTTGTTCATCTATGCAAACATTGTTATGATTATTATATATAAATATCATTTTAAGATATTATATAGACTCAATGGAATAGAGATAGGAGTATAAGAACCATATTCTAATTCAACATATATTGTGGGGAATTATAATATTTTAATATGAATTTGTATCTATTTCTGAGTGTCGCTGTCATATTCTGCTTTCCAACAGAAGATCTAGTGAAAGATTATGCTAAATTCAATATTCCGTATACAGGATAATGGTATTATAAAAAGATTATAACAATTACAGGTTTTCAGGATACTTGAGAATTAATGATGATGGGAGCAAGTAGTTTCATTACTTCATGTTTCCACAACAAAACAAGAATTTGACTGATGAAAGTCCAGTAATTTTATGGCTGAATGGAGGGCCTGGGTGTTCTTCACTCTATGGTGCTCTGAATGAGAATGGTCCATTTGTATTCAATTTAGGCACTAATGATTTGAGAGTCAATTCCTACTCATGGACAAACACTGTAAGACGTTTATGATGAATGTCTCTAGGCACATATGTTCTATTTGGAATCTCCAGCCACAGTTGGGTTTTCATATGGTGATGAGCACACTAGTGACGCAAGTTCGGCCAAAGACAATTTACAAGCAGTGATCCAATTCTTTAATAAGTTTCCTGAACTTAGCACTCATCAATTTTATATCAGTGGAGAGAGTTATGCTGGCACTTACATTCCATTATTAGCGAATGAGATCATAGAATATAATAAAATAGCTACCAAAAGGATAAATCTTATTGGATTGATGATTGGAAATGGTTGTACCGATTACACCGAATGCACAATTGAGGCCAAGAGATTCCCTATTCACAAATTCGAGTTCATGCACAGTCATCATTTGATAAGTGAGAAGTTGTGGGAAGAAATCGATGCCCAAAGAGACAATTGTTTCAATTCAACAGCTTAGTATTGCAAGGATCTCTATGCCAAAACCTAAGAGGAAATCAATCTCAACTAGTAACTAATATCCATATTAAAATAGCGAATTTTATTACAATCCCTATAACATCTATGGAAAGTGTTACCAAATGCCAATCACCAAATTCAATGGAGAAACCATCCAGAGGTCCAAAATGACTCTTGATCCATTTGATAGACAACCAGGAACAGTCCCATCCTGTTCTGAAGCCCAAGGACTGTTCTACTACTTTACCAACCCTGAGTTCCTCAAAGCCATCAATATTGATACATCCAAACTGACCAAAGAGTGGGAGGATTGCAGTAGCACCATCAAATACACAAAGGATCCAAGAGCAACCTATTACTTATATCCTAAATTAATTAAGACTGGACTCAAAATACTTAAGTTTAGTGGAGATGTGGATGGAGTAGTACCAATCACAGGGACATTCTTCTGGTTGAATAATTTGTAGAATGAAATTGGTTAGATATGAATATCTATATTGTAGGCTTGCATACAATTGAGCCATGGAGATCTTGGACTATTCCAGGCAATAAAAGTGGAGAAGATTAGAATGCAGGTAACGTATGGATCTTAGATGGGTTGTGGTTTGTGACTATAAGAAATGCTGGACATATGGTTCCAATGGATTAACCTATGGCTGCATTGATCATGATAAATAATTTCATCTACGATATTCCCTTGCCTAATTGATTAATATTATTATTATCATTAACAAGTTTAAATTTATATCTAAAAATATGAGACATTCAACTTTATATATATATTAATACTTATATAATTCACATAGGAATCCAAATTAATTATGAGATTTCTGAATATTAATAATGATCCTTTATTGTAAGATATTTTATGTAGTATAAACTTGATAGTACTAAATAACCAAATTTATTATTTTTCTGCTTATTAATCATTTAATTATTTAAATGGAGTACATCCAAAAAATGATAAGGCCTTTTACAGATCGCTCTAATTATTACATTCAACCTCCCAATCCATTCAAGAGGAAAGAATCAAAACACACTCATGATCCATAACAAGTTTTGTTGTATATCAAGCAGATCTATTTCACTCTATAAACACAACAGGTTAATTAAGTGTTCTGATCATTTTAGAATGTTAACATGTCCTTTCTTAATCCAAATTATTTTTCAGATATCCAATCAGACCTCAATCCTGAAATGAGAGCATAGATGGTATTCCTCCCCACATAACCTTAAATAGATAGACGAAGTTCATAAGTTATGCACAGCTCATGAAGGCTTAGCGAAGAACCTTCCATTAAACCATTTATTTGCTCGATGTTTATTTAAGTACAAATAGAATATTTACCGCTCAAATCGATTCGATATACAAGACATGTTATTTTGTAGCGTCCAAATACGAAGAGGTATTTGCTTCACTTTTACTAGATCTATCCAAGTCCGTTGTGGAGATATACACACGACAGAGATGAGATGCAAGAGATATTTCAGATCGAAAAAGAATTATTATGCATTCTGGATTTTAAGTTGGTCACTGCATCCTCCTATGTTTGGTTAAACTACTATTGGACAATAATTAACATTGCAGAAAAAACTTCGAATTGGCTCACCTACTCCTTACTCTTGTTAGATGTGGCAGTTTACAATATCAATATCATCAAATATGAACCATCCAAAATTGCATGTGCTTCTCTCTATACCAGTGCCATCATGTTGAATATATAAATGAATTGGAATAGTTTTGCATCTCAATTTGGACTGCATTTCTAACACGAAATTAAAGTAATGATAAGATTTACAAACTTAGGAAATTTCTAACTTAATTATGATAACTTTGAAAGACAGTGTAAATTCAAAAAGAGAAATTGTCAAGCATATGCAACTGCAGAAAGAAAGAGAAATCTTTTGAACCAGTTGATATTATTTTATATTACTATTTTTAATAATTAAGTTGATTACAGTTTAATCTCTTTATAATCAGTGTGAATAATTATGGATATTAGTAATTTACCTAATTAATATTTGATTAATTATCATAAGAAGAGGACAAAAATATTTCAAATTCTATTATAAGAGTAAGCACTGTTTAGTGGTTAAGGAAAATGTCACAGTTTAATTAGAATAGGGATTGCGAAAATAATAAATATCATCAAAAGGTATTTGCATTCAATCAATTACAAAGAGACAGATTCAGCCTCAAAAATCTTAACAGAAGTCACAATTAATACTTGAAATAAAGAATTTAAAAAGGAAGATTAAATCCTTTTCAATGTTTAGTAAGGCATTAATATTGTAATAAAAAAAATATTTTAAAATCTGAGATACTTATTTATTTAATTTTAATAAATATTCCTTGTTGTTTTATATGATGATTCATATTTTAATGCTTCTTATTATATTTTGGATTGGACATAAGAGATCTAGATAAGTCATCATAACGGCTATGCTTGAATCTTCTGTTGTCAAAGTCTATCAAAATATTAAATTTAATTACTTATTGAGCCACTTAAGTAGGAACAGCAAAACTAAGCCCTGTGAGCACAGATAAAATTGAAACTACTATGAATATAAAGGTGCCCATCAAGAAGCCGAACACTTCAAGAAGAATTAGCCCAACCCCAATAGAAACTATTGTTAATACCTTCTTATTTATCACAATAAAATGTTAATTGGACTGAAATTGATTGCCTTCCAGTTCAGTTTTAATGTTTCTAAGGAGATCAACAATATTTGTTGTTGGTGGGAGTTCTGAGGGTTACACCAAAAGGGATTTATTTAATTGATCAAAATAAAAAAAGCAGTAGATTGTAATAAATTCGACTATTGGTAAGGCCTCGACCATTTGATATTCTCTGAATCCCATCAAAAAGTTCAATCCAAAAAATAGATAAGTAAATGTTTTGGGCAATTTTCCATAAATTTACAATTTATTAAGTTTGATCAATACTAAATTAAAGATACTATTAGCCATTAACCCAAACAATGTCAAGAGAATGTATATTATTGTATTATGGTATAGCCAGTTTTACTAATGGACACTAGACAATCCTCCCAAGACAATTCCTAAGAAGACTGTTTGAATCATGAAGAATGTATTTTAATTCCGAGCCTATTAATAAGTTAGAATACATACAAAAGACTTGGAATTTCTAGCAAAGGCAAGGAATACAGTGAAGCATAAGGTAAGAGACAATATAAAGTAATAAACCCAATTGAATTTATAGTCCATGTAATCTCTTCTTCTCTCTTCCATCCAATCTTCAAATTCCCTTCGTGTGGCACCACGATGATAGTTTTGACTGAAACTCTCATATGTATATTTTGATCCCCACCATTCTCTATCTACTTCAGTTAAATATATTGAGGAAAAAGCATTAATTTAATTGATTCCATAGATTAAAATGATCCCAGCAAGTTGTATGATTTGCTTTACATAGTATTTAACGAGGAATGCTTGTCTAGTCTATTCTGGACTAGCAGGATCATTCTCACTTGAAATATTGACCTGAGGAGACAGATTAGCTTAAGGAACACTAGGATTCATCACAGGATTAATCGTTTATTAACCCAGGTTATTGGGATATTTGGACATTTCATAATATTGTGGATCTGCTGAAAATTACATTAATTTAATTATTATACTTTTTATATCTTACCAATGTTTATAAATATTGATCAGGCTATTATATTTTTATCCTTTCATATTAAATTAAGAACCTAGGTTTATGGAAGGTATTTTGATTAGATCATGCAATTCCATTGAAATTTGTTTAGAATATCTATCAGATTTTACAAGAATCTAAATTAGTTAAATAAAATACTCTTGATTCAAATGGGTTCTAAAGATAAGTGAATGATAAACAATGACGCAGTAAATCATGAATCTCTGGAGAGAATTAAATACAATTTTGATTGTATCATATCTCCCCTAATACATCTGGACTAGTTTGAGTATTGTATATGGTAATAATCACAACAACCTGATCTAGTGTGTAAAATTTGATTAGGACAAATTAAATTCTATTTTTTCCAAAACTAGAAATAGCAAGGTTAGCTCGGATTATTAAGAATGTATGTAGGTCAGTATCTATTGATTCTTGTGGTTTTAATGATCTAAAAGTATTGCTTGGTTCTGTAACGCTTGATCTTGAATTTATAGACAATATAGAATTTGCATTATCCATTGAGTCATCCGAGGGATTGAAGAAATTAATAGAAACCCCTAGAGTAAGAAGATAGTAATAGTTCGAATATATCTTAATTATCGTGAGTTAGACACAGTTCCAATTTCTTAAACTCATTTTAAGAATGTTGATTATTTAAAAATATCAATTTAATTTTGTCAAATTATTATTATTTGATTTATAGGAATTGTTAGGTTAAAACCAAGAAGGATAATGATATGATGATAAATTGTATATGTATGTTGAATGACAAATTAAGTCATCAATTGGAAATGATTCCTCTCAAAATGTTCTTGAGTGGACTGGCTAGATCCAAGTAGGTCAAACACACTGCATAGGTTACGTCCTCTTATTGGAGAGTCTAAGAATGATTATGATATAGTACTCTTGAAGCCACTTAAGTGTTGAGCACAACGCTTAGGAGTGATATTGAAACCACAACCACAATTACAATGAATAGTGCATTTCCAGTGACGATGCTGAGGATCAGGATTAAAAGGTATGCAACAGCACTTGAAATGACTATGGCAATGTATCTGTTGACAACACAATGGGTTTCTTTGATTTATTCAATAACTTGATTTGATTGTGCTTCCTAATTGAAAAGTGCTTATATTTTATTAATTATTTATATTCTTCCCACTATTGAAACATCTTCTGGTAGTTCACTTGAATTTTTGAGTAGATGCTCATTCAACTGATTGAAATAATAGATGGAATAGATGATGATGGCTTCGGCGACTGGAAATGAACTATCTAAGGATGATGCACACAATCCGACGACAAAGTTGAGTGTTATTGATCCCATGATGGCGAACTTCATAAACATGGTGTAGTAGTGGGTGATGTTGTGTTTGACAAGCACGATTTGGGCAATGCTGTGTGCGATGAGGATTATCAATGTAATGATGATCCACCAATTGATTGCTGTTGCATGTGTATCTGAGTTTTCGTTGCCTATTCCAATAAGCACGAATCCTATCAAGATTGTCTGGAGATAGAATATAGAATTCTGATGTTTCACCTAAAGATATTAATTGATATCTTACTATTGTTCTTAAGGACCTTGTAATGGGCAATCCCAGGGCGATTATGATGAGAGCTACTACAAACGTATAGAAAGTCCATCTGAAAGTGTTGTAATAGTATCCAAAGTCCACCACAATGTTGGCAAACCACTCCATCAACCCAAAAGTGAACATTCCTAGGATACTCAAGTGTTATCTTAGGATTTTCTTGTAGTACTCCACAAGAAAGGTCTCTCTTGATGTCTCTGGCTCTTGTTTGGCGATTGGGATGGCTTCTTTGGCATCGTTCATCTGCACATACTGAGCTGGAGGAGTTGCTGGATTCAAGATTGGGTATTGGACTAATTCTACTCTACTTGCAGACAATCCATCATCAGTATTGTTCATCATATCCTGTTGTAATGACATTGTTTGTTTATTTAAAATAACTAAATTCCATAATCGATAGATGCATTTATAGATAAATTTTTAATTCAAAATTCAAAGTATTCATCAGACATCGTATTTCATCAGAATCTTAAGTATTTTAAATACTCCTTCAGAAATGGCACTCAAACACCAATCTGATGATCAATTTATTGATAAAAACCATCAAATGGAGATTTCAGGATCTCAAACATGAAGTATTCACGATCGTCATTTATTATGCATGTGTACATATTTATATATGAGAATTTAACATTGGGATTGCTCTATAAGCAAGGACAATTGAGTAAGAGAGGGATTCTCTACTCAGAAGACTGTCATTTGAGCATTTCTATTGAAATTTAGAATATCAACAGAATCAATCAATATGATTGTTAATTTAAATCGGGATGATAATTTTAATCACTGTAAATTAAGATATTCATAAGATCATATTCAAAATTTCTACCAAACTTCATTTTGAATGTGGTTTAATAAATAATATATATTAAAATAATTATGGGGAATTTTTGCTCATAGAAAGAAATTGATGAGTAATGTATTATACAACAACGAAAATCTAGTAGCGAATCCTTCCATTACAGTTAAAAGCCTTTGAAACGACTGGAAAAAAGCGAATCTGTTTACTCTGATTTGCAAGTAAGTATGTCACCATACAGTTAATTAGTGACTCAACTCATCGAATTGAAAGAGGCTTCAGAGATGATAAGCAAGTCGTAATTAAGAAAATCAACAAGAGCATCTTCTTCTCTTAAGAGATGCTGGAAATGCAGAAATAAATTTTACTTAATGTTCGCTTTCCTTTTATTTGTAAATTGATACAATACAAGAACACTCCTTAAACATGCACCTTTGAATTGGAGAGTTGTTTATACGATCTTGAACAATTAGCCTATAAGAAATAGTTGAGTGACATTTAGATCTAATTCATCACTGCACAAATCGCATTAGCAATTCACGAAATTCATAAGTCTGGTTACATCTATCGAGCCTTGAATCCTTCCCACATTTTGATTGCAGAAGATGGTTATATCAGATTGATCGGTTTCGGATTCTCCAGCAATAAGACAGTGTTCTTTAAAATTAATACGTATGAAGAAATACGCATATTCCCCCCAGAAGCCATGGAGATGCTATTTGATTAGAGTGGGGATTGGTGGCTTTTGGGTGCCCTACTATACAAATTGCTGTTCGATTGTTACCCTTTTGAGAATGATGACAGAGATGTAGAGACACTAAAACAAAAGAAGAAACAGAATGTAAAAGAATTCCCAAGGGAAATAGACCCTAATTTGTAGGATCTCATTGAGAACCTTTTGAAGTGGGATCCTCTGGAGAGATTAACGAAAATCGAGTTAATTATGCAACATAAATACTTCTGCTAGATTGATTGGAAATTATTGAAAGAAAAATTAATAGAATCCCCCCTAAAAGAATGATATTCTTTCATTATAATTTTAAAATCATGAAACTCTAATTGTCCTCATCCTAATTCACAACCAAGAGTCTCAACCCTTCCTCATCCTGCAATAACTACAATAGAGGTCCACAAGTGGCACCGAATTCATTCACTATTTTCTCATTTAAATACACGCCACTATTCAGTGGACTTATGGATGTTGATATACGTAGCACATCTTCACTGGTGGCCACTGAAACTAAGGCAAACATCTTCTCCTTGTCAACATCCAAAGGGTTCTCCAACATCACGAAATCTCCAACAGGTTATTTGTGACCCATGATCTCTTTCTCAACCTTCTGCGACTTCAAGTTCCATATCTTTATTTTACAATCACTACCTCCAGTCACAAATAGAGCTTCATCGATCATTGATGCTTGCATGCAGTAGATTTGACACTCATCGTGAAACACCTACTATTTCAAGGCATCTCCGAACACTTGTCTCGTATAAATCTGCGATCTCACATAGTGTATTTGATAGATAATGATACTTTTATCACTACCTCCTGTGATCACTCTTCCGTCTTTGGTTAATATTATGCCATTCACAGAGTCACTATGATCTTGCAACTTCTTCATTGTCATTCCAGAATAGGCATTCCAAAATGTTACTTTACCATCCTCATGTCCACTAATTAGAGTATGATTATCCAACAGACATAACATCGATGTAATTACATTACCCTATCCTTTCAATTGTTTTACCATGCCTCCAGTCTTGATATCCCATATCTTGATGTCTTGATTGCCAGTCACGAGATATTGCTATTCTTTTAAGTCTACTCCTAACACATTGGCTCTCGAAGTGACATTGAAATCTCCCTGAAATCCTTTGAATATCCTCATGCAAGTGACAGGTTGCTTATTTTGGAATGAGAAGCATTACTCCTTGTTTTTCAGATCCCATACCTACACTAACCCATTTCTGCTTCCAACTGCGATAATATTATCGGTTATTGCTTAGATACTTAATAAAGGATTATTCGATTAATATTTGTACTCCAACTTCAATCCGAAGTTTTTCATGCTCTATCCCAACCCTAAACTAATGTTCATGTTGAATTTTTGGGATTTCAATTTGTTCTGGATGAGAGTCTTTAAGTTTTCCAACTCCTGCATGTCTCTATCACCTCCAATTGCATTCTAGCGATTATTGGCGATGACAGTTTCAACCTTGGGCAATAGTAATAGATGCTCATAATTGTACTGTGGAGCAATTTCCAAGACGAGATTCATCTCATTCAATTGGGTTGAGACAGAGCTGATGAGTTGCTTTTGAAATTCATCATATTTCAATTGCAAGGTTTCAGTGTGTCGATAGCCTGGTTTGTGTGTAATTTGATTATCCATGTCTTCAGCCATAAAGATGAGGGTTCGTTTCATCAGTTCCGAATCTATGTTGGACAACCTTTGTTTGATGAGACACTTCTCTTCCTTGATTTTTTTGTAGTTTTCGTCTTGATCGTAATGAAAGATGGTTATGGAAGAAATATTGACAGGGATTGATCGATTCAACGCAGATGGGACTGACAAAAATGATTATTTGAATTGGGTGACCATTTCTTGCAATGTTTGATAATTGAATTCATAGTTGATTTGAATCTAATCTAGGGCATTCAACAACTCAGTTTGTTTTTTATCGATTTCTTCTGAGATGAGATCTTTGAGTCTGTTGCAATCGACACAGATTTTTGTCTTTTGATTTTGGATGTCATCGGATAAGATTTTTAAGTAATCAGGGTAATGGCCAATCAATTCGGTTACTTTGTTTGGAATCGAAAACAATTGACTGGATGCAAGAGAAGATTTAAGAGAGCTAGAAAATTTTATTACATGAATGGCACGTACCAATTGGATTAGAATCGATCATAAGATCTATCTCTATTGTCAATGCTTTATCCAAAGGTGATTCTATCTGCAGGAGTAAAATAATTGGATTGGGCCAGAGGATGATCGTTGAGAAACCAATCACTTTGATGGACCGAGCTTTATCTTCGACGTTCAGAAATTTGCTCTTGTAATTTGGATTCCTGTAAAAATGGGTTTGGAGTTGGTTCAAGTTTCTGAGATTCTCTGGCCACGCTTTCCGCAAGATGTTGCATAATCAGCTGGGAGTCCTTCATTCCAGGCTTCTTTTGAAACTTGATCTTTAGCTTTTTGCTAGTTCTCATCTCTTCATTAAAAATTTGGTTTATCATAATTATATTAATCAATGATAAGGAATATCTTAATAAGAGGATAAAATATCCCATTTATTAAAGGAGAGGGTGTCTTGATTGATCATTTCAACAAGATTGAATAGTCTAAGAAATTTTAAAATTACATTAAATCTTGGGAACAATCGAATGTTGAAGTGAAACAAATAGAGGTATCCTATGTGTACATGTTTGGATAAAATGTGGGTTTTGTCAATTTAATAGTTGATGCATACTTGAATGGGATTAAGTTGCCAGGCTTCGTATTTTTGAGGGGAGATGCAGTGGCAATTCTCTTATTGGTCAATAAGAAGATGGTGCTTACATAACAATTTAGAGTGCCGGTGGGTAAATTTACAATAGAAGCACCTGCTGGGATGATGGATGAATAGGGAGATTTCGGAGGAGTGGCTGCAAAGGAGATCAAGGAGGAAACAGGAATCAGCATTTAACACAATGAGATGCGTTACTTATAAGAAATGTTGGTGTCTCCAGGAGGAAGTGATGAAGTGATTCATTTGTTTGTTGTAGAGAAGAATATGGAATAGACATAATTGGATGAATTGTGTTAGAAGACACACGGGGCAGAAGGAGAAGGAGAATAAATAAAGTTGGTGATCCAAGATTTTACATGGGACAATGTATTAAAGACATAGGATTCTAAGTTGATAGCAGCTGCAGCAGCATATTACAATCCAAAATTGTGAAGGTTATATCAAATTTAATTATAATGAATTATACTATCAAAACAATCACAATATAGATCTGTTTATTGGGGATTTAATGCAATAGAATTGATACAACAATTCACGTAAATCACTTAATAACACATCCAATATCCCTTGATACTGCTAGACCATAAACACAGAGTTGAATCGTCACTTCCAGATATCAGGATATCTTGTCCAAAAGATACGCAGTTCACGATGCCGTTGTGATGATGTAATGTTTGATAGATCATGAAGTCGTCGATATAGTAATGGTACAGCAGAATGTCATTTTTTTGTGTTGCAGCAAGGAATTTCTGTTTGCACGAAAAGGCAATTGATCTGACTTTCTTTTTTGTATTAAGTGATTGAGTCAATTCAGCTGAACTTGTGTCGTTGTCAATTTTGATTTCCCATATGGCAATTCCATTCTTGCTTCCTGCTGCCACATATTAATTGTCGACACTAAAGGATATGGAGTAGACAGATCCTAAATCATTTGTCCATGTCCCCAATTTACTTAGCGTTTGAGTGTGGAACAATGCTATTCTACCATCGAAACTGCTGACTCCAATGTAGTGTTGATTTTGAGACATCACTATAGTACTGATAGCTTTTGAAAACCCTTTCAATTAAGTTACTTCAATATATTGATTATTAAATTATTAATAAACTTTAACAACCTTCTCTTCGCCTCCTATCAGCACTTTGCCATCTGGTAATATAAGTCCAGTGTACACAGGAAGAGTGGAGTTCTTGATAACACAGCATTTGTTTTGTTGGTGCAAGTAAACTTCTTGGCCGCATGATAAAATCTAATCTTGGGAAGCATAAATGTGATTGATGTCAGAGGAATGCTTGCGATATTAAACGTTCTATTTCTCTTTAAAGTGAATCTCCTTGGTTACATAATCCTGTTTGACAAATTAGATGCAATCATAATATTGATCCATAAATCTGATTGCATTATCAATTGGTTTCAGAGATTATTAATCATCAGCCACTCTGCAAAGAGACTCGAATGATTATGTGATATTGTCAAGCATGTTGAGAATCAACTACTTGATCTAGTAGAAGTAATCTCTTTTTCTCTAAAGAATTGGCATCATTTTTTTATGTATAAAATTTTTTGTATGATCAAGTAAATATATCAATTCTCGATTATCCATGCAATTAATGGTCTCTCGTATTGATTTCTCACATTGGTTTGCAGTACTCCACACACTATTGGCAATTACACCACCCATTATTAATCATCACTCTTCTCCTCCAATACCACCTATGGTTCTATCGTGTATTGACTGCTCAAAGCAAACTCAATAAACAAGAAATTCGAATCCTTGGTCATCTAAGACTTCTTTTCGAATTGCTGTATTAACAATGACTTACAACTGTGATTGTATTTAAACGGAAATGACTATCAAAATACATCATAATTACCTAAGAGATCATTGTCGTTATATTCAAATAATCTTACTTAACTTGATTGGCCATCTGCTAGTTGTGCAACTCAATGAAGTAGAAATAAGAAAGTGAATCTGAAGTAGGCACAAAGAAAACTCTCAAGTTCTTCTAATATAAATCAGCCTAGTATATCTACTGCGTCCCCATTAAGTTAGGGATTTCAATGTATTTCTAATGGCCAATCATAACCTGCCTCTGTCTTTTCAACCTTAATTGTGTATTCATTTAAAGCACATTAACCTATTTATATAATAATCCTATCATACCATCTATAGGTGTGGATCAAAATTCGGCAATTTCACATCAAATTAGAGCTGGGATTTCAACTCATTCTAATTCAACAACACTTTAAAATCTGAGTTTGCTAACGAACCCTGATATTACTGAAATTTGTTTCTTAAAAATGGATTCTCATCTTAGAAATCACTCTCTAAATGAAATTGAAAACAATCTTCAAATAACTAATAATGGTCTTTGATTTTGAAATATTCTAATTTATTCTCTGTCTTAATTCTCTATTCACTCTATTACAATGCATAATAATTCTAAAACTGTATGGAAATCTAATTCTCCTTTTTTGGTGGACTACATAGATATTTTAATATACAAATCCTAGACTGGTCTCTTTAAATAATACACAGTTTTCCTCTGTTGACTCTTGGCATCATTATCGACGAGTCTCCACTTGAACTTGGCTCTCTTGATGGAATCCACAACCTACTTATTGGCCACCAACTCTCCTTAATCGGAATAGTGATTCTAACTTTAATGAGATTGATACTTAACTAATTTGGATTTCACTTGCGTAGATGTCTGCATTGAATATGTAATCACTCAATTTCATCAACATTCCTTACAAATTATCAAGATTGTTGGTCATTATTGACTCAATAATCCATTTCTTCTCATGAAAATGATTCTCATCAACATAAATGAGAGCATAACCATTATACAAATTTAATAGTGCTGCTTCCAGTCCAAACTTCAATTTATAAGATAAATTATAAGGATCAGAATTGAAAGATTTCTAAACTTCCAACACTGTTATTTTCAATAATTCATTTATCTTCCCATCTATGTCTCTTGGTTGCAAAAGTAAGGGCAACGGCTATTAACCTTGTAGATTCCCTTACAAAATCCTCTCAGGACTCCTGATTATGCAATCCTTCTCCACCAACATTGAAAATAAAGGCTTATTAATTTATTCAATGTCATTCTAAACGAACCCTATCAAAAAGGGTGGTTATATCACCTTGTCTAGATCATGCACATTACTAATAGAATGAAATCCAGGGATTCTGTGATAACAAAAGGAGATTTCAGTATTATTTTAAAAGAACCCATTCACTATTGAATTGGGCAATGTTAGTTGATTACCTGTTGCTTTGAAGAAGGGCAACCAAATATTTTGTAGGCCTTCCTACTTTTTGTCAAACCTTTCAAAGATTTAATTTATGTTTTATTAGATATTCGATTTCGTAATTTCGTTCTATTGTACTTCATATATGTATCTAATTTAATGAGGTGCTCAAATACATCTTGATATTAGGATTGATAGTAGAGACCAGGTAGATTTTGCGTTGTTTCATATTTGCATCACTTGATGTCAACTCCAAGATGGAACCCTCTTGTTCATTGAATGGTGGATGCTAAATGAAATATGAATATTATATTACAGAAATCAAACGAATGTAGGGAGCATTGGTATTACGGTGGATTTCACTTGAGAAGTATTGAAAATTGAGTTTGATTGCAAAGTTTTAGAAATACACAGGCCCATCAATAGGAGAGTTAAATTCAACCGAAAATCTGTTCTTGATATCTTATAGTTTATGAATCAACACGTATTCCTGACCATACAATTTTGACTTCTTCGGAAAATCGATATAAATATAATATATACAGACAAAATAGGTTGCAAAGCAGTAATATTGTTTTCAAAATGAATGATATTGTTCTTCCCCAAATTTGCACCGAATTAAGCAACCAACAACTCCTCATCAGTTATCAGTTACGATTGAGTCTGAGTTGCAAATACACGAACCATCCTCAAAGTCAATGGAGTAAAGAATCTTCTATCTTTGGCATTGACTTAACCTTAGGGTATTTTCTATTCATAAAAGGAAACATTTAATTGGTTATAAGAATGGTTCTTAAGAAAACTGAACTTTAAATTATGCAATTAAGTTTTAATTGGTTTGTCATTACTACATGAAATGAGTAATGAACCAAAGTTGTCTCCTTTTTAAATTAGCATTTTTATTAAATTTTACACGATGTGATTTAATTACTGTTGCCAAGGCTGTTGTTGTTACTCTTGAATGACGTATATTGAATGAATTATCCATTTTCTAAAATTGCTATCCTGATCAATGGAACACACCAACAAAGCAGATTGATTTATTTAAATGATTGTGGCCTCCTGCCAAAACAATATCACATCTTTAAGATGAGCTATGGGGCATTTGAAACTTTCATTCAACTCAATTATATTCTTGCTTTGCCAATAAGTAATCACTTTTTCGATATCTCTCTCTGGATAGTGATGTATTGTAAACTCAAGATCCTCATTTACATATAGCATAGTCCTAGGATAATCATCTAATTGGGTGACAGCAGGTATGTCAACCTTAGCCCTTTAAGAATGGAGCAATTTGGATGTGTTAGGTCTGAATGACATAGTTTCCATCATTTAATTTGATTCAACTAGATGAGACTCGTCAGTTAATTCTTAAAAATATCTTTGCAAATCCATCATTCTCTGTACTGAAGACTTCTTTATCTGGTGTTATGCCAGAAAGTCATAGTATTCGACATTCTCTGTATGAGCTTACTCAATAACACTCAGATAAAAGATGTCCTTTTCTTTTAGATTGAAGTAACTTAACATTTTAGGATAGGTAATTTAAATGAGATTCGAGTCGTCACGAATCTTGAGTAGGTAATCTCTGCGATTGATGATCCATGTGTAATTGTATTGATACTTAGAACTTAGGGCATTCCTCCATTTACGATGGAACTCAATCAAATTGTAAGTTAATTTTCTGAGATCATAGATTAATTTAGAAATCAGCCTGACATAATCCATTTGACCAATATTTCTTGTCTTTTATATTTCTTTGAGGCAATGTTCTCTGCTTAAGGTCAATTGATGCAATGTTTTAACTACGCTATGGTTATTTTAAAAACTCTCCATTTCTTAGCGCATCAGAGTGACAGCTTGAGATTCATGGGTTTTGAGTATGTTGTAAAAGTACTTTTGGTGGCAATCTGGAATGTGATTGTCTTTCCAAATTTATCGTACTTATTGAAACAATTCATTATTGAATGAGAGCTGTTGAACTATTTAATGATATATAGATAATACTTTCCAGACCATCCAGTTTTTCTAATTGAAGTTTAGAATTTGAGATGTTATGCATAATAAATAATTTAAATTTTAATGGCAATTCATAAAAATAAGTAGAAGTGAATGGGAGACTTGGTGGATTAATATGAACTAATAAAGAAGTAGGTGATGAGGATGCTATAAGATGTACATTAAAATGCTTTCAGAATTGCACTTATTATTGAATTCAAGGAAAGAAGAATTACTGAATTAATATAAAGCAGAGTTGATTTATAGATGTAGAACTTGTTAGATGATTATGTATTAAGAGAACCTAATGACTTTTAATGACATTAGCATTTAATAGATGACCATATTCTTTGAGCTACATAAAAATATTGTCATTTATTCTATAAGCTTAATCCCTTTTACAGTTTGAGTTATTAGCCTAATAAATGGTCAAAAATAAAGTAACATTCTGATGGGTGTTGATCAACCTTAACCTTATGCCCAATTTAATAGAAGGAGTTTAGAATAAAAAGTTAGTCTATCAAAATCTCATGTTCTAAATGGCTAGCGAATCATGCCTTTGTAAAGAGGTTAGGTAATTGTGTAAGTATTATGACTAACATGTACTGCACAATGGTAATTTCAGTAGGATAGTTATATTATGAATACATATATTATCAGTTATATAGTTTTACTGATTCTTGACATTAATTATAATATAATTTTGCTGTTAAATTTGATGTGGCAAACTGCGAATTCGGTTCTATAGGTAATTACAAATACTTACGAAAATACTCGTGGGGTTGAGTATTTGGACAAGAAACCTCAGACTTAAAATTCCATTGATGAAGAAACTAGGAATAATTATAGTGAGGATGAAGATTTCCATGAAGTCGATAAAGGTATTAATCACATTTAGATTAGAATTCGATCCCAATTAATGGAGTTTGAGAAATTTTGAAATGGGCAGATATTTGGGAAATGGTAAATTTGGACATGTTTACTTAGCGAGGTAAAATAGTTTTATATCCGATTAGGGAGCGTGATAGTAAATTTATCCTGGCCTTGAAAGTAATAAGTAAAAGATAACTCAATCTCTGTTAATTGACTGGATCTCTAACCAGAGAAGTCGAAATACTAACACATCTCAAACATCCTAATATAATTAGTTTTTATGGCTTTTTTTAAACAGAAAAACGTGTTTACTTGATGCTGGAATGGGCTCCATTGGGAGACTTGTATGGTTTAATGAAGAAGCAATAGAATAAGAGGTTCAATGAAAAAATGGCGTCAAATATTATCAAGCAAATAACAATGGCAATCGGATATATGCATTCAATGAATGTAATACATAGGGATTTGAAACCTGAAAACATTCTGTGTTTCAACAACGATGTTTTTAAGATTTCAGATTTCGGTTGGAGTGTTCACACCCCATCAAATAGAAGGAAGACTCTATGTGGTACTTTAGACTACTTATGTCCAGAGATGATTAACTATCAACCTCATGATAATAGAGTGGATGTATGGACTATTGGAGTGTTAGCATATGAATTAGTAGTTGGTAATTTTTAAGATTATGAATAGGGAGGCCACCTTTTGAATCACATAATGAGAATGACACGAAGAGGAAGATTTAGCATTTGTAATATTAGTTTCCGTAGTGGAGTAGCTCAGATTTTCAGAATTTTGTCAAGGGCATCCTTCAACATGATTGCAATAAGAGACCGACGATCTAATAGATCTTAAATCACCCATGGATTGCTTAATGAATTACTAATATATATTATAATTAAATAAACAAATTTGAAATTCATGGTACTAATATAGATAGATATTCATTTAAGATTAGGTTTATCTTGTTGTAGAATAGACAGGGGAAGACAAGACTTTCGAAATGGTATGTGTATTATGATGATGCCGAGAAAGTAAAATTGCAAAATGAAGTTCATCGATTGATAGTTTGCAGAGACACTAAGCACACTAACTTTTTGGAAGTACAGAGTTTCATCATAATTAAGTTCAGGAATTATAAAATCATCTACAAAAGATACGCAGGATTGTTCTTTGCGTTATGCGTTGATGTGAGTGACAATGAATTAACAATGCTAGAATTGATACATTTATATGTCGAAGTTTTGGACAAATACTTTGGGAATGTGTGTGAATTAGACATAGTTTTCAACTTCAATAAAGTAAATAATGACGCTACTATTGCAAGGCGTATTCTATTTTGGACGAAATGATTGTCGGCGGAGAAATTGTTGAAACTTCTAAATAAGTCATAATTACTGCAGTCAAGAATATTGAATTATTAGATTGATACATTATATATATCATTTATTTTTCTTTTTTTCAGCAGCCTTTGCATCAGCAATCCATTTCAATTATTCATCAACTTCCTTCCTGTATCTCATTTCGTTTTTCATCCTCTTTATTTATTGCACACTCTCCTCTACAAATTCATGATTTAAATTAAGCACTTCAGCCTCCTTCAACAGTCCCTCCAATCCTAAGATAAATCTAATATGATACCCTTGATATTCTCATCTAAAGACTTTACATCATTAGCCCACTCTGGAATCACAAACTTTGGTTCCTTCTTCTTCTTCTTCTTTTGATTCTACAATGCCAATTTCAATGGATCAATCGGTTTCCCTGTTATTGGATCAATAGGTTTCTTGGTCTTTGGATCCCATTTAATAGGATCTGGTATCTCTCTTGCAGGATACTCATTAAACATCTTCAATATTTTCTTAGCTTGAATAGCCTTTGCCATCTTATCCCTCAATTCTGAGGCCTGATCTATATATTACTTATCCACTCCTTTATCCGTCGCTATAACTACTTTATCATTCAACACAACCACTTGTTCAGGTGTTGACAATCCAATATCCAAATTATCTAATTCGAATTATAGATTTCTCTATCGATAATATTTAAATGTACCTCTGCTCTAAGTCTCTCCATCTCCTTTTCAGCTTCCTCCTTAACATGAGCATCAATCTTAACACCCCTATTTACTGCATCATCCAACATAGCCTAAATCTAATTGACAGATTTCAAGATAGTCTTGTAATTAGGCACATGATTCAAAGTACTCAAATAATCCAATATCACATTCTAAGTCCTCAACTTCTCCTGTTCAATCAAAGCAAACTTGTAATTCTTGGGATCGATCTCTATCCTTTAGAATTCTTCCTTCCCATTCTCATTCTTAATCACTATTCCCTTCTCAATCTCATTCAACTTCTCTGTCAACAGCTTATGATCCTATTTATCAATTATGCTCAACAATTCTTCAGTATGTTTCCTTATAGTATTCCAACAATTCTAGCATCTCCCTTCTGGCTTTTCCAAATCAGTAGAATCGGCATTCTCATATACCCATTCCATTCTGTACTCTTCTTATTTCCAAAATTTTCTACAAGTCATACAGAAATATTTAGCTGTCTAACCACTCACCTCCAACAACTTAATCAACTGTAATATATAGGCATTTGTTGCCAAATCCTTTGCAGTGTGTCCCCTTGTATTTGGTCTGTCTACAGCTACTCCATAAAATAGCAGTGTCTAGAACACTACTTAGTTCCCTCCTGATGCTGCCAAATGAACACTGTTATTTCCAAATTGATCCACATCCTATATTAAAATCTCTAATTTCTTATACCTCCCAACTCAACCCTGACTTCAATAGTAACCATACAACCTAAACATGTCCTTTGAAACAAGCCCACATCAATGGTGTCGATCGGACTTATTGATTTATAACTCCTTAAACCACTTTCTTTGTTAATTATGATTATTGAAAACTAAACACTGCTGACTAAGCTCCACCTCCAGGACTCCCTCCGAAATATGTGGACTTGCTTGGAGATGATTAATTCATTGGACTTGAATAAATAGGCATTGTCTATGCGAAGTTCTACAATATCAACGCCATTTCTGGAACATATGGTGCTGCTGCTTAACGAGACAACAAAACACGCACTATTTCCGTGTACCCTCTGCATGATGCCCACATTAATGGATTCCATTTTTTCTTGTCCTCATACAAAACATTAGCCCTCTTGTCTAAACAACGCTAGACTGCTGTTAAATCTCCTTTCTAACATGCAGTCAATCTAATCGACTAAATACACCTTAATACAATTGTTAATGCCAATCTCCCTTCTATCTCTTCTCATCCTCGTCCATATCTGACTCCTCCTCTATTGGTTAATCCATCAGTTATTTTTCTGGGTCCATTATTTGTTTTTTAAATTTTATATTATAAAATAATATTTCCAAGCATTATTTTAATTTATATAATCATCAAGATTATTATTACTGATAAACATCCAAAATTAATTCAATTTTGAGTTATACACAATATTCTTACTATATCTTTAATCAAGAAGAGGTAAAATAGCTGGTTTATACAGATTTATTAATATCAACATAAATTTACCTCGTTGAAAACAATGAATTCTAACAGCATCCCTTATAACAATAATAATATTCTTTTATAAATTAAAACATACAAATGCTTTGATATAATTTTATAATTATAATTAAATAGGGATATTTATCAAATATTGAGTTTATAATTTATAAAAAATCTCATTTTATTCATGTGCTTGCATTATTCCTGGATACATTATTATTCTTTTTTTTCGTAATGAACAGAAGAATTAGTAGAAAATTCACAACCTCTACGTACAAAGGCATAAAAGATTTATTTTTAAGATTATCTTCAAAATCAATATGAGAATAAAGGATAGATACATCGTTTTTTATCAATAGGTCGCAATTCTTTTCAAGATACAGTCTATAATAATCAATTTCTAGAAGAAATATATTAGCATAATCTTTATCTTCTTTGTCTCTTTGAATTTATATGAAATGGGTTTCGTTATAAACTTAGATCTCCCCATCTTTTTCATATTTATAAACATAATCAATTAATTCAACAGGTTAACTTATATTAATCTAATATAAATAGTATGATGAAGTTTAATTTTAAGAGTTTCCCTTCATAACATAAATGGTATCACTAACTTTCAAAAAGTTTTCAAAAATTATATTAGAATATTTTAGATATTGATGATTTGAATATTTCAAAAGAGTCAATAAATTAAAATCATAAATAAATTCATAAATGTACGCCATATCTTGAGGGCAAAACAAGGCAATAGTAATTTAAATTTCTTAATTTTAAATGATGGAATTTAATATTTTAAAGGACACTATTTAAAAATCTGGCTTGAATTCATTACTTGATTTAAGTTCATTTGTATTATCCGAACAAGATGAAAGACAAATTTTAGAATTGATTTCTAATATTAGTAATATGAACTAAGAATCAATTTTGTATAAATATTCAATTTGCTTCATACCTTCAGAATATATTGAACATTGTAAATTACTTTCATTTTCTTTCGTTTTATGAATTTAAAAGTATTACTCTCTTTCAGTAATAAGATAATCGTCTATCAAGTTAATTGATTTAATATAATGATCAAATTATGTATCAAGCAATCCTTGAAATGGGGAATTGCCAATGGTTTCTTCTTCACTTTCTTAATTTTCATATGAATCTAAAAAACTCATTGTTCCTAGTCGAAAATTATAAATGAAGATTTTTGTATTATAATTAGATATTATCAAGTTATTTAGGAATATTTTTTCTATGGATAATGAAACGGTTTGATTTAAGCCAAGGTAATCATAAATTAATAAGGATTTAGAGATCATGCAAAATCTTTAACTAATATACTAACATTTCAACTAAATATTAGATACTACTTGAATTGGTTCTTTCAATGATCCTTAGCAAGCACCGCTAAGTTGCAAATTGTCGATTCCACCAAAAATAGATTCTAAATTAGTAATTTAATTCTGACTACTAAGCAGCAATTTCTTAGATTTAGCCTCAGGTTTATATTTCAAAACGGTATCTTTATTAAATATGTGCAAATAGATAATAAAGCTCGATGGTATTGATTAAATGTAAGACTTAGCCTGAAATTTAATTTAAGTATTTATTATAGCAGAAAATGAAGCATTCTAATATTTGATATTGAAGCTAATAGTTGAATAAGTGAACACAATTTTGTCAGTCAGAATTTATAATAATATTCCTGTTTCATCAACCAATTCAAAATTTATTACATTAGGTAATTTTTTACTAATATATCTTAAACAATATCTTCCTTATTAAGTGATATCATAAATAAATAGGTATTCCTACTCATTCTTCATTGTAGTAATGCAAAATAGTTAACCATATTATTTCATTTGAATAGGGAACACGACTTAAAATTCAAATGTTGGTATTTCATAAAGAAGGATGATGTTATCTAGATCAAAGAAATAGAGTAGTAATTATGTTTAATTCTCTTTTTTTACTATGAGTAAAATTCTTTTCTAAGTTACAAATACATTTGATGAAATAATCTAGCCATCTACTGATAATACATAATCATGATGATAAGGTTTTATTGATTTCATGTGGATTATAGAATCTTCATAATTAATATATAAATGTGGAGCTCTAAAATCAGTGTATTTTTCTTAGTGATTCTTAGCCCAATAGTCTCGAAATTCTTTATTCTTTGTTAAGGAATAGTCAACAAAATTATCAAACTCATATGTATAGATCGTATTATCAGCGAGAAGACATATTACTGCTTTTACCTCCTTTATATATTGTATTATTTTGGTTTTAGGTTTATAATACTGAATCTATTCCAAATTCTTGTAATTAAAAATCCTAAATTTCATTAGTAATTTACTACCAATCAAGATTATTATGAAATCAGAATTCATTTTATTCACCTCAACTTAAAATTCTTAGGTTTTTGCTATGAGTTGAAAATTTTTGTTAAAGTCACCCTTTTTTAGGTTGGCCATAATTTTCTAATTCCAATCTTCATAAATTATCAACAAGCAATTCATCTCAAATGAAACAACTCTTAAAATCTATTTGATTGGTAACATTAAGTGATAAGTGAAGATGCATTCATTTTAAAATTCAAAATGATTTCTATCTTCATCAAATTCTAAATCTAAATAAAAAGGAATAGACAATTAAATTTAATTAATATCAATTTTAAAGTTGTTATTGATAATTTTACTATGCCAGATTTCGACTCCGCTATTTATTAGAACATCCAACGGATACTTTATGGAATATTCTTAAGCTTCATAGTAAGTGAATATTTATTCATTCATGTGATAAAACACACCTTTCATAAATATTGCAATAAAAGGGAAGTGAGTATATTCGATATATTATTTAAAGCATGTAATTTTATAAAACGCAATATTATTGTTTTTGTTAAGAATGACAAGAAAAGGGAGTGTGCTTAATTTAAAAATTTGCTTTACATTCTGAATCGTTTATTAAAAAAAATAATCATACGTTATAATTGCTTGCTTTTCGTATAAGTAAATACAAAATTCATCTGAAACTTCTATACTTTTAATCTAAGGTTCTGATTCAAGCATTTTGCATAAGGCAGGGTTATAATAATAATCAACTTTTGACTATGGTTATAATGTTCCTCGAATTAGTAAAGGAAAGCAGGATTATAAATATGGAAACCATGTTTTATATTGCCATTTCAAACTTTTAAATGATTGATCCTAAAAATTATAAGTACTCAACATATTAATAAAACCTAATAATATAATATTGGATTAACAAATTTTTAGATCAATCAAATTACCTTGATTTGGAAAGTTAGCCAATTCATGTAGTTTTGTATAATTCTTGTTGAATTGCAACTTTTCATCTAAATATATCATATCCACTACTAAAACAATTGATACTTCACACTACAAAGAGTTAATGAATATTCTATTGAATTGAAATTTAGAGTCAAATCTGCAATTTTTGGGTAGATCAAATGTGATTTCATCTACAACTTCACTGTAATTATTGAGCATAAAATATTAAAATTGGTTGATAGGATTATGACATTGAATGAGGAATAAGTCATCTTAAAGAAGAAAAGCATTCTAACATGAATTTGAAGGAATAAAAAGTTAGTTTGATTAAATTTGATTTACAATTAATTCTTCATTGTACAAAGTATTATTGATTCTAAATTTGCAATCTATTATTTAATGTTATAAATAACAGATGTCGATATAATTTTCTGATTGTCTTATAAAAGGAAGTAGAATTGCATCCTCATCATTAAAAATTAAATTGAGCTCTTGTTATTGTTATAGTAATTGCAAGGAGGATGGCTCATTAAGTTTTTCTTATAAATCCTCCATATTAGTGAATGGAATAGCAATGTTAACATCATTAAGATAATATCTTTCATTTTCCAAAAAATATAGATATTGCCGCTTATCATTCTCAATAATTAGATTGTTATCCCAACAGTAAATGTGAATGAGACAAGAGAGAAAACAAATAAAGTTGCTTATCTAATTCATTGGAATGTTTGTTATTAAAAATTGTAAACTTGTTATATGTCAGATTTAAAAGTGTTTTTATCAAAATGATTATAATATATATACATGATATAAGTTTTATCATTTTTTGATTATATTCATATTAATATAATATGTTATAAATCAAATTTGATAAGTGGGTTAAGATAAGAATCGGCGAACCCATTACTGCTTTTGATGTCGATAACAACATGATTATCTTTGGAGCTATCAGTGGGTATATCGGATAATACCTCTATAATTAAAATGAATTGAGATACATTCCTGATGTATTTGAGGAGATCATAAGAGGAGTGAGTAAATAATTAAATAAACCAAAGCAATCGAATAGGAGAAAGTATACATAGTGGTAGGAGATGTATATGGTTACATTTTCGATTATTAGATGAGAGAGAGTCATCAATGGAAATTTGAAAGACCCCATTCTCCTCCACTCTGTAGTTCAACCCTATCCTTATGTTACAAAACTAAAACATTACTATTATCGGTTGCACCAACATAAAATAAGGACATTGGAGTGGACATTTCTACCAAAAAGAATAGCTTATATTTGTTTGATCTGCAAAATCAAGATAGCAATACATATTATGCAGATATGCCATTGCTTTAGGTTCCATTCGATTTCAAGGGAGATCAATTGTTAATGTTGGAATACTTGAAGGAAGCAAAGAAAAAGTTGTCAATTTTACATTTGAATGACCCACCTTAAGTGAACATTTTATTGGACATTGACCCAAAGATCGAATATATTTCTCATGGAAGGTTTGTAAAGGATGGCATCTTATTTGTCGAGAATCATAAGATAGTTAAAATCTATAATCCCATTGAGAAATCGTAGAAGGCAATCAAAATCACAAAGCAACAGATAGTGGCTCTGGATTATCATGAAAATGAAATCACTCTATTAGAATATGATGGTACAATCACTATATTGGCGAAGGAAGAATAAATAATTTAATTTAACATTTTGAAGTACTTTTTTATATGATTATTTAAAGGGTAATGCAGATACCTTAAGAGTTAGTAAAACATAAGTATTTGTTTGATATGGGTTATCCATATTACATAAAAAAAAGAGAAAAGAGAATTGTAATTTCCCATGATTTAGGATTGCTCTCCTTTACTTTATAAATGTGAATTCATCAAAATAATATAAAGAAATCAATTTAATTTAATTTTTGTTTTATATCTATTGCCAAATACTGGTAATTGTTGATGAAATAATTTAGCAATTGCAATTTATTCTTTTGATTGTTAATTCTAGTTATCAAGCCTTAATGTACACAAGAAAATGATTTAGAAAAAAAATTGAAATTCATTTAAAATGGTGTTAATTAAAACCTGTTAAGATTATTCAATTTATGGATGCAACTCTATAGATAGTTGCTTTTTAGAGAGCAACAAATATATCTATAATATTTGTGTTAAAATCTATAGATATACAAATAGAAACTTATGAATTAGATAATAATTAAACAATCAATAATGAAATTAGTCGCTAGATCAGATATTATTTAATTTAAATCAATAAGATTAGAATTAAATTCATTAAAACTTTTTTAATGGAAAGGGTTGATAATGCTTAATCAGAATGGTTATTAGAAATTTTCCAGAAGCATAAGTAGAATTTAAGATTTCTTAAAGATAACATAGAATGATCAGAAACCAATTGTTATATTAGATTAATTTATAGAAACTGTACTATAAATGGGTAGAATACCTGGAAAGATGGAAATTACCAGGAATTCATCGAGTGATTTAGTAATATTGATAAATAAATTAATATATTTATTTTGAATCTCAAATATTTGATCATGAACTATAAGTATCAGATCATAATAATGAATAATGCTACAATTAAAGCAAATAACGTTTGAGCATAACAGGATAGACATTCTCCTCCAGCAGAAGTAGAAACCCATCTAGCAGTACCCATGGTCTATTAGTAACAATTTCCTTATCCTAATCCTCCGTAATTTTAAGCATTTGCACATTTTCCTGTAGTAGAATTCCAACTACATAATTGATAATAACCTTTATAGATGACATCCATAACATAGGTGCAACTTTCTTAGCTTGTTAAATCAGTACAAAGTAATTGGGAACATTTATTTTCAGTATATTTACATCCCTTAGGGGCTGTAATGCATTATTATTAATTTAATAAAGTGCAATCTTGTGCTGCTCTGCATCCAGTGCCATCTGTCCACATGCATACTCCATCTTATGAGATATATCCCTAGCAATATTATTGGGCAGTAAAGTGTGAACAAGGATATAATTAATTTGAGGAACCACACTTAGTACCATCAGTGAAAGGGCAATTATTAGAAATATTCAAGCATTGTAATTAACTGGATCCTGAAAATTAACTACAGAAGGTGAAAAACTTGCAAGAACTTTCACCAGAAGAGTTTTGAGTCCACATACATTTCAAGTTTGCAGCACATGCTTTAGCATCAGTTACCTTCGTACAGTCTAGAGTGGAACATGAATTGTCACTCCATGTACACTAAGGTCCCATAGATGTACAATCACTCTAGTATTACAATTATTCACAAGTGCAGTAATTTGATGTATAGAATTATCCAACGCTTTATCCACTATTTCCCAAACACCCAACAAAGAATAGAGTTAGGAGGATTTTGATCATTTAATTTAAATAAAATAATTTATGTTCTGTATTTAATCAAAGCTTCCATTTAAATCCAGATAATTAAAGAATACTCCTTAGTAAATGCCCATCTGAAGCATCTCATGTCTGATATCCCATTAAATCAATAGCATTTCTATATTTGTATCTATAATACACAAGATGTCAATTTATATTATTCATAATAAAATGATGATATATAAATCAATTTTTAATATATATTTATAATTAATCTGGAATCTGTGTCTAATTCTGAAATTTTATTTCAATTAATCATTTTGATATGGATAATTCGATATTAGTTATTCTGAATTAGGTAATAATCTTTGCTATTCAATTTGTTAAAGATTAAACTGTTTTACATTAAAATGATTGAATTATTATTAACTTTTCAATATTTAATTTCCTTGAAGGAGTTCTATTTCTTTTGTCTTAAATTTCACATAATTGAAATTACACATTCCAAATGTTTTCACAGTTCAATCCTTAGTTTAACTAGAATCAAATTTAAAACAAAAGAATTATCCTCTCTGATTCTACTAAAGTCTAAAGATAGTCAAAATACAGAATATTCTTTAGAATGTTCCTGAAACAACTTGTCTGCTGAATTAAGTTCATCATCATCAATTCTTCAATAAATGCTTCTAAGTCATAGATCAGACTTCTTTGAACTATTCGTTTATGATTTCTTTCAGTTGGAAAAAATAAATGTTGCAATTATATCTTTAGCAACTTGAATAATAAGGATTAATCTAGGAATATAATAGGTAATTCACTATTTAATGATGATTATCTCTATAGGGTATAAAATAATGACAATTTATTTTTAATATGTTTTCTTATTATAGCACTGTAATTTCTAAATTTTATTATTTCTTTTATAATGTAATTAATTGAAGAAGAAATGAAATTAGAGCTTAATTTTAGTTCGCTTTTTATGAAGTATTTAAGATTAATCCAATACATAAGCTTGATCCAATTTGGCATTGAATTCATTATTTAAAATGGTACTCTCTAATGACGAGACATTCGAACTAACTTTTGTCGATCCTTTTCGACAATGCAAAGGAAAGCCTTTGGAGTACAAACACATAATGACACCTGAGGGGATCTGCATCATAGGAGAAGTGGATCAGCACTTCATAATTAATGTAGAATGCAAGGACAAAGGAGTATATGGCATCAGAGTAATTGTGGATGGGTATACTTTACCAGGAAAGAAGACTTTTAAGAGCAAGTGTAAAGTGCAAGGCTTCACCAACTCTGAAGGCAATATCAATTGTTTCAAATTCTAAAGGCCTAAGTCTGATCCAGAGTCTACAAATGTGTTCAAGAGGAATGTGTATAGACCACCTTGGGATATGAGTTAGAATGATTATCGTGACTATCCTGGAGGTGCTGGTGAAATTATAGTCAAGATCTATGAAACCAAATAGGAGGAGAATACACAAGGAGGAGGTGGTGGAGGAGGACCAAGAGGAGGAGGTGCAAAAAAGTCCCAGGATCCCATGTTTGTCGAAGTGACTAAGAATGAAAGCAAATAAGCTGAGGATTAAAGTTTAGGCATTTCATAAGGCAATGTCATTGAGTTGCCACCCAGATAGTCATTCGATGATTCCAGACCTCCAAAACCATTTAAAGATGTAATTGTATATGAGCATATTGTGTAATCTTTCAGAGTCATTTACTTTGATGCTGCAAGTCTGGTTGAGAAAGGGTTTGTTAAGTTGAATTGTCATAATCACATTGCTTATTTGACTGAGGAATTCTTTTAAGGAAATGAAGCTGCCTTGATTTAGGTCTTGTAGACTCTGATTGAGAGTGGATAGAAGGACAAAGAGGAGTCGGATATTCAGCAGACGGCGAATGTTTTAGTTGAAAGATTAGATTATTTCTTTTCTGGAGAACAATTGAATATATTTTTTGAATAAGGAGAATCAAGAGTAATTACAATTGGATCCTGGTTCAAGGGCCTAATACTTGGAAAAGTGAACTCATCAAATTTATGGAGGGTTGGCCGGATTTCTTTTAGAATTTAGGAATGGGAGCGTTTGGAATAAAAAACAAATATGATTAGAAACTATACGTTGAGAAGATTCAAGAGAAAGTCATCAACAACCCAATGAAGAATGAAATATAAATAAAATAATAATGATATAATTTATTATTATTAATCTAATAACATCCTCTATCTACGCATTAGATTTCATACAATTATCTACTATTCAATGTTCATGTGCATAAATGATAACCAAAGATGATTGCTTAAGATTCAATTGCAAAATAGCACCATACACATTATCATCATAAAAGAATCAATCTAGATAAAGCATCTTTAAAAAATAAGACTGCACTATCCTTAGCAGTCCCAAAATTTAAGTGTACAGCATTATTTTGTACAGATATCAAGACCCAAGAACTTTGTGATAACACAGGCGAATGTGTCTGGAACAATAATGGCGCATGTGAACTGTTTTCTGGATGTGGGTCCTATTAAGTTGATAAAAAAGAGGATTGCTTGTTAAAGAGCACTTAAACTAAGTTTTGTACATACGATGAGGAATAGTAGAGTAATGGGAAATACAATTGCATCAATGATCTATCAAAATCAGGTGGTGGCTTTATGACTTGTTTCACATTAAATGATGAGAGTCTGTGCAATCAATATGAATATGCTGTATGCACTTGGAGAACCTTTTCGCAGTGCTAGGATGAATCGGATGAAGTTAATACGTGTTAGCAATATCAATATTGTATTGGTGAGGAGAGTAAAGATTGTGCAGATCTCTCGGGATTTTAAGATAAGTGTGATAAAAGAGAAAATTATTGCAAATGGATTAAGGATAATAGTACATGTATGGAGAAAGAATGTTCTGATTATGCATCAGAAACTGATTGCAAAAGTATTTTAACAGATGATTTAAAACGAGCTAAGCCTTGTACATGGGAAGAAGGATCATGCATTTAAGGGTTTAATTTGACTAAATTAAATAAGTACAATTGTTTGATTGATTCATTGAACACTTCTATGTGGAATGAAGTTGAATAGAGATGTCAAAGTTGTTAATTTGAAAAAATATTGAATTTTATTATTATTGTATTGTTATTATTATAATGAATTAATCATCTGATTTATTATAATTAGCAAAATAAAGAGTCAACTAAAATAAATCCCAGAAATCTCAGGACATATTTTGCACCTAAATTAAATAGAAAAAACAAATCATAACAGACGATGAAGTTGAGATTGATCCAATTTCATATGAAGAATTTGATGATCTCAAATAATTGCGCAGGATGATCAGATAAACTGATCACTCAATTAATTAATACGGAAAGGAAGTCAAATAGCTCTAAAATGACATCAAAAGATTAACTAAATGATATTATGTTTCAATATTTTTATTTGAATTCTACGTTTAACATATTACCTATCTCATTGAATTCTAACGATTTTTCTATTTTACATTTATAATTGAATCATTTAGTGTCATCAAAATTCTCCTTTCAATTACTCCAACATTTCCAACAATGAATACTTAAAAACCATTTTATCATTATGTAAAATTACTACTATTTTAATATATTTAAATTGTGTAATATTATTTAATTTAATTGTAAATTTTCTCGTGAAATATGCATTTTATATTGAAAATAAAAATGTAAAGAGTATAGTTTATTGTATACCATAAGAATCTCTGTCTTAGTGAATATTGATTCATATCAGACAAGTCTTCCTAGACTAAAATTCAGTTGTTTCTAAATATAGCAATTTGTTTAGAGGGGAAAAAGAAAGTGTTTTTTCTGTAATCTGTATATTTTATGGTTCGAAAGATTCGAAAAGAAGAATTTGGTTGTCATTAAATAAATAGGATAGAAAAAGTTAATAAATATATTTGGTTTCAACAAGATTTAAAATAATATTACTATGGGATCCATTTGTTTAGCGAAACAGTAGAATTTCGCTTCTCTTAATTAAAGTAACTTAGAAGTAGCTGAGGAGTAAGCCATTAGCGATCAGATGAGCACTATGTCATGCAATTTGTCATGTAATTTTATTTCAACTTTGGAACTTCAATTTAAGAGTTCATTATAATAAAATCACATTGAGCAATAGCAGCCCATAAAGATGGGTTCAGACTTATCATAATTGACTCAATAGACTATGAAGAAAGGAATTTTAAAGAATAAAAACAATAATTATGAATATGAATTAAAAATGCTTACCAAAACTATTAAATTGGATAATGAAGGCATGCACTGTGAAAAATTAGTCAATTACTTAAAAGCTCGTAAGTATTAAGACTTATAAGAAATACATTTATGAGTTTTCATATTTTCTTCCTCATTTATATTTAACATTGATAAAATCATTATAAACCTTAATGGTATATTCCCTAGGTGTTCATTTTTATCTAATTTTGAACTCTTGAAATTTTAATATAAAATTTTCATTCGAGTTTTGATCAGTTATAATAGTTAAAAGACAAGATTGACTAAGTAACAATATATTTCTATAATTATTAAAATATCTGATGTTATGAGAGGAACAACGTGTTTTAACGCAGGTAGAACGCGATTTGATGTAACTAATGTTTTGAGAGTAAATTTGAATAACAAAATTAATTTGCGAGGTACATATGTAAGTGAGTATTAAAAAAAAGACATATTTTAATTAGAAAACTAATAATTGCCTATTAATCAAAAGCATCTTTTTCTACAAGCAGGCAAAAAGAATATAGTCTTGGATAAATTCTTGTTTAGGCGACTAGTTCTTGCAATTCTCTGAAGTGTCAATATTTATATATATTTTATATATAAATCACATTAATCTATGTCTAATAAGAATGTTTTCTATATTCTCTGTGCTACACATCAAATTAACACTTTGTTTGTAATATTAACATACGATGGCTTCGCTAATTTCTGGAGTTTCCTTGTAGAAAAGGACAAAACATCCCTAAATCAATTGCTCAAATTATTGCTTTAACTCTTCATGAGCAAAATCTCCCATCCTTATGTTTCGCTTTTATAAAATTTCCATAAATTAATCTTTGCTGCATTCAACGACTCTCTTAGTCAAAAATTTAAAAATATATGAAAGCCCTTCTTGAGTAATTTTAAATGGTGTAACCTATCCACCAAAACTTTCTTTGCCTCTTTCAAATAGTTTCTAGCCAATATTAATTAGTTTAAGATTTTCTATTTAAATTTATATAATATTTTACAATTTTTTGGATCAAAAAGTATATTTTTAACGTCCTCGCTAACATATCTGAATTTCTTATTGACTTACATGATGAGATCAAGAGATTATCCAGTACCTAGAACTTATCCTTAAGGGAAATCACTGATTCCATAATAATCGCAGATGACTTTCCAATCATAGTCATTAATTGGTGTATAGGGTTCAAGTAATTATGTTTTATTTTTATCATTTTATTATTTATCATCCTATTCGTTACTTTATTTTAAGATATCTTTAAGATGATCTTAATTGATATCAATATCTTAAATAAATTATTCTTATTCAACATCTTCTGCTGATTATATTATTTCTTTATGTTATAATTCTTATTAGACTTGTTATTAAACTTATTCAGTGGATAATTATTAATTTTATGGTTTATCAATAATTTATTCAACTTCAATTTATTATTATTATTATTATTATTATTATTATTATTATTATTACTATTCTTATTCTATTATTGGTTATTATTAAGATATAATTGATTCTTAATATGATGGTTTCTTCCAAATCACTGCTTACTTTTTCTTAAATAATGCCAAATAGAAACCTCCTGTATCCTAATCATGAGGCAGAACTCTCACAGACTTTTCTATTTAAATTTTATTCATAAATTCTTCAGTGTCTGGCCATAAAGAAGGTTTTAAAGTTTTGAATGCATTAATCATCTATCCTTCCTATTTTCTCGAAAACTTAGAAAAAAGTTTCTTGATATTCAATTTTTGATTAACATTATTAACTTCATAGACTAAATCCTCTACAGTGACAGTTTCAAGGAAAGCCTTTTCATCCTAGTCTGCATTTGATTCTCTTTGAAGATATTTTTAAGTTAGAAAGTCATCTGTTATAATAACCTTCCAATCCTTAACTCCCTTTCTGGTTTTGAATCCTTCTAATGTATGTAAATCAACTAATTCAAAAGCTTCAAAGCCAGCCCTTCTGAATACCTCGGCCACAACAGCCTCATTCTCAATAGGATTAAGTGAGCATGTGCTATACATAACATATCCTCCAATTTTGCATAATTGAAGTGCTCTCATCAAAATACTCAATTGCAAGGGATGAATGACATTACCATCTCTGGCAGACCATTTAACCCATCTAGTTGGTAATTTACGAGCTGCTCCGTCTCCAGTACATGGAACATCACATAACACTTTATCAAATTGAAGTCTCTATCCATTTATATATAAGGTAGGGTAGAACTAAGCTGCATAATTAGTGATCATGACTTATGCAGTTGGCATACGAGATAGTTGATGTGATAACATATAGGCTCTTTTTGGATCAACATCATTTGCAACAATCAATCCTTTGGTAACAATTTCTAGCAATTGACAAGTCTTTGATCCTGGCGCTGCACACATATCCAAAACAAAATCTGTTGGTTGAGGATCCAATAGCAAAGGAGGAAGCATTGAAACAAGTTCTTATCTTGTCAATAACCCAGTTGAATTGCATTTTTATATGAATTGATGTAATTTAGTAAGGGCTGCTGATTTTCTCAGACTTTTCTTAGGCACTTTTGATTCCCATACCAAATGATTTGGATACCATTTGATTTCCCTGATTGGCTCTACTATTTCTTCTTCATTGACCATGTCTTTTATCAATGATCCATCTTGCAATCTTTCAATCAAACTCTCATATTTGTATTAAGATGGGTTTATTCTGAAAGTTACAGGCAATGGAAGTGATAAAGATTACCAAAAGACCTTAAATTCTTCAGCACCTATTTCTGGTAATTGAATCTAATAGTTGTATTATATCATTATACCTCATAGAAACGACGAAAGATAGGATTCTCAAATTAAACAACACAAATTTATTAATTATCTTAATCCCAATGATTTGTCTTCACCTTTTTCTAAGGAGCATTTTCATACTTGCTTTAATTCTTATTTCTATGTTTCCCCATATATTAAAAGATAATTTAAATTATGAGAAATTCGTAATATTGGAATCCATTTTCATTTAGATAATGTAAGAATTCAAAATATTGTTGGTATAATAAATAAGTAAGATATTCAAATTTCTAGCTCATTTTTACAAATTGGACAATGTCTACTTTTTTTGAGCCACTTCTCTATGCAATCATCATGAAAATAATGTACTAAATAATATATATATATTTGAATACAGCAGGGAATAGTTTTAACTAAATCTTCCTCCTCATATTCACATAGACAAATCAAGCATTTCATATGATCCTCATCCAATTATTTAACTTATTCTAAATTTATTTTCCTTACTGGTAATTGTTATATTTCATGGTCTTCACATCCTAGATTGCCTTCTATTGTGCCATTTTCATTTAATTGAATGAAGGTATTCAATAATCTATGCAAGGATTCAATCTAATCCTATCTACTACTTTGTTGATTGTCAATAGATCTGCTAATGATATTGTAATTTTAATTTGATTAGAATTATTATAGATTTATTTGCTGATCAACTTAATCTATAATTTGAATTTGTGTTTAGTTAGGAATTACAAATCCGCAATTTTCAACTAAACATACCTCAAAAATGAAATCGCCAATCCTCAAAATCTAACCCTTTTCTATATATCGAGTCAACCCTGCGAAATATGGTTGAACAACATAAATTAAAACTTACTAAATTGCTTGATTTCTATTACTATTAGAGAATTCTACAGGTTGCTTCAAAATTATGAATTAAACCTAAGACAATCTAGGTACATTCGAAATACATTCAATCTTAGTGTAGATATGCAATCTTCCTGTTTATTCAGTGCATTGTAATACAAAATACTCTTGATTGTTAATCTTTATATACGAATCTAACATAATTCTAAAACAATATTACCTTAAATGAGTAGGTTTTCTTTCGGACGAGAAAAAAAATAATGAAAAAGTTCATCTTGAAAGTTCTTTCTTTGAGTGTATATTTTCAATTTGTAAAGGATTCTATCGGTATATGATTCATAACAGTATATCTTTGTGCCAGCACTCACAATACCTTGGAGTTATGAACCACATCCAACCACTCGAAATTCAAATTAATCGATATTGAAGCAAGCCCCAGATGTTATGATCCTTTCTCTCATCTCGAAAAACGGCAATATAATTTGGGTCATCAACTGTCCATACGATATGTGATTAATACAGTTCCTAGAAATTGACATCAAAAATTATACTGATTTACTCGCAGCACAACTGAATCTAACTATTGCAATGGGAAACCATATGAGCAGCATTGAACATCCTGGCTATTATTTAAGAGTGTAACCACTCCATCCTTAATTACATATAGAATTTGACATTCTTCACATTTGTTAGTTCTTCCCAATCCATCATCAAATAATATATGATCGCATCTTAGGCAATTTACTTTTTATGCCTTGCACGCAGGGATTTTCTGTATTGATGATGGAAATGTAAAACAACCTAAATATGAATACAAACTTACTCTAAGTTAAATATTTGTTCAATTCACTTTCTTATTTATTGAATTGCTTTGTTTATAAGGATGACTGGTTTCCCTGTTGATTTTAATGTCTAGAACTATTTCCCATCAAGAATTAATAAATATATATGAAAATAAAATCTAAAGTTCCTAGAATATTTATAAATTCAATTAATAGCAAAGATACACATGCTAAATCAATTATCAAAGAGTATTGCATCTTTAATACCTATAAATGGCCAATCTTTTGCTTATTATTCAAAAAGCAACTGTTTATAACACTATTAAAATAGGGAGGATTTTAAATTTTGAAACCATCTTTAAATGAATTGTAATTGTTACAATAGCATTGAATGAATTATGTAATCATAAATGAAGTATATAAAGAAAAATATTTATTCATAGTAACTTAAGATAATAATTTTAATTTATTAACAATTCTTTAAATCTTAAAATAAATAAATTTTTTTTGGTCGTTCAACTTCTGTGGCTATTTTAGGCAATTAATGGAATGTTGGAATACTCTAAAATTTAAATGTATTGCAGAAGTATTCATTTTTATCTCTTTTCCTTAAAAACATAAATTGTATTGGTTTATCCCGTTTGAAGTGCTAATAATATAACAAAACATATAAGAGTGTAAGCTAATTGTGTGTTTCAAAATAAACATTGTTGAATTTGTTGTATGATCTCCTATAGTCTATTTCAATATCAGTCTGCCTTTGACTTTAACTCTGTTTTCTATGTCAGTTCCTTTTTTAATCATACCCTAAAAGTCAATTTATGCTTTAAATGATAATTAGAAGAAGAGAATTCAGATATATTGAAATTGTTTCTTTTTATTAAATTCATCGATTCCACTCAAAAATTCTGATTATACTTAATGAGTTATCCTTGTTTATTTATCCTCTTTAAAACAGAGACAAGGTTATGATAAACTCACTTATTAATCCCCATTTATTATCATAATTATCCAAAACTCATATATATTATTTCACTGCTTGAGGTTAATAAGCTTCCAAAAGAAATATATAATCATATTTTTGATTAATAAATGATATAATTAGGAGGAAGAAATTTATTAATTTAATTCTAAAGATGAGTGTATCATAGGGGTTATTTTCCAATTGTGAAAGAATATGGAAAATTATTGAAATCTGTAAAATTGTAATTAATTAATTTAATAATGATGAAGTTTATATACAAAATTGAATTGCAATATCCACTTGCTTCACCTTCCATCTATACTACTCTTTCAAGCATATTCTTTGCTTTGAACTCTTTTAGTATAAAATATTTTGATGGAATACCTGCTACTCAAATAATCTATTGGAGATCGATCCTTACTTTGATTGTCGTTGAAATCTTGGCAATATTCATACCAAATAACACATATCCGCGCTCAAGTAGGACAATTAAAAAACTGATTACTCGAGGTTGCATAGGAGGTGTTGGATTTCTTTCCTGCTTCTTATCATTAAAATTAGTCACTGTTTCAGAGGCAGTTGTTTTGATGAAAACTAATCCTTTATGGACAACATTTATCTTAGCTTATATTCTAAAAAAAGAAGCAATTACAAAAAGAACGATTCTCGAAATTTTATTCTGTCTCTTAGGTGTAATTTTGATCTCCAAGCCTCCAATCTTATTTAGTTAGAATAATAATGAATTCACTTACCTTAATTTCTTTGGATTATGTTTGGCTATCCTAACTGCAGTCACCACTTCATTTGCATAAGTTTTAATCAACTCTCTCTCTTAAGAAGTCAGCTCCTTGGCTATTTTACAATATTTTTCTTTTTTTGGAATTATATCCTCCATTTTGTGTTAGCTATTTTATTAAGTCGAAGAATTCAAGGCTGTGTCATTTTATGAGGCGAATTTATTATTGTTCAGTGGCTTTCTCGGCTGCTTGGGATAACTATGCATGAACAGGTCTGTAATGATTGGAAATGTTACATAATAATCCTTAATTGGGGAATCCTAAATAATATTTAATATTTTACTGGATATTTTAGTATTGAAACAAGATATTGAAATCCTTAGTTGGGTTGGAATTATTATAATTATATTAAGTTTAATTTCAAATCTTTTAAGAAGGTAATGATCACGCAGATTTTTGAAAATATTAAGTGTTTTATATTAATTAGTTGGTAAATATATTGCAATTTAATAAATTGAATGATAAGTACTAAGAATCAGAATTATAATTATGTTAAAAAGTCACTATTGTTTTTAGATTTTCATAATTTTTTATATTGGTTTAAATATAAAGTAGTGTATATTCAAAATTAGTTTTTAATACCTTCTTAAGAGTAGAATAATATATATTTCATTAATAATAAAATTCAAAAGTAAATCATTAGAACTCGTGATCGTCAAAAGAAACACAACTATTTCGATGTGGATTCAAGATTAATTATTACTCCATTTCCTAAATAATATTCTCCACAGAGCTTAGTTGTTTTTTTAGCTCTTCTATTTCTTTTTGTATTTCATTAAATTCTATCAAATCGAATTCCTTATTTCATCATATATAAATCTATACTTTTGACTTTACAATCTTATCCATCTTATTTTTTATCTCTTTGATAAGAAACTCTCTATTTTTTCTCGCCTCTAGTAAGTTTATTTCAATTTCCTCGCTAATTTATTTAGGCTGTTGAAATTGCTAAGATTTAATTTCTTTCAATTGTTATGATGTAACAGTTTGAAATATCTCCTTAATTATTGAAACAGCAGCTCTAAGTTATTTATCCGATATTTGATCTAAATAACTTTCTTCATTTTTTGTTAGATATTGTTATACGATTTGTCTCAATTATGGATCCTCCAAGTAATCAGAATCAGCTTAAATATTTTACTATGATTAATTTGCTGAAGAATATGGTTAAGGTTAATTATCAATCTCTAAGATTAATGTTCTTAATTCATTGTTTTCTTGGATTAATTAATCATTCTATAGAGTTAAATCCTAGTATGTTTAGGTGAATTCCTAAACCAATCTTTGATTTTCGTATGACCTAAATTCCCTCTCTTCTTTCAACTTTAATTTAAAATCATTAATCTCTCTTTCCTTCTATTTCAAAATACTTTATAACTTCTCTTAAACCTTTTTTTGTTCCTAAATTTCATTATTCTTAGCATTCCACTTTTCCTTTTATTCTTAAAGTTCTCTTTAAACCTGTTTTTACATAGTTTCTATGGATTTTGCTACCTATTAGTATTTCAACACTTCCCTCTCTTAGCTACTCTCTAAAGAACAATATATACTCCTAATATCTTTAATATAATTAAGAGTAATTTCTATTTGAGTCGTACTTTATGGTTCTTTCTCTCTCTAAATCCTCTTTTGATTGGTCATACTTTTTTACAATCTCTCTTAAATTCTCCTCCAGATTCTAAACTCTTTACATTAAATGCTATTTGCTTTCGTGAACTAATGGAGAGGCATTCTCGTAATATGGAATCTAATGTTTCGTATTTTGGTTTATAGTTTATTATTGAACATAGTGATATCCAATATTTTATTTGTTTGGTGTCATCGACTATTTATCACTAAACTAATAGATAATAAATGAATCTATTGTACACTTGATCCTCTAAAAGGTGATGTATTGATTGCTTTTTCAGGCGTTTTTGTGATATAATGTGTGGATGGAGTTAGTATATAATTTGGGAGTTGTTTATGCATTAACGAATAATAACAATTAATTATAATATAAATTTATAATTATAGAATTTTCATTGGAACTGTTTATTTACAAAATCTAAGTAGAATTGAATATGAGAAAGCTGTTAAATAATAGTTTTAACAATAATGGAATTGATATTGATAAATCACTTGAGATTGATGTGTAAAAATAAGAAAATTGATAACCTCTGTTGTATATTGAACTATTTTTCTTTAAAATATTTATAAAACATCATTTAAGTTTAATTCGTTATTTCTATTTTATTATTTATTTAATAAGATTTCTAAAATAAAAATTAAAAAGAAGATTTATCATTGTAAATAAGATGATTCAGATCAATGTTCAAAATTGTAGTCATTGACTTATGCTTTCAAATTAATTCAAAGATCTTGGAGAATTAGATAAAATAAATTTTGAAAAAGACATCATAATTCAATATATATAAAGTTTAATTTTAAATGTTATCCATAAATTATAGATGAATCTAAAACATCGATTTTTTTACACATATCAATTTCTTAACAAAATTAACTTTCATAATACAAAAAGATCTAAGAAAGTAAATATTACGATTAATTTACAGGTCAAGGGTAAATGAGATAACGAATTTCATAGTATCTTTGAGGAATGGGCATTTTTACAGTAGAGAGAACACTTATTACTAATCATTTAAAGGATATAAATTTGCACACAATTAAAATATAAATTTTTTACAATTCAAAATAAAAATTTAATATATATTTATTAACATTAATTATATAAATTTAAAAATACTGAAACTTTTATTAAATGAATTTTTACATTGCTCATTTTTGGTTTCATTAAATCTTAAAAAGAATTTATCAAAGAATTATTAAAGATAAAGAAGATATAATTTGGTTGAATAATTTGAATTTACAATGAAGGTCATATCATTAAGATGACCATTATTAAATTCAAAATCAGAAATCCATTAAATGAGCTTCTTGATGTGTCAATTAAATCTCTCTATAAGCTATATGTTCTTCTTTCTTTTGGCTAAAGCATTCCTCCATCCACTGGACGGGCTTCTAAGAATAGGCGGTTTTATCTTTGATAAACCATATCGTTTTCATACATAGAAGATCCACTTGACATTCCTAAGGCTGGGAAATCTTTTCCTGTCATATTGACCTTCTAATTTGTTTTGAATGGGTCCATTCCTTAAGGTAAGCCTTGATTTAAGTTGGCAGTTACTTCGTCACTCATTGGTGTAATGTACATTTAAGTCATGCTAAATTTAGCGAATTGTGCTCCAGGAACTACTTGAGAAGCATCTTCTTCCCATTCATATGGACCAACTACTTCCATTGCCATTAGGGCCGATGATTACCCATAGCCAGAATAACTTGTTAAGACCAATGAAAATTCCAATTCTGAAAGAAATGTTAACGTTCTAGTTTAGAAGGTTGTCATCAGTTTTCCTTGGTTGCTTAAGCCTGGTCTTACTTCTTTGGTCAGGCTTGTCCATTACCCTCCAAGAATAGATTGTTTCAATTCATCAAGAGTTAGGGGAGTTTCAGGATCTGGATTAGGGATTAGAGGAGCAGATAACCCTTTTGGTGGATTATCTGCACTTGCATGAGTTCCAAATACATCAACTTCACCCATATATAAATAATCATCTCTTATATAGACAAGATCATAACTTAGGAAAGGGGAATTTGATTATTTACTCATGGCTGGAACGGCGACAGTAGTTATATCTTAGGGTTTGTCTTTAACCCATGTGACACCATCCTATCCTTATTGAGCTCCGTTGAAAGCGGTTACGAGGTCATCTGTGTGGAGAGTGACCAAGGCCTACTTGCTGAATGTAATTTTGGTTAAGAAAGCCCCTGAGATTACGTCACTTGCCCCTTAGTAAGTTATTTCTCCTTGTCCTGAGAAAGTTAATTTCTTATTTGAGCCTGATTTGTCCGTGAAAGTCTCTATCAAGGCTGTGAATTCGGAATCAGAAGTAAAATTCCATTATCTTCTTTTGTATTCTGGATACACTTAATCTCCTTATGAATTTGGGACCAATTCAAGAGCAATACTTTGCCAATCATTGACAATTTAAGATTTAATATCATCCAAAGTTTATGAAATAACAATATTAAGAAAAATTGTTATTGTTAGTAATGTTTTGGTAAGGTATGTTATTCTAAACATTAATGTAATTTATGATTTATTTCAAGAGGATCGGTTGATATTTATAATAACAATTGGAAATTCTAATTTCCTAAATTTATATTAAGAAAGATAAATTATTTTATTATTAGGCTTATTCTTATATTGATTAAATCAATACAATAAATATAAAATTTATAAAATTGTAATATATTATTTAGCTCTTGAATTTAATAAATTTGTCTCTAATTGTATATCTAAGCTTTTTCTTTATTTTAAATGGTATGCACCTCCATATCAAACTTTGCAAATCTAATTCAAATAAGATTTGGAACATCGAAGATTAATTTATCTATTATTTTCTTGAAAGAAGCAAAATCATACAAAATCTTTTAATAACATTAAAAATTCTTAGACTTATAAGATTTAACATTAATTCGACTTTTGAAATTGAAATTAGAAAACGAAATAAAAAATTCTCCTTTATAACTACTAATATATATTAATTATATATAAAAAAGACTTAAATTCATTATTTTATTTTAGATTCATATCAAACATCCAGAATGGAAGGATTCATCGATAAGTTGACTCAAATAAATATGTAAAATTAATTTAAATTTATATCAAATTTTTTAAAATAAAATATTTTTTTCTCTAAATCATTTCAATACTTCTCCTCAATCTATTTCAATTAATTTGCGTAATATTTATTTTTCAAGGATTCTAAATACATTTTTTAGGTCATAATAGATTTTTCAGGTTTTTAGTACTTCTGACACACTAGTATTTTTTGTAAAGTTTACAATAATATATAGAAAGGAATTATAAAGGCTTGAGTCTACGATTGAATTAATTAAGATAGAATATGATAGTTTTTTGTAATGATTTTGGGATGTATGAATTTATTGGGATAAACATAGTGAATAGCATAAATTATTATGATTTCTTTAAAATTGTTGTAAACAAAATATATGCTTAATAATATATCAATAATCATAGATTAAATGTTCCATAAAGCATAAAGTTTCCATCAATAACTAGGCGGTAATGACTTATTTTTAATCACTTTGTCCATGCTACCTTAGAAACCCCAGCAGAAATGTCCTAAATATTTACCCAAAATGGATTAAGTCAATATGGAAATCAAGATTAACTAACATAATCGAAACACGATTTACCTCCCCAGAATCTGACCCAGTAGCCAATATCTTGCCATCTGGACTGATGGCAATTGAATTCAATTTCTAAACATCGATAGATTAGACTGGCTCTACAATGTCAATATCCCAAAATTAAATGGGCATGTTAATACCACAAGTGACTAACATTTAATAAGAAATTAGTATTACTTAGTTCTAACTCACTATCCTTTCTTTAAGTCATATCAAGGAGAACTCCATTTCTGGATTAGTGTTGAATAACCTTTTTGTCTGTTTTGAGATCATAAGTGTAAATTGTTTTATCAGCTGAGCATGAGTGAATAAGATTAGGCTTCATGAGATCTGGAAATACTTTAGTAATTTCCTTAGAGTGGATAGATATTTAAGTGATTAATTATCTTGCTGTTTTTGACCAAACTCTTATAATACTGTCCTCACCACCAGAGAGATAATAATTTTGATCGCTGTACAAACTCGTCACAGCTCCTTTATGAGCATTAACAATTTCCCATTTGATTGGAGATACTGGCTTATTAGTTATCATATATGCTCTAATAAAACCATCTCTCCATCCAGATACAACAGTTCTATCTGGATCCAAATATACAGAAGATCCTTTGACTCTGTTCATATTAACTGGAACGCATCTTGTGATGACAAGCATTTCATTCATATCCCATACCATTACTACGCCTTCATAATCAATTGAGACAAAGAGATCACATGCATTTAAAGGCACTGATAAACCAACAACACTAGATAAGTGTCCTTCTGTGTGAACAACCGAATCTAGATTTGCAGTGTTGATTCTATAGATTCTACCATTTGATGTTCCTACCAATAGTTCATTACCATTTGGATCGGTTGTAATTGAATTCATCCTGCCTTCTAGACATATTTCTCTTTCTAAATTCCATCTAGTATCACTTCCAGTCAACTTCTTCACCTTTCCATCTCCTGAACCAACAAAAAGACTCCTTCCAAAAATATTGATACTTAAAACTCCATTATTACTCACTGGTATTGTAGCTTTGAATATTCCTCCTTATTATGAGGATATGCTGAAAATACAGATTTCACCAGCATGAGTTCCTACATATAAATAATCCCCATTTTAATCAATTACTGCTTTAGTGTAATTTCTTACTAAACCACTACTAGGCAATTGACATGGAGCTTATTTGAGTTGATATTGCATAGAGGCGACATCAAAATCCATTGTAATTAAGAAGATGTTGGACCCTTGAGAAGTGACAATTAAATATTAAGAATGTTTAGTTGATGATCTTCTTGGAGGACACCAAGTAATCAGATTTATTGGAACTTCCAATAACTTATTATGAACAATAGTATAATCTTGGCAATTCCATATTATTAGATTATTGTTAGAAGCCGTGGCTGCTAAGAATTTATCATCGCTTGAAAAGGAAAGATTTGTAATTTCATCTCTCAACCCTCTAAATATTTGCATTGGTTTTCTAGCATTGAAATCCCATAGGATAACTGGTGCTTCTGGTGTCTTTGCATTTCGAGATCCCATTTATCCGGATGCTATATATCTACCAGTCTTCGATAATGTCAATGCGCTTATATCCATATCATGTCCTCTCAAAAACAATTGTTAATGTTTGTCATTCAAGTTCTCTATTACAATCAACCCTGCCAATGCATAGACTATTGTGGACTCCTTCTGAGGATGCAAATGAATCACATCTCGATATCTCCCAGAAAATCCATTCATGTGATCTAATTCTATTGCATCGCTCTATAAAGGTAGTTTCTATCCTGCCTCTGGTATACTCTGCTATACAACTTATGGAAGAGTTTAATTATAATAAGGATTCTGGTACTGTTACGGATTTTGCGTGTATTATATGGGAGGTTATGGGTAAGGTTGCTTGTAATAAGGTTGTTAATTCCCTCTTTATGCATAATCTATTGGAGTATTCGTTATTGGATTTATTCCATTCTTATTCTGATGGCCTGGTTAAGGTCGTAAATTCATAATTTAAATTATTATTACTTTTTTCAATTATATATAAGTATAACAGTATATAAATATGTTACTACTATTTAATGAAAATTTTAATTTCTTTTATGTCATATCTCCTGCTTAAAATTCGATATGCCTTCTCTGTCTAAAGGGTACCGAATGGGACTCATTTAATTGTTGGATTGGGTAATCCTGGGAATATTTATGAAAATACTAGACATAATGCTGGACAATAATTCGTTAAGCATCTTGCGAAAGAGTTCGGCATAAAAATGAGTGACGGTTCAAATGGGTCTATTGGATCATTTCAACACATAATCGTTTTTAATCCCCTCTCTTTCATGAATTCTAGTGGCCATGCAATAAAAAAAATAGCGGATAAAGCCAATATTCAAACTAGCAATATTATTATTGTTCATGATGACTTAGAAAATTTACCAGGAAGATGTAAGATCAAATAAGGAGGAAGTGCAGAAGGACATAATGGGTTGAAATCCATTATCTAATATATGGATGATAAATTCATTAGATTAAAAATTGGAATAGGAAGACCTAATTCAAAAGACCCTGCAATTGTTAGTGATTATGTGATGAGCAAATTAGATTATGAACCATCATAACAAGCATTCAAATAAGGGATCATGCTTGCACGACAACTCTTTAAATTTTGATGATCATCTATCATTATAAGGTCATGCATCATTCAATATAATTGGTTTCATCTAATAAAGTGTTGAATTCTGAATCCGTCAAAATATCCGAAAACTAACATTTTTCTTATCTCTATCTTGCATTCTTTCCCATTCTCCAACACTCTCCTTTACCTCTATTCCAAACCATACCTACCATCAAAAATATCATGCTCACTATCAATATAGTGATTCCTTCAATCAAAAGATCGTTTTTTAACATTTTTTTATTTTTATAATACTCAATATTAAATTCAATATAATACAATAAATGTTTATTTTCTTTTCTCAATTAATCCTATTTTCAAGCTTTATTATTGTTATTAAATTGTAATAATCTAACAAATACTTGTTAAAATTATAAGGTAAACTACCCTTTTTGGTATTCATTCATATTGGACATTTCTAAAGAATCATTCACCAGCTAGGCCATCAAAATTGGAGTCCTTAAGTAATTAAATTGCCCTTTATATTCTCCACGCTAAAACACTTGGTTTGCATTATCAAACATCGTTTGAGTAATATGAAATGATTGACACTTAGATTAACAAGTCACAATCCCACAAGCATCTAAATAGGCTGAACTTTGGCATTTAACGTGTTTGCAAGGGTTCTTATTTTTATTTTAGGTAATCTCTTATTTTTGAAATACTTTATTATAGATCAAGATGCGATCTTAAGATGGATTTAATTGAGATGGATTTCTTGATATTACTGTTGAATTTTATTATTTTTGAGGAGTCGATTATGGTTATGGTTTTTATTAACAAGGGAGTTAAGGTAATTTTACTTCTTAAGGTGGAATCTATTTTTTCTCTTAAGGTAACTATTTTTAATTGTTTTCCGTAGCTTTCGCTAGCTTTGTCAATCTTTCTTGAAGTTTTTCTATTTTATCTGAAGCAATTTATAATTTTTTTAGAACATTTTTCTCCCATTCTTGGGAACTTTCTATTGGAGAAGAAATATCTTCATCCGAAAAGATTACCTCATAACTTACATCTAGTTCCTACTGATCTTATTGTTCATCTTGCGAACTATTACCTTCGTATTTATCATTATCAGAATCATTTGATAAGATTTCCGAATCATATTTTTTGTTATAACTATCCTAAACTGATGGATCTTACTAGTTATCACTATCATCACTTTATGAAAATTAAACTTTATAATTTGATTCATCTGAACTAGAATTTTCTTAATATTTATTAGTGGGATTATTATAAAATCTACCTTGTTATTAAACTATTTCAATTTGACAATAATTGTGTGAATATTTAAGTTACCTTTGTGTATGCAGATAACTTCCTTATATTTTAGAGTTGTTATTTTACAATTTTTAATACATAATTAAGGATATTTAAAATTATGAGATTTAGAAGATATTATGGCTCGTAAATCATATAATAATTAAATAGAATATAATTTCTTAATAATAAAAAGTGATAAATAACTATACCTATTGTATAATTTGGGTATAATTTTCATCACCTTTCTAATGCTCATTTCTTTGAGTTCATAAATTCTAAACATAGTACTTTTGAAAAGTTTTTGCAAAATTCATTTTTTTGGCTCTCATTCATATTTGATCTTGACAAAGAATCATCTAATATCTAAGCCATATCAATTGGCTTTTAAATAGACACATAATTCCCAAACTTATTTTGATCATGTTTGTAAAATATCTAATTCCTTGAGATATCAAATACAGCATCCTTTATAGCAAATGAAGGGCAGTCATTTTGGCAATTAACCTTTCCATGACAATTCAGAGTAGCTACTGTAAGACATTTAGCATGTTTGCATGGATAATTAATTGGTTGTCCATGTTTTTGCTTATAAAATAATGATATATTAATTTCTAATTGATCCTCATCTTAGTTGTCTTCTATTTAAAGTTCTTCTAAAAAACGATTCAAAATAATTTGTTCTTATTAGGCTTAAATTAAAAGTTCAAATAGTTTAACATGTTTCCAAAGAATCTCTTCTCTTTCTCTTATTTACGCTTCTTGTTATTACCTTTGAAATTGCTCAAACTGATTTAAAGATTATATAAAAGAATTTTCACTCTCATCAGAATACTCAGGTTGATGTATTTGATTTTGATTATCTTGTTCATCTTCATCTTCTGAATCTCGATGGTGAAAATTAGAAACAATAATGATTTGGTTTCTGCAAGATGAACCTTATCCCATTAATTATTAAACGATTGTAATTTTTGCATGATTGTATAAGACATTAAAGATAAATAGAATATAATTTATTTAAAATATAATTTGATATCATTCTTTTAAAGATCGCTTGTATTCTTATCTTTTCAAATAGATGTCAACCCATGTTTAACGAAGATTTATGACTTTCTTAATGAGGTATATCAAAATTAACAAAATGTGTTCTAGTAATATAACTACTAAAGTGGCTTAGGATGACTTATTTGGAAGTGGTCTTGCAGTTAATAAACCACAGGATGTAACCATGATTTTGATTTCATTATCCTCTATTTCATCATACTGAGATTAGGTTATTTAGGGTTGAGAGTTTGTTTCTTCAAATAAGTTGGGGAAGAATTTGACTATTTAATCACTGGCCACAGAAAACAACATCAGATTTGTAAAGACACTCACAACACATATAATATCCATAGCTTTGGTCCAGGGACCAATAGAATTAGATTTGACTGCAAAAGGTTTCTAATATAGATGGTAGATCTTATAATAATCTGAAAAGAATTCAATAAACAAAAATGTTGTAACTACAATTCCAGCCATCCTGACAGCTGATGTGAAAAAGCATACATAACCAAAGTTAAGTATAATTTCCAAATAATCGTCAAATGATTCATACTTTGGTAGAAAGCATGAGATCAATTAACTTTACAGAACTTATTGCATCTCACCATTATTCAATTGAAATTCTTAACATATAGTATCTTGTTGTGATTCAGGTAAGGATTTCACTATAGATTTTTCATATCTAATCAATCTTAATTTGGAAATGGAAGGTAAGATGGTTTCAGTCATTATTCTTCTTAATTCATCCACCATAAACATTTGAATCATCTCTTGTTTCAATTAATTGATATCATCATTCACAAATCCAATATAGAAGAAATCGAAAAATGCTGAAAATATCTCAAATGTAAATCTTTTTATGATGAGAGATCTCTCAAAGGTTTATAAGCATTTGTGATCTTCAGATAATGAGGTTGTAATGGACACTTATTTGTACTTACTATTTAAGTAATTGACCACTACCACATGGATAATGGCCAGTAAGTATGATACATAAATATTCTTGCAATAAGGAATCTAAATCTATTCAATATATAATTATTATTTTGAATCCACATACCCTCTCATATTCAAAGAAACTATAAGGAATACTACCAAAGCAATCACATACCCAATAATCCGAATAATTGAGTTCAGATATATTGAGAATATATTCTACTTTATTTAGACCTTCAATCCAGTTACAGGATCCATTTCATTAGAATATATAATTTTCTTCACTGATTCTTAGATGGCGAAATGTTTTTTATGTTTTAGACATTTTAATAAAGACAACTCGATTTTAGAGGACATATAATCATAGTTCTTACCATGGCTTCTCCATTTTACTTGGTATTCTTTTTATTTTTAGTTCCATTAGCTTACAAAATATGCAGCCCACAACACCGTTAAAGTAGCATACAAAGGTTCAAATGGGGATTTTGTAACATCATAACCAAAATATTCATCCAAAGAATATGTGATCATTCCGAAAACAACCAAAATCAACATGTTCTTGATTAGATAAAGAAGAAAACCAAAATAAAATGCTATTTGCTCACCCATCTAAGATCTGATTCTCACAACTAAATAATCCAATACATTAGCATTCAATTATAGACATTATTTTAATTCTTTATAAGTGCTATGTCTAAATGTTCTCATTGGACAAATATCTAATAACACTCCTTATTATTTTAAGCCAACAAATAGAAATTCCTCTCCACTGTTATCTGGATTGATTTAAATATTATTCTTTATTGTCGCTAAAATCTAATATATAACTATTTCTCTAAGATAAGAATCAATTTCCAATTCATTTTTGGAATTGTAAAACTTTTCCTTTTAATCATACTTGAATTTGGAATATTACTCAATTTCTTTTATGTTTTTATCGAGGAATTCTCGTATTCGAATGAATAGACGATACTTTTCAAATTTCTTTCTATTTTAAGCTATCAGAGATCCTTAATGGGATTTCTTGGAATATTTAGGTAATTCAATATGCAGATCTGAGAGAGTCTATAAAAGTAGATCATTCTAATTTATTGATATAATATTGTTTTACATTTCTTAAATAAAGCATCATTACTATTGATGTGTTTTGAGTGATCACAGTCAATGTAAATCCTAAGTCTTTTAGCAATTTGCTAATCGATTAAAGTAAATTTTGTGATATTCTTTCATTGAAAATAATTGCCACCTCATACATGGTAGAATTTAAAAATTTTAATTTATTAATGATTAGATAACCTGAAGTGTAAAAGTCACAATAAGTGATTCGGATGTTATTGATCAAATTATACACATACATTTTTTCGGAACATTTTACTTAATAAATAATAATAAAAGTAGAGTATTACAATTTGGTAAAATTATTTATTATGCAATTTTCAATTCTACAGTCATATTTTTATGGCCTGTTATCTAAAACTCAAGTGTTATTAATTAATGAAAATAATTCATCTTTATTTTTTCTGGGGTTATTCTACTTTATCTTCAAATTTAATTGATTCTTCTTTGAATAGACCGTAGATAAACTCCTTTTCGGAAAGGATTTAATAAAGCATGCTCTTGTTGAAGGATTATTACTTCAAATAGACATTAATTAAGGAGCAACTTTATATTTTGTCCTGTTCATGACTTTCCTGCTAACGTTTATAGTTGGGATTTTCGAATATCTAAGCTCTCTCCTCCATCCAACTAAGGGATTAATCCTATTCAAGTTTAACATCTCTAAATTTTAAACTCTTGGTTCCTTCTTTTAATTAAGTATTTTTCATAATCCATTGGATACCTTTTATTTTGTTCATCTATAGACATGATAGCTACCTATAAGATAGATAATCAATTTATATGAAGTTGTAAATATCATTACTTTCCAAAAAATATCATATATTTACTCTAATAAATTAATCTAAGAATACATTAAGAAGTATATGAATTTAAACCCTTTCAACCTAAGCTATCCTCTCAAAGATAAATTCTGTATCTTTTTAGAAATTAAGAATTTTCTTGAATACCAACTACTTCCAAACCTGCTTAGTTTAGAATCAAACAACATTACTTAGAATGTCATATTGAATATCTAAATAAGAAATTTAATAACAATATTTAACAATATATAAATTAATAAAAATATTAAAAATACCCTCAATTTAAAGTTGTTATTGGTCTATAGCCACAAAACCAATAAATAGCAAATATAAAAATATAAAACCCCAGAGACTAATTTTACAATAAGTTAACCTAAAAAACCTGAACGAAAATAGGTAATGAATGTAATAAACTTTAAGAACATAACCTAATACTTTAAATAAATAAATGTTAATTAAACCAATATAGGATTTTTACGATAATTAGTGAATAACTCAAATGATAAATCTCGATGAAAACTGGTAACTCAAATTTAAGATAAAGATTTTATATTAGTTACCCCAACACAACTAGGTATGATGAAATAAGATTAAGTTTATGGAATATAAGCTTTGTAAAGCCAAGTACTTTATAAATAATTAAAAAATACTTCCCTCATATAATTTGTTTGTAGGATATGTGGCGATTTTAATAGTCCAAAATAAATTTCACTTTATTTTAAACCATTATCTATCCTGAAATCAATACCTTTGGCAGGTTAATAGATTAACAAATTATTGGTTTCTAGAACTGCTGGTAAGATTATATTATAAATAGGCAATTAGTGTGAAAAATTAGATATCCTAAAATTGAAATTGAATTTAATGAAAGGAATGTTATTAAAACAACTATTAAGTATTCCTAATAGTTCTCTTAACAGTTTTTAGAATTAATAATGAATAAGAAAGTTAATACAAGAATACCTGATGAATTAGATAATTATTTATGCGTAGTAGCAAAACATATGATCAACTTACTAAAGAAGAGCAACCTGCAAACATATACTAGAATAGCACCTATTTATCGAATAAGACTTATTATTACAATTTCTAGAATGAGATATCCATAATAAGAAGAAAAAGAAAGAAATAAAGACTAAACTTAAGAACCTTGAAATATTATAATTTTTGTGATAGCAAATGATTATTGATTTTTTTTTAAATCTAGTTCCTTAAAAGCAAATAATAATAATAATTATATAACTAGACTGAATCTTATGTCAAAACTAAACCTATACCCCCTATAATTCCTTATACATCCTCTACTTTCAAAGTTGAAATTAAGGAATTATAACAAAAATGTGAGTAAATAAAGTAATTCCAATGGTAGCATCGCAGACACTTTCAATAACAATTACAAAAATATTTCCTCATTCAAAAAATATCTGAAGTGATCAAGCAGCAAAACAAACCAATTTTTTGTAGAATTCCTTTTAATAAATCTTTCAAAATAAACCTAATAAATAGCAATTTAGACCTATCGCAATATTGAGTCCTTCGTTTACATTACTAAAAAGTTAAGATATCAATTTTTCCTAAAATAATGAAGAATTCAAATTTAAGCAGTTAAAATTTTAAATCTATATTATCTAAAGGGAAAACTTTCGAGAAGTCAATGCTATTTAATCGAAAACAAATTTTTTAGAATTCATATCAATAGAAAATGTGGAGTTTAGCATTTGTCTGAATATCATGGAATAAATTTTTATGATATATTAGAAAAAGCCGTTATAAGCAAAGCGAATACAGATTTGATAAGAAGCCCCTGGAACTATAATTGGAGAAGATGCTAAAAGATAAAAAAGGAGATTAATTGGGGTAATGATTTATAAAATAAATCACAATCACTTATATAAATTATATATAATTATAGAAAATTTATATATTCTTTCGTATCTATTAATGTTTTGCATCTAATTATACAAAAAGATTTAAAAAGGTTTCAATAAATTTAATTAAATCTGCAAATCTAATTTTAAAACCTATATGATTTTCCAAGGTATTTAAGAAATTCTATCCTAAAAACTATGGCACCCCAAGATTGAATAAATTATCCAGAAAACTGATTCAGTTAAAAAATAAATTGAAAATCGCTTCTTTTGAAAACCTATAAGAAATTCAATAAAAAAATCTAATAATTACTTATATAAAAAAATGGCAAATAATTTTCAAGTGATTTCATTTAATATTTAGGTATTCAAATTTTGATACTTCTGAAATGTTACTATAATTTTAAGGCTTGCAATCAATAAAAAGATATCCTTTATGAAGCGTTAGGAAGAATTGTTTCAGGCATCTAAGGTCTGATAAGAGAGAAAAGAAAAAGTAAAAATATTCTTTATTATCAACAACCGTTAGGCATATCATAATGTATATTATATCGTGTTAAATTAAATAATAATAATGATTATCTATATATGAATTATAAGAATAATATTTATCAAAATAAAATAAATATAAATAGTAATAAAACAAAAATATATTAATTAGTAAGAAAAAATAAAGAAGCAAAAATCACAATTCATTTGGTTGCTACATGATTAAGTTGTATTAGAAAGTTGAAATGAAATATTTAATCAAAAGATTTTGGGTAATCCTTAACCTCTAAACAATTTATGATTGATAAAATATTCCAAAGATTATACGAAAAAATGATTGAAAAAATAAATCGATTACTATTTATAATTTGGTTCATGATTATCAATATTATTTTGCATTTGATTTTGCATAATTGTTAGTAGCAATGATATAAGTTAAATGTAACCATGTATATAATTAATATAAAACAAAGCATAATTTATCTTTATATTTTCAAACCATCTTAGTCCACTTTCAATAATAATACAAGATCATCAAGACTTTTCTTTAAATTAACATCCTCTACCTTTGGCAGATGAGTAATAAGGATATTTATCTTGATAAGTAATTCCACAAATCTATAATTTCAGATAGGAAATGATTCTATTCATCATAGACTTCACTCTCTCCTTTTGAGAACTTGGCTATTTTCAATTTACAAAAAGTAGAATCTGAGTTAATCAACAGATATTCCCATTTATTTTTGCGACTGTGATACTCGAGATAGGTTTTCTAAATAGTTTCAATCCTTATGAATATAAATTCAATTAATTGATTACTAAAAGATGTGTCAAAGATAGCAAGTACGGGAATCGACTAAATATATTTCTGGATAGATTTCCTCAGCTTAAGCAGTACCTCCTGCAATGTGTTTAGATAACAGGCTGCCACAAGGGTATTGTGACCACCACCTATAATGATAGCATCATATTTTTTCATATTTAATAAATTCAATTTATTGAGAATGTCTTGTTTAAGAAAATAGAGTGTTTCTTTTAGTGATCAGTTTAGGAATCGAGCTTTTCTTATAGAAGCTCAATTGAGAATTCGACTATTATGTTTTAATAGCTCCGATCACAGAACTTGTCCTAACAGATTTGCGATTTTTTAGATAAATAGAATGTTAAGGACATATATTGTATGATCTTTCAACGCTATTCTCAGTCCTAGTGGTTTATTGAGTCCTAAATCTAATCGGTTTTATTTGTCTCCTGGTTTAATTAACTCTATTCTGAGCTTAGTTAATATAATTTTAGATTTTCTCCCCTATTTTAATGTTTCTATGGACAGCATAACTGTATACTGTTTTTTTTTTTTCATTCGACAACTTCGCTATCTTGATTTGATACTTATTATCTATGTCAGGTATAATTGTCTAATTTCTGGAGGACTATCAATACATTCCTCATCAAATTTTATTATGCCCTAATCACCCTTTAAATTTTCTATTAATTCAACCACTTTCGGATCATTTCTTAATCCATTTACAAGAAAAATTATTTTTGTTATAATAAAATTAATCACAATAATATATAATTAAATTCATCTATAATATATCAATATTATGATTTACAGAAAGGTTAAATAAGGATTAGAATGCTTTTCATTTTAGGATGATTTAAAATTATTTGATTCAATTCTGTACTTATATAAATTAATCATAAATATATGTTAAATAGAAGAATTTTATTTATACAACGACTATCAAAATATGAAAAATCTAATATTTGAATATAATTATTAAAATCTTTTCATTTTGATTACCTCAGCAACAAATAATATTTAAATTAATCTAACTTTTTTTAAGAATTTTTTAATTATATTAAGGATTAGAATAAAAACTACATTTAATGCACTTTGAGTTATGTGTAAATACCTAATAGAAAAATTATTTGATTTATAATCCTGATGATTTTTTTGAATCAATTAAGAAATGATATTATATGTACTGAAATTAATTATGTTATAATTTTCACTTAATATATAGTGAATAGTGTATATTATATTAGTAACTGCAATTTCAAAAATCATTATCCAGCGCTAATAAGTTCTCTCTAACTATGAGATTTTAGAGTTAGTTAGAATTTATATAGATAATTTGGAAAAACCTAATAAAACCTAATACATATTATCTATTTAATATCTTCACAATCCTTTTGAATGCATTCAATCAAAGTATATAATATTATCAAGATCAATTTTAGATTTCTTCCCTTAAGACATTCATAATATATTACAAGTTATTGATCAAAGTAAGGATATTGTGATTAATTATATTTAAATTTATTTTGTATTAAAATTAGAAGTTAATATTGACTAAACAAAACTGGAACAAGATTTGAAAACTTTTAGGTTTCTTAAAATAGATTTCAGAAAATATATTTGATTTAGCTAAGTAATTTAATTATATTATGTTTATAAATATTAAATAATATAGGAGATTTAATTTGCAGTCAAAAGAATTCATATTTAAATGTATAAATTGGTTGAATGCCTGAGTCTGGCATAAATACCAATTTTATGGAAATATTAGTTTCGATGCCATGTATCAAATCATAGATATAAATTTCAATATGATTTCATTTTCCAAAGTGGAGAATAAACTTTTTATTATATTTTTAATACAAATAAATGGGTTTGTGTAGTTCGAATGTTCGTCAGAGGGTCTAAAAGAATTCCGAAATTAGGTAATTCAGTTAGCAAGACATTCGTCATTTTTACAAAATGGGATAAGTCATCGGTCGTGGCAATTTTGCAACAGTTTAAATTGGTTATAAGATCGATTAGGAGAATAGTGGGTTCAAGGGAAAGTGCTATGCGATAAAATGCATAGATAAACAGAGGATAGGTTTTGAGTAGATTCAAAGGGAGTTGGAGATCTTATCAAGACTTGATCATCCAAACATAATTCGAGTGTTTGAGGAATATGAAGATTTAAATCACTTTTACTTTGTGATGGAGTACTGTAGGGGTGGAGAACTTTTGTAATAGATCATAAAACATGGAGCCTAGACTGAAAGAATGACGTAAATAATCATGAGGTAATTGTTTTCTGCTGTGGGGTATCTCCACGAGAGAGGAATAATTCACAGAGACTTAAAGCCTGAGAATTTGATGCTGGCAAATGCTGATGGAGATTTTGATATAAGAATTATTGACTTTGGATTGAGTAAGCGCGAACAAGTTATAAAAAAGCCATAACAATAGAGATCCAAGTGCAGACATTAAACCAAAGTTGGAACTCCAATTTACGTGGCTCCAGAAGTGTTAAAGGGAGTGTACTCAGAAACATGTGATGAATGGTCTTTAGGTTGCATTATGTATGTACTGCTATTCGGAGAGCCACCATTTAGTGGATAGAATATTCATTAATTGGAACAATAAATAAATAAACCTAATCTCAACTTCAGATTAAACATTTCTGCTGAGTGCTAGGATCTAATTACTAAATTATTGGAACCTAATCCAAATAAGAGAATAACATGCTTATAAGCACTCAAACATCAGTGGATGGTACGTGATTAGAATCAGTACAGACTTTTGACAACTATGCAAAGTGAAGATAATAGTTTAGAGATAGAGAGGATTATTGAATTGCTGAAACAATATAGTGAGTGTACTTAATTCAAGAAGGAGGCTTTGAAAATTCTATTATCACAATTAACCGATTTGTAATAGAAATACTTAAAAATGAAATTTGAGGAATTGGACAGGGATAATAGTGGAACTATTAATGAAGTTGAATTTCAGGAATATTTGGAGTAACAAGGGAAGAGTAAATTATTAAAGCAATTGCCAATAGAGAAGTTTAGTAAGAATGATTAAGGGTTTTATATTTCATATACAGATTTTATGGCTGCTCTACTGAATCAACCACATTATTTAACTTAAGATAGATTGGACAATCTATTCATTTGGTATGATATTAAGCATAGACAATATATATCGAAACATGATTACGGGATTTCAATGAGCAGGAGAGGAGTAGTGATTAGTCAGGAGAAGATAAATGGGATATTTTAGGAATTGAATTTGGGATTGATTAGATATGACCAGTTTAAATATGTCATGACTTTCAATTCTACCAGGTAGAGGAATCGAGGCATGGGGGACAACAAATAAAGGAATGGATTAAAATTTGTGAAGATGGTAGCATGTGTCGGAGATGATTGTAAATTTTTATGATTTTTTATTAATTATATAAAAAACGGGTATGAATAGAATTGGATTTGGATTGTTATGTATAATGTTGGTGACAGCCAGCAGCAATGTGATGTTACAGACAGCAGATCATAGTGCATTCAGTGAAGTGTTTAAAACTTATGTAATGATTGTTGGTTTACAAGGAAACAGTCAAAATAAAGTGAATTCGGAGGTAGATTATTTGGAGAGTTATTGGTGATGGTTCAGAAGGGTGAAACATTGTAAAGTCTAAATGATCACGTTGAAGAGTTGAGAAAGCATTTGTCAGATGATGAATCAGAAGATGAGAAATATTTCAATGAAAAATAACAGGAAATGGAGGCTTCATTTTCTGGCTTGGCAACTGAAGTTGAAGAGTTAAGAGTCTCAGTAGAACAAGCAGCAAGTAAAATTCAAGTGTTGAATAAATAATAAACTATCATTGATGGGTTATTTGCAAATGATCAACAAGCATATTAAAAGAGAGTCGGTGATCAAAATGCTATTTTGGATGTCATAGGATAATTGTTAGTACGTGTTAGTGAATTACAATAAGGAGGAGGACACAGTTTGATTGAGAAGGACAACTTATTGGATGAAATCAAGGCTTTAGGAAGAGGAAAGCATGGTGGAAGTCTTGGCTTAAGTAATTAATCATTATCTATATGTAAATAGATTACAGCCCATTTACAAACTGAATAGGTTGAACACATTTAAGAATTGTTGAATAGATTGAGAGATGCAGTCTTAAACAGTTTAGCAATTGATGAAGAGAAGGAATAAGAAAATATTAGATTATACAATAAGTTGAGTGGAGAAATCAGAAGGTAATGTTAATATATGATATTTTTAAGTTCATTGGCTTAAAGTACTAGATCATTTTAAGAATTGGAAGCTCATTTTGATTAAAAGGAATTTGAATTGAATTCTAAGAAATTGGCAGTCCGTGAAGTAGGAGAGACATTGTAAGACAGAAACGATTAGAGGTGAATAATTATATCATTTGACTAGATAGTTTATATTGGATAGAGTCTAAGAGGCATAAAAATTATTGAATGATAATTTGGATAGAATTGCAAGATGGTCAGTTGAAAGCGAATGAACATGAATTTGGAAATTTTAATAATTTTTAATTTAATAAAATAATGAACATAGTGTTATCAAAGCTTGATCCATTAATCACCAAATTTGGACTTGATAATACAGATCAAATGGAAATACTCAAAGGACCATGCAGCAAAATCGGAGTTCGACCTGCTCATGTGGTTTTTATTGCTAGTTCTGTTGCTCTCTTTAGCATTTTGTTTGGAATTGCAGCACGTTTTCTCTCAACATTCATTTCCATCATCTATCCAGCATATAGAAGCATTCAAGCCATTGAGTCTGCAGGTATGTTATTCTCCATAATGTAGGTGAAAATGATGACAAGCAATGGTTAACCTATTGGATTCTATTTTCAATCATCACTTTGGCAGATGCCTCAATTGGATTTGCATTGGAGTTCATTCCCTTTTACCACATCTTGAAATTAGCACTCTTTGTTGCCTTATTCCACCCATAAGTCAAAGGAGCTGAGAAATTGTATGATTAGGTACTGTGACGTAGTTTATTCATTATAGTTTGTTCATCCCCTTTATTTGAAGCATCACGAGAAAATTGACAAAGGTTTCTAGAAGGTTCAAGAGAAAGTAAAGTAACAAGTCAATGATAAGTTCTAAAATTGATATTGTATGACCACGTATATAAAAATTTTAAATCATTTGAATGTTCCAGTGGCTCTCATTCGGCATTCGTTAAGTGATTGAGTAAGATACTTGATTTCTTTTCGTTGTTGATTGTATTTAAATACTATGGTTTGCCTAAGGAAGGACTCCTCAACTTAATGAAAGTCAAAGTGAATCATGTGCACACTTCGGAATTCCGTTGTCTAATTGATTTCCAATCTGGCAGACCCATCCAACATCACTTAGAAAATGGCTCCATATCTAATGACATCTAGATCATTATAATACCCATTATAATTTTATTCGACCTTATTATTGTGATCTGAGCATAATCCTTAAAAGGCATTTGCAAGTTCTATAATGCTTTTATTTGAGTGAAACCATTAACTGTGGCTTCGTGATGAAATAAAAAGAACAAATCCTTCTCTGAACTAATTTCAATTTTAATTGATTATGGATTACTATCAATTCCCCTTAATTAAACAATATCGTTACTAGTTATAAGACTCGTAGACGAATAGGTTCTGGTTAACTAAGTTCCTAGACTTCTGAGAACCGATCTTAGAATCGAATATTTATGTTTAAAATGCGATCATATAGGACTTTGTGTCCATCCTTTAATGCCGGATCCAAGTAATCGATTTCAGCAAAGTCAAGTGGATTCAATTATACAGCATTTAACCATGAGCTGCCTGATTTCATATGTTATTTTGAAATTATTTAAAACAGTTAATAATAAAGAATTAAATAGATTAACTCATACTATATTTGAATTGAGTGAAAGTAATATGGGATAAAAAGTAAATGAGTTCTAATATATAATTATTATAGTTTCAAATAGATTTGGATTAATGTGAGGGTGGAATGTATTTAGATATATAATTATATATTTATATATAAGAGATAGAAGTAGAAGATAGTAAACTTGAATAAATTTATATATATATTAATTATAATTATGATCAAATTCTATTATATCTATCTATTAGACAGGTTGTAAGTATTTAGGTGATAAATTGATGAGATTAAAGCACCTTATTAAAATAAAGATTTGTAATTATGAAAGATAATTCTAATTTCTATTAGGATTAGTAGAATATTATTTATTAAATTTCATTAATATTAATAAAAAAACATGATTGATAATAGATTGGAAAAGGAGTTCAATGCTGTTCTAAATGCCATTGATGATGGAGTTTTGGAAAATATTTCAGTTGAAGTGGATAAACAAAACAATTCAATAAATTATAGAAAATGGATAGTCACTATCTATGGCAAGGAAGGTACAATTTGGGAAGGAGGTGAATTCCCAGGATTTTTAAATTTTTCTAAATCATATCCAAGTGATCCACCTTAATATTATTGGTAATTGTATGGAGGATAGTTTTAACATATGAATGTATTTGAAAATGGAGCAACATGCATCGATATCCTGAACAATAAAATAGGCTACACGCCAGCTACTTCATGCGTAGAAATATTGAAGGGAATGGAAGGGTTTTTGTACAATCCTAATCCGAAATCTCCAACTATGAGGGGTTTGGCAAAAACATTTGAGGAGAACAAAGAACAATATGAGAAATTAATAAAAGCCTTCGTGAAACATTACATGATAGAAAAAGAGAAAAAGAAATAGTGATATATATAAATAATTAAAATATGAGTTTCATTCTGATCAATCTAGATATCCAATTATTGGATTCGAGGGATTCAATTTATTTTATCTCCAAAAGTAAGCTCCAATACTTATAGTTAATATGGATGTAATTGAAACTGCGATAGCAATTGGAATTGTGGGTGAATTCGGCTTCTCAGGAGGATTTTAATCACAAGTCTATGAATCTGGATTATACGAATAGGATAAAGAACACAAATTGCAGGAATCATTAGACGAGCAGTTTAAACAATTATCTATGCATTTTTCGCACACACCTTATTCATTTTAGAACATTTGTATTTCATTGCAAATGCTATATAGAATACATCTGCCATTTTCCAATCGATCATAATTAGCAATATTTTAATCACATTCTAAACAAGTGGATGGTTCAATTTCAGGATTGCTAGAAATAATGCATTTAAGACATCCAGATGAACAGGGTTCACATAGATTATCCTTTAAAAAGTAACTGTCTATGCAGGAATTGCATTAATCTTAATGTTGACAACTGGTGCAATTAAGTACATTACATTTTGTACACTTATTTATGGGAGTAACTTCTAGGTAATAACCTTATACACAGAGTGTACAATTTTAATCATTAGTACATTGTTGACATCCTTCTTGACAAGTCATACATTTATTATCAGAACTTAAGTAATATTATTAAATGCAAGTGGAACAATAGTCAACTGCAGCACAATTGAGACAAGGTGTTTGACATTTATTACATGATTTCCCCCCAGAATAATAACCATCTTTACAAGTTAAACAAAAGTCTGAAGTGCATAATACACAATTGTCTTCACATTTACGACATTCTTGATACAAAGGATAATACCCATCATCACATTATTGACAGGTTTACGAATCACAATATTAACAATTTGATTTGCAAGGGATGCATGCCGAATTTTAAATGTAGAATTTCGGATTGCATTTAGTACATTAGTTTACTGTACACGAAGTACAGTTTTATTGGCATGGATGACACTCTCCATCTTTTAAATAGTAAGCCTCTTGACAGCCCAGACACATTTCACTGTTACAAAATTTACAATTAGGCTAGCAAGTAACACAAATGTTCTGTTCAGGTACATAGGGTGTAATGCATTTAATACACTTTTCTTCATTGCATTCCAAACAATTATCAGAGCATCTTATACAAGTGCTATCTTTGAGATAATATCCTGCATTGCATTTGGTACATCCAATCTCATCACATTCCTTACAGAGTGGATCGCAATTTTAACATTGATTCTCTTTTAAGAAATAGCGAGATGAAATACACGAATAACAGTTTGTGAGAGAAGAGCAAGTACCACAAGGACTCCTACAAGATTAACACTGAGAAGAGGAATCCAAGAAGTAGCCATCCTAACATGATCTGCAATAGTTATTATTACACAAAGTGCAAGGAGGTGAACAAGATTGACATTGATGATTGTTTAAGTAAAATCCAGTAATGCAACTTGTACATGATGTTTGACTTGTACAAGATTGACAAGGGCTTGAGCAATTGAGACACTTGTTATCTGTTAAATACTATTATGAAGTGCATCCTGTACATTTAGTAGGACTATACTTACAGTTATTGCAAGAAGAATCACATATCATGCATTTACGTAGATCCCAATCATAATAATACCCATTATTACATCTACAATTATCGGTGCATAGTACACACTGATTAGAGATGTTCTCGTAATCAGGCATGCATTTGTCACAGGTTTTATTATTTGATTTCGAGCATTCCTTACAATTGAGAGCCTCGCATATTTAGCATGGTTGATTGGTATTGATGCCATCATTGCTTTAACAGATTGTGCAGTTATTTTCATCACCTTCACAACTAAGACATTGTGGTTTGCATGGAAGACATTGATCTTAGTACTTAAAGTACCTTTAAACACATGATTAACAACTAATTTTAGTGCCATCATACGTGCAGGAGGTACAACCACCTGGACAGACTTTACAAGTTGTGTCATTATACTTATAAGCATTTGCTGAACATGATGTGCAGATTGTTGCAGATGAACAAGCTGAGCATTCTGGTGAGCAATTTGTACATGTGTTATTAGCAAAATAATATCCTTCGACACAACTTGTACAAAGGTTAGAATTGGTGCAACTTTTACATCCAACCTTTACGAGAGAGCAGGAAAGACACTCTGAACCAGAAAGGTATTTGTCACTTGTACAACTTGTGCAGTTATTAGGTGTATTCTCACATGTCTTACAAAGAATACTGCATTTCTAGCAATCATTATTTATTTTAAAATATTGATTTTGGCAGGAAAGGCAATTAGTGCTTGATATTTAACAGGTCAAACATTGCAAAGCACATTATTTGCAAGTTTGGGTGGATGCATCCAAATACATCCCATTCTCACAGGATGTACAAGTATTTGCATTGTTATCACAAGATTTGCAATTATCATCACATAATTAACAAGTATTATTCGACACATATGAAGTAATTGCACAACTAGCACAAGTATCCTAAGAATAACAAAGTGAGCAAAGGGAATGGCTACAAATATTCAATTAACATTTCTTATCAATAGTTGACGTGTATTGAGATTTGCATTTGGTACATTCATTGAGTGAATTACATTCAATACAATTCGCATCACATTGATAACATGCATTATTCTATAAGTAATAGCCCATTTTACAAGAAGTACAATAGGAATTACTGTTGTTGCAGGTGTTACAATCAGCAGAACAAATTTAGCATGAATTATTCAAATCCATGTAATACCCATCAACACAAGAGGAACATGAAGTTGAAGTACAAGATTTGCATGGATATGTACAATTCACACATTAATGCCCACTAAGATATGAAGTATCTGCACATGTTAAACAAGTACTATAATCTGAGCATTCTAAACAAGAGGGGTTTTTACATTTCTTACATTATTTAGTTTAATCATTGAAATAATAACCCTTTTAGCATTCAAAACACTGATTATCATTGGGTCCAAAACAATCAGTACATGCAATATTGCATTGATTACAATTTTAACCATACTCTCCCTTCTGACAACATGTTACTGAAGATGATGAACAAGATATGCACGAATTATTTACTAATTAATAACCTTTATCACAAGCAAGACAATTATTGTCAGTGCATTAGATGCAATTCACTTGTTTGCATGTATAACATTTGTTGGCATTCAAATAATAATATGGCAAACACTCCTTACACTAAGTTGAATCATAACAAGTAAAACAAGGGGACTGACATGTCTAACAAACTGATGAACTCGAAATATAGTAACCAACACTACATTGATTGCATACTGGTGTTCCACTTACAATTGTACAATTCTACTCGCATTCTTGAGGACATGCTAAACACGAAGTCATAGTTTTTGCATATCCACTTATACATGTTGTGGAATTCACTGTTGTAGGATCCATAAACATGCATCTCTTGTTAAGTGCATCGTATTCATATCCATCTAGGCAACTCAAACAGTGTTCTTTGGATGTGCATGTCTTACATGGTGTTGCACATTTATTACACTTATTATACGCATCCAAATAATTGGTATCATCGACACAACTCGTGCATGTCTCATCTGTGATATCACAAGTTAAACAGGGAGATTTGCACACTATACAAGACTTGTCAATCAACACTTTTCCAGATTAACAAGAATAACATTCATTTGGTTTATCATAACAGGTTTTGCAACTTGAATCGCATTTCTAACATGTGTAATTCTTTTCAAAATATCCTGCCACACAAGATGTACATTAGCTTGAATTTTTGCATTTTGTGCAATTCTAAGGGCAATAATTATTGCAATTTGCCTAAACACCAATTATAGTTTCCTCTAAATAATTACCATCCTAGCACTGAGTGCAATAAGAAAAAGATGTGCATTTCTTACATTTCTATGCACATTCTAAACACTGAAATGAAGATGTATCTAGGTAATAGCCTACTTCACATTTGCTGCATTTCGTTTAATTGTCACACTACATACACTTGCTCATAGCTAAAGAACATAAATCACACCTGTTATCGGAATGATAATATCCACTAACACAAGAATTGCATAGCGAGAGTGATAAACAATCCTTACAAGGAGATTGGCACTCAACACATATCGAATTGTCCATGTAATAGGTGTTTGCACAATCAATACAATCATTAGCAGACGAACAGGTTTTGCACTTTGCATCACATTTGTTACAAAATTCACCATCAGAATAATAGCCATGATCACATTCTACACAGGAGTTCTATGATATATCTGAACATTTGATGCAGACATTATCAACGCAACCTATACAATTGGAATTCTTGCACTTTTTAAAGCATTTCCCACTCGCATCTAGAGTGTATAAGCATTCGCATTTTTTCAGCTATTCATTGTATGAGAAATCGTTCATGCATTTTTTACACTTCCCATTCCCATCATTGTCGAATTCGCAATCTTCACAATCTGAACAAACCTCCAACAAAGCAAGGTAATTATTGATTATTTTATTCAAATCAGGATTGCCTAATATTGAATCTGATTTATAAACTATCAGACTGAAATATTACATGTATAGGATATGTTCTGATAAAAACCTGTTTGATTCCAAGATTCTTCTATTCTTAACGATTGCCAGACCATCTGTGAACACTATATAAACATGTAATTTGTCGTTGTCCTTAACTTGTTGGAAGATAATAAACTAATACTGTTTTCCATTGACTACTCTTTGAAATGATTAGGATGTAAATTAATCAAAATCAACATCCCATTTCAATCCTTGAGGGTAGGAGTATTATTTCACAGCCAAAACAAACAGGTTCTGATGAACATATGAAAAATATTCCCCATCCAAGGTTCCTTTGCCTGATATTATTTAAGATTCACCCTTGATCAATTAAGAAATTGATATTTTTGTTTGCGTGTCTTTTTTAGCTGGATCATAAATAAAAGAAGCATTTATGGTTTCTATTAAAAGAGTACTTAATGAACTATCACTTGATTTCAGTTGCTACAATTAACTCTTTTAAGGATTACCATCTTTAGATATCTTCTATTTGAAATCAAATATTTTGGTATCAAGAATTTGAATACAATTGTATTGAGACTGGGTTTCATAATATCCCTATACACATTCGCATCTATTATACAATAATATTCTATTATATGATGCCTCACCACAGCTTGTGCATTTATTTGGATTCTCATAGCTACATGTGATGCAATTCTGATTGCACTTAAAGCAACCTTTGCTTTTCAAATTACTTTGTAGTTCTTGGTAATGCTCTTGACAAATGCATTTATCATCAACTAACATTCGAGTTGGAGGACAACTCAAACATTTCTCATTGTCGTATGGATCACAAGTAGAGCACTGAAAATTGCATCCTAAAACAAACGGGATCATAAATATCACCCAAAGCATTTAAATTATTATTAATGAAATTAATTCTATTTACTTGAACCTCTTAATACGCACAGCAGAGTTCCTCTAGATTGACTAGAATTTGGGAAATTACTGTTTTGTTTTATTTTATATATATATTATTCATGCAATCTACTCATCCGGGTCTAGCCCAATTCTTAGCAGGTGGTAATTCTCTCAACGATAATTTATCATAAGGAGTGTTACGACTATTCGATAATTCAGATTTCTTACGGCTCATTTGAATCCTTCTTGACTACAGTATTCCATGAAGAAATCTAGTATCCTTACCAACCATAAGCAATGAAAATGAAGAAAACCCATGGCAATATTCTAGTATTCATGACTGGAGTGTGAATGTTGAATATTCCATTTCTCTCGAATGAGGTTGTCCTTCTAAACCAAGCCATTGTCGCTGGAGTTCTCTCTTTGCTTATCAATCAACACTCTTACATGTCCTAGCACTCCTCAATACCAATCCCTCTATATTTTGAGGTATCTCTGGTTGTACTTCTAACTTTCCAACATTAGCAGCCAAGAAATCACTCTTCACTTTTATTATCTATAGCACTCATACATTATACATTATTGAATTTGTCCGAATTCTGGTCCCACCTTATCGTACTTATTAGTAAAGAGCGGGTCGAATTTGCCGAAAGTCTTAGTCTCAGGTATGAAATTGCTCATTAATTTTATTAATTAAATATTCTTATTCCTTTATCTACTTGTTTATGTACTTGTCTAGAGTCATCCAAATAATTAATTTAATGCAGTAGTAGAATCATTCAGTACTCACTTAATACAAAATTCTAATTATTTAAAGCAATCTAACTTAATATTATTTTTATGATCGAAATTGAATCGATAATCAACGAAATTAAGTACAAATTAAAAAGCAAAAATGTATTTGATTCTAAACAACCTAGGCTGATGAAATGATCGCTGACACATATCTCTTAGCATTTCAACAAGGAAGGAATCCAAAACAGAATTTTGGATAGAACTTAGAGTTGATCAAAAACTTAAGGCAATTAATAGATATGCAAGTGTATACAAAAGAACAAATTACAAATCTATATAATCGGGTTTTGAATGGCAATCAAGATGTTTAATTCATTTCTATTATTTTAGCTTCTTTAATTGTGCAATCGAATCGAATAGAACACACTTAAGTAAGTCAATTTGGCTATTTAGAATCCAGCAATCAGATGACAATCAATTTTAACCAATGAAAAGGGAAATCATTTAAATCAATTAAATATAATAGAATTCAAATTAATAGAATAGTTTGCTATTAGAAGATGAAGAAGAAAAGAATCTCCAAGTTGCTAAACTAATCTAGTTATAGTATATATGTTTCATGTATCCTTCAGACTAGATTCAGAATACTAAAAGGAGTTGAGTGCTACTATGGAGAGGGAAGAGGTAATAAGAAAGAAGAAGAAATAATAAGAAGATGAATTAAATAATTAAATTGAATGCAAGATTTGTTTGGAAGTTATCCCCTTGATCGAAATGGCAACTCTACAATGCTCTCACATCTATCATCAGAAGTGCTTAAATCAATACTGTGTGACTCAAATTTAAGCACGCCAGTTTCCGGTCTGCTGTCCTGCTATTGAGTGTAAGAAGAGTATGATCTATTCTGATTTAACAGAAGTACTGGATGACCAAAATCTATTTGAATTTCAATAATATACTTTCAAGTAATACGTTGAAAGTCATGGCGATGAAGTAATCCATAATCTCATTATTAAGTATTCATGGTGTCCCACTCCTGATTGCAAATATGTATTTGTAGCAGCAGATGCCTAATTCAATTGTCCTTCTTGTAAGAAAAAGTACTGTCTACAATGTAAGATAGAATATCATCATGGATTTACTTGTCAGGCTTACAAGGAAAAAATCTAAAAAGAATAGAGGGCAAAAAATGAGAAAGTCTTAGATGATCAATTCTTTTAGTTTGTTAAAGGCGCTAAATATAAGCAATGTCCTTAGTGTAAGTTTTGGGTGGAAAAGAATGAAGGTTGTGATCACATGACTTGTAGGTGTTAATTTTAATTTTGTTATGTCTGTGGAGGTGTTTATGGTAATTGCCATTGTAAAAGAAGAAGATGACAACATTATTTATGATGTTATTAACACTTTTTCTAAATTAATTTAGTAATAGTCATTATCTGGCTATTTAGTGTTATATTTTATCTCTTTTTTGAACAATTCATTTCAATTTTAGATCAATAATATCTAATTAGTAAATAATGGATTAACTACCTATTTCGAACAATATTGGGTTATGGAGGATGGAAAGAGATGGATAAAGTAAGGAATGAGGAAGGACTGTTGGTGGTAGAAATCAGTTGAGAATTATATTAAAAATAATTTATGTTGATTATCATAAATACTTATATATAAAATTTCAAATGAGCTTCTCTGAATCGAATGATTTTCAGAATGAGGAGTACAGATTTGAGGAAGTAGATGATTTCATTGATTTCGAAGATTTGGCGTATAATGATGTGATGAGATATGAGGGCGAATTGGGAAAGTATGAGTTATTTAAAGCGTTTGATAGTGTAGATAAGGAGAAGGAGAGGGAATTGGTTGAAGAGAATTAGAGTGAGATGCAGAAGATATCATCGACTCTTTGTATGAGGGAGGAGGAGGTGTCAGATGAGTCAGAGGATGAATCTTAGTTTCAAGGAACGTAAGGGAATTTGACATTATAATTTGCAGGCAATCTAGAACGTGTAATTCTGGGACTCTACAGAAATCGATTAGGAAGAGGAATAGGGGCAAGGAAGAACCTGTAAGATTTGAATGATTAATAGTGTGGTTGTAGAAGAGAAAGATTAAGAAGTGGAGTGAGGAAGAGAATAGGCGTTTGGAAGATTTGTTTCAAATTTACAAAGGAGATTGGGAGATTATAGTTAGATTTTTGGAAGGGAGGACAGTTTCATAATGTAAATAACACTGGTAGCGTTTGAGTGGTGGTCAGGAGAAGAAGAAGAAGTGGACAGAGGAGGAAAACCAAATAATATTGTCATTTACAAAGGAGAATCCGTAGTTTAATAATTGGGCTTTGATTGCAGCAAGTATGAAATGTTGATTAAAGAGAGGAATGCAGGGTAGGAATGGGAAACAAATAAGAGAGCATTATATGAATCAGTTGCGTCCTGGGATCAAGAATAAGCAGGGTTGGAATGAGGAGGAGGACAAGCAGTTGTTAAATTTGTATCAGCGATATGGAAGTAAGTGGTGTTAGATAAACAAACATTTTGAAGGGAGAACAGTATGATATTTGTAGTAAATGAAGGAAATAATGTTGAAGAATAGATTCAATAAATTGTAGAAGGGAAACACTTACATCGACCACTTTCTCAATATAGATGATGAACCACAATAATAGTAATAATCTCACACATTCTCTTTTAATTGATTATATTTAATAATTATTTATATAAATGGGATCAATTTGTTAGTCGCATTCCTGTTCAGTTGAATACACATCTCAATTGAGCACAAGTGTGAACTTTCTCAAACCGATAATTGATTAACAATTGTAGGATGAAATAATGGAGGAATCCTTGTCTCCTACTGATTTTGACAAGGAGTTCACTACCACCAAGTCAATGCTTCCCAGATCTCCAGATGTCATACCCAAGTCGCCTTTGAATTCCCCTACACCTAATGATTCAGTTGTAATATCTAAATTTCACATAACATCTGACGATTTTGTTAAGTTTAGATATCAGAACTACGCTGATTCTTATTAGATAGAAAGATCCCTCGGTTCTGGCAGTTACGGCGAAGTCTTCATTGTCAGAAACAAGCAAACTAGTATATACATGACATTTAATTTTTAGGTTAATTGAGAGCCATGAAACAAATCAAAAAACAATAAAGTTCGTTGAGTAAGAAGTGTTTGAGAGAGATGGAGATTTTGTCGAAGTTGGATCATCCATTTATTGTGAAGGCAATCGAAGTATTCCAAGATGACTAGAGTTACAACATGATAATTGAGTAGTGTTATTTATATGAGGTAGATTACTCTAAGGAACTGATCTACAGGAAGATATATAGAATAATAATAAGTTCACTGAGGAAAAGGCAGCCAACATAGGTTATCAGTTGTTGTTGGCTCTGAGTTACATTCACAATCAAGATGTAGTCCACAGAGACATCAAGCCAGAGAACATTTTGTATCAATATAACAACGGGAACACTCTCATCAAACTCATTGATTTTGGCATCTCCACTGAAATCAAAAAGAATAGGAAACTCAGTTCTCAATTAGGATCAGTAAGAATATTCTTAATTTATTTAAGATGTATTTTATGGCTCCTGAGATCTTCAGTAAAGACTATGGCAAATAAATTGACATTTGGGCTTGTGGAGTTACCTTATTCTATTTGGTTCATAAAAGATATCCCTTTATGGGGAAGACTAATTCAGAAATGAAGAATGCCATTAAAAGTGGAAATCTCTAATTTGATAAATCTATTACGCCTGAATTATAGTGTCTGTTGCTCAAGATGTTGTAGGTTAATCCCAATAAAAGAATCACTGCTCAATAAGCATTACAAGAAGATTGGTTCATTAAACATAGATTTTTAAGTCAATTCAATCAACAACTCATTTTCAAATTAATAAATTATCATTCAACAACTCTATTCGAAGAACTGATATTCTCAGTCATCACCTACTTTTGTCAAAATTGCGATGACCATGGCTAAGCCATTTAAACCTTCTTATATCTAGATGCCGATCAAGATGGCTAAATTTCGAAATAAGAATTCAAGAAGTCCTTATATCAACTCAACATCAACAATTCCTCTTAGAAAATCGATGACCTCTACTCCACTCTTAACAAATAGTCAGATGATACACTCACTTACAAAGGTATTGTCATCCTTCTCATTTGTAGAATTTCTAGCAGCTTCAGTAGCCAGAGATAAACTATAAACAAAGAAATGCCAGAAATTTTGTTTTTAATTGATTGATTATGATCAAGACGGAAAGATATCGGAATCAGATTTCTGTCATCTGATGGGTAAGGACCACTCGAATCTTTGGCATCTTCTAAACACCTCGAATAGTTTATATATAACAGAAGAAGAATTTTATAACATGTTTAAATGTTGATGATTACTCTTATATATATATATAACTTAGAAGATCCTATAGTTAATCTACTATAGCCATTAAAATTAAATTTTTATTTATGTTTAAACCGAATTTCATAGGGTAATCCAAATCACTCCCCTAAGATGACTTTGAAAAGTATATCAAGACAACCTTATAGGAAAATTATTACATGTCTTGTTTAGATACATGTTTTACTGATTACTCTACTCCCATTTGTATGAAAAATTGAATTACTTTTCAATTAGCAGGACAAGAGAAAGTTTGTTTGGCCAAATGTTTAGATAGAGCTTACGACTCCTTGAGACTTGTCTAAAAGATCATTGATCCCTTTGACAGTCTGAAATAGAAGAAATTTTACTACAAATTAGATGGACAAAATGTGTTAGGCTTGAAGAAGGATTAAATGTTATGATTATTAATTTATTATGAAAATGTAGTTGTGCTTTGCATTTTATATATATGCTCAAGCTGAGTGTCTAGGAACACTCATATCACAATGCAGGAAATAATCATATAGGAATATAACATTTGATCAATGCTCTATTGGTATAATGGAGATTTGATTATGAAACCTATCGATATTGCTACTCTTTTATTGCCATCACACTTTCAATATGGATTATTTCATTTTCTTTAGCCTCTATTTTGATATTCAAAATGAGATAATAGTTCTGATACACAATAATGTAACAATTGCTAATAGCTATTAATAATTCTTAAAAGAGTGAGATCCAAATCATAGAATTGAAGTTGCAATGATGGATGTTCAAATATCGAATGATTAATTACGAACTATATTTTTTTTAATTTAATGTTGTTGCTATTTATTTTCATTGTGCCTCTCATAGGTTAAACCTGTTTCAGCAACAAGGCAGCTGTCGATTGTAAATATTTGAAGTGTTGCACTGAGGAAGGCTTCTGTGCTGTATATGAGAGTGAGTGTTACTACAGTGCAGAAAAATGTATACATTTTTAACATTTCCATTAGACTCATGCGATTATGCGGAATGTGATTATTGTTGTATTTACAATGGAGATACCGTTGAGTGTGGAACCCAAGATTAATGCTTAGCTTGGATTTTCATTTTGTTAGGTTCTTGGCTATTATTAACATTAATTGTAATTTTTGCAGCTATCAATCGTAAAAGAAATATAGCCACTCGTATGATTGTGATTGCTGAAAAGGCCAGACTTGTTGCATAAGATAACTCAAGAAAATCGATTGTCTCATAAATAATTGGATCAGAAGAATAATATGGGAAAGAATTTTAAATTGATAAAGATAACTATAATTTGTAATTATGATTTTGGAGTTGCTTTTTTCATTACTACAATTAGAGTTCTAATTTTTATATTGTAACATCTTCTTCTTTTCTCTCTTCATATTCAAAATAACCTCATGGTTTTAAGAATAGTTTTATCCTACACTTTACTCATTATGTTTCTATTATAATGTTTACAAGTACTTTTCCAAATTTATCATAGATCTTAATGTTTTCGTTCTATAATTCATATGATTAGAAAGACATAGAAAAATTAGAATATTTCTGACTTTATGCAAAAATCATACAGAATTATTTAAACTCTCCTAAAATTGTCTAATTTTGTTAAGCTATTTAAAATATCTCCCTCATTCTACTCAAATTCATTGCTTCAAAATTAAGCTGTATCAGTTCTCAAAAATTATAAAATATATAAGTATTAAACAATTTCTTTGTGTAAATTTAAGATATACAAAAAACCAATTGATTATCAAATTACTTAATCCCATACATCAATAGAAATAATCAATCTTTTGTCAACTAACATTTCAAAGAGTTATGAAAATATAATCCTGCCAATAAAATATACTGATCCAGAAGAGAATTACCAATAGAGAAGCATTTGGTATGAGATATAAATTACGAAGTGTGTTAAATAAATAGTTTGATCTTACTAAGAATAAAACATGTAAATATATAAATCAAAGCAAAATTAATTTTTGAATATATACTCATAGTTAATGCAATATTTTTGCACTTGATAAGAACTCATATCCTTTATTGTGTTAAGTATTTATAGACAATATGGTGGTGATAAAAATGGAGAAATTAAAAGCTAAGTGTTAAAATTATTTTCCAATAGGACCCCCTTGCCAATCTTATATTTTCAAGTTCATTAGCCAATTTAACATAATTATCAGATTCGATTTATCAAAAACAAAAGTAAATTGAAATAACTAAAGTTCTTCATGATTGAGTCATTAATTTGAATTGTCAATAGATAAAGAAAATATGAAGAATTAAATTTATCTAAATATATTGAATTATAATTTAAATAAATTCTATTAAAAATAGAAATTAAACCTAAATCAAGAATAAAATAAATATAATTATATAATACTTCTTTTAATTAATCTTATTCATGAAGTTATTATTTGTAAACATAATTAACCTTCTTCAAAACTTATTTAAATTTTCATATGAATGATTTGAAATTTTTATTAATAATCGTGATGACATGATTGTAAAAGTAAGTAGATTTCTTATAAACTGAGCTGTATTCCAAATAAGTAAAAAGAGTATTTTCAATGATTTAAAGTGGAAATCAATAAGGGAAATCGAAATAAGCAACGATGATGATCTTAAATCTTGAGGAATATTAATTCATATTTTATTTGTTATAAACCTCCCTTTGAGTTATTATATTAATTCCTTAAATTTTACTTATTTATTATAATATATGGCATAAAATATCTTTCCATTAAATGGTATTGTATAGTTATTTATAAGACACAATAAATTTATTTTTAATACATATAGTTATAGAAATTAAAGTTTAATGAAAAATATCAATTTGCTTAAAAACTATTTATCTTCAATTTCAATACATTCTGTATTTGTTGGAACCATTATAAAAATATTTATTACATTTCTAGTAAATGCATAAGTTTTAAGAAAACAATTTGATAATTTTTTAGATGTAATTTTATTTGAAGAATCAGAGCCTTTAACTAATAATAGTGATGTAATTTTATGTTTAACATTTCTTCTTGATCGTTCAATCTTCTAATACTAAAATCTTAACAATTCGAATATGAGTTATACTATTTTATAAGCAAAGGAGATTAGATTAAAGACAAACAAATAACCTTGCCTATGATTAATTTCGCATTAGATAATTATTATTATATTTATAATATATTGAAAATAGATATAAGAATAGATGATTAAAGTCTTATTGTTTATTATAATTACATATTGGAAATAGTTTATTATATATAAACATTAAGTGAATTACTTGTTAATAAGTTTACGATTAGAATTTTTAATTATAACAGTTAATTTAAAAATCAATGAAGTCGAACAACGAGAACAATTATGTACGAGTATCATACAATAACTTTGTAACTACACGCAATCGGTAATTTGGAAATGAGATCACAAACATATAACGAGTACCAACTCGATCTACATCGCAATTCATCTGTTCCAAACCTATGTTAAAGATCGAAGAAGAAACACCTCCTCCTGTTCCTGAATTCGTAAATCCATACGTTGTTGATATATTCGAATATCTCCGTGTGAATCAACATAAATACATGTGTTAGACTCCATTTTACATGAACTTACAATTAGACATTACTAATTAGATGCGTTCAATTCTAATTGACTGGTTAGTCGACGTGCATCTTAAGTTTAAGTTACAATCAGAAACACTCTATATGACTATCAATTTAATCGATCGTTACCTTGCCAAAAACACAATCATGCGAAATAAACTCTAACTAGTCGGAATTGCTTCCCTCTTCATAGCATCCAAATTTGAAGAAATCTATGCTCCAGAACTTAAAGATTTTGTATGCGTTTGTGACAATGCTTACACTAAAGAAGAAATACTTGGTATTTATCACCCCTTATTATATCAGAAATGGAAAGTAAAATTTTACTAACAGTCTAATTTCAGTTGACATTTACTTCCCCAATCAAATTCCTTGAGAGACAGATTTCAGGAGCAAATTTGTGTGACAAAATTAATTACGCTTCCAGAATGATTCTAGAGTTATCCCTCCTTGATGTCAAATGTCTCAAGTATTTATTTCCAATCTATCCAGATTTTCATCATCCCTGCTTGCTACCACTGCCATCCTCTTGGCAATAAACTTACTTCGATCCCCACAAGTATTACCCTCTTCCCTTCATTATGTTGATAATCAAGAAGATCTAAGACAATGTTTACAAGAGTTCCTTCCAATCATCAAATTACTATAAAGTAGTACTATGACTGCAATTAAAAGAAAGTATTCTCTTGACAAGTTCAATAAGATTGCAGAATAACTTCTGGCCATCTTACATAATTAAAAATGAACTATATTCAATTAATATATACTACTAATTCGACATATTATATTTAATTTTATAATAAATTATATGAAAAAAATCATAACATATTTGCTATTTATATTTTTGATTTCTTATTATAATTTAATCAATCAATCTGCTCTTTTTTAATAATTATTTCAATTGTCATTAATTATCATTTTAATATTAATCAATTTTATAATTTATCTTAAAAAGTATTACTCAAAATGATGTGATCTATTTTTTTTGTTTCAATAAGTAAAACTTAGAAATAACTATGAGGCAGATATTTCATAATATTTCTACGGTTTAATTATAAATTAAATCATTTAATTGATATTTTTATATTTTTAAGTACATACGTTTAATTTGTCAAATAATAAATAACAATTATATATAAATAAGAATCAATATAATCTTGTTACTATTTTACATTTTTTACTTATTAAGACTTAATTCATTTTTGAGAATTAATAGTGTTCAAATATATATCAAAGGGTTTTTCTCAATTTATGTCTTATTGAGTGCTTTTTATTTAATTTCCATCTTCTATTTAAAAATTCAATTTCTTAGTTAAAATAAACTCAAATAATTAATTCTTTAATGGTAACATTGAATTCTTCTTAATTCAATCATTAAGCACTTTAAAAATAATGAAAAATATAAATAATTGTTTCATTTAAAATATAATCAAGAAATAATTTCTTTTATTAATAAATTAATCTAATTATGATATTCAAACATGAAATTAGATGACTTTAGGCTATTTTAGATAGTCTGAATTATTTTGAAAAGTCAATTACAGAAGATAACTTTTGAGAGAAATTCTAGTAGTTCAAATATTGATTATAGACTAATCGAAATTAATTTATAAAATAATTAATTTCTATCGCTAATGAAGAATGCTGACTATTTAATCAAAGATTCCTCAAACGTTGATGATTCAAATAAAATTTATATATATTATCAATAATTAATTATTCTAACCAACTTTTAGGATATTGAAAATCAAATTAAATTTAAATTCCTCTCTTTAAAATCCGTCCATCCTATATAACTTAATCATTTTAAAAGAATAATAAATCTATAACTTTAATAGAATATTAGCTGAATTTCATAATCATTAAAATATTTCATTTTTCTGAGTAATTTCTAATTTTCATTGTTGAAATTTTAAAGATAGGAAGATTATTTTTTAGTGTGATTTTAGAAAAGGTACCGCTTTCAGCAAAATTGTATCAGGAATTTTTTCTGAAAAGGGATACTAAGGAAGCTACTTCTTATTAAATTAGTAAAATTATTTATAAATATAGGAATTTGAAGAAACCTTTATGAAGGCCTTTTTTAATTTCTTGCATTATAATCAGATTCCCGATATTAAAAATGCTCATATTTTTATAATTACATATCTTCCAAATTTTTATATAATTAAGCTAGGGATCGAATTATTTAAAAAAGACAAAGCAATATAAAATCATATAATCAGTTTTCATAACTATTTAGGCTCGAATTTTTTCACTAAGTAGTCATTCCACATGTATAATTACTCAGTAAAGTCCTGAGATCGAAATTTTCTTCTTCTTGCTGTAGTTTCCCCATCAGAATTCTTTCTTCCTGATTAGATGAATGTATTATTTTAAGAGGATTAACTCGATAATTCGAAATCGTCTATAAAATTGATAGGACTATTGTCTCCATCTATAATTAAATGTTTCAAAGGACTCTGGGTCAAGTTTTGCATGTTTAATTTTTATTAATAAAATGTATAAGTACTCCAATCTCACTTTTGAATATCAAATTATTCATCAGAAATCCACATAATCTAATTGTTTTTATTCTTTATCAAATGAAAATGAAGTAGACACGAGATTAGATGATAATAATTTAGACAACGATTGTTAAGAATATTTAATTTTTTCTATATATAATGAAGATTGTCTATAAAATCAATGTTTCTAGGAATCTAGAATATACGATAAAAAAGTGAATTTAAATTTAAGGCGTTGTAGTTAATAAATCATGAACAATTATGATCAATAAAAAATAATCTGAAAATTATCTAACAATAATAATCAGAAATGCATAATATATAATTTTATATAATTAAATCAAAAATATAAGAGATAAAAGCATAATCCGAAATGTCTAAAATTTAATTAATAATACTATTCTTTATAATACGATATTAATATATTTCATATTACATATGAGAGTATTTTAGTTTAATACAAATTTATGAATTATCATAAGAACATATTGTTAGAATTTATTAATCATTAGTACACGGACAAAATAGAAAAATTAGAATCTCAATATATATATAATTTATAAATAACATTTGTTCTTAAGTAATTTGACAACATAGAAGCTTTAAATGTGGCAATTAGAAATCATTTTTAATGTGCTTGTATATTATTTGAAATACTTAAAAAATTAATATTTAATTAACAACTTTTGAAATGTCAGAAGACTCGAATTCAATCTTAACAACTATAAAGTATTACAAAAGCATTTTAAAATTTCCATCATTTCCAAAATAATATTCAGAATTAGATGAGACATAAGAATAGAATGAACTTTTTTTTTGTAATTCCAAATAGAGGAAGGAGGAAAGTTTAAAACTCTTAAAAGAATGGGCTTAAAATAGAATGGATTTATTTGAAAAGAATAGAGAAATTGTAGAAGAATTAGCAGTTTCATGTGACTATAGAATCCGCTTATCAGTTGATTTTCTTCAAATAGTTTACAAATTTTTCAATGAGAAATATTTCCATGAATAACAATATGCATAATTCCTCATCACTAAACCTTAGCCAGCCTTGAAACAAAATCCACTAAATCAATAACTGTATTCTACAGTAGGAACTTCGATATCCACATTTGAAGAAAACAATTTAAAAAGATTAGAAAAAATAGCAAACTTTGCTCATACAATTCAAACCGAAATACTAAAAGCATAATCATTTCATGATTTGAGTGATATGGATAAACAATTAGACTTGCTGTTGAGTTCAATAATCTCATAGAAAAAATTACTCCAAAATTACATTACATCAGCAGGTTAGAAGTTAAATTAAATTATCTAACAATTTCCATAGCATGGCCAACCTTAAAGATAGAGAAAACCAATTTTTGATGATTAGTAACAACAATCTTAATAATCTCAACAATAACCTTAATTACCATAATAAAGTAGAACAGATAAAATATTATAAAATATCTCAGCCTTAGGAACTTTACTAGTTGGAGCATCATCTTTCTAAGATCCTGTAGAAATGGAACTAAATTAACAGATGAAAGAATAAGAAAGATAAATTAGAGAACAACAATTAAAAGAAGAACAAAGTTTAAGCAATGGAAGTGAATTATAATAAGATGTGGAAAATCAAGAATAGAAGGAGATCTCAAATAAAGAAGAAGAATAAGTTGATAAATAATCATAGAGTGAAAAGCCATAAGAATTAGAGAGTTAATCAGAATTAAAAGAAAATTAGAATGAATAATAGTTTGAATAAAAACAATTGCCATAAAAGCTGTCAGGATCATTAAGCAGTGCAGAATACTATAAATAATAATAATAATTAAAAGAAAGATAATAATTTGAATCAAATAACATTAAATCTAAAAACTATCAACCTTAAGGATAATCCTTTTAATAAAACAAATACGAAGATAATGGAAAAAAAATAAATAATCAACCTGTTGATGTTTATAGACTAATTATTAGTTTTGTAGCCACCCAATAATATGCTAACAAATCGTTGAATTAGTTAGCTGAAAAAGTATTATAATATTGGAAATAAGTACTCTTAATTCAAATATCATTAGGTTATTACAATAGAATAGAAACGAGCACAATGGGCTAAAGATTCTTGTTTGATCTATAAAAAGGGAATTGCAGAAGTGCACAATTTATAAGTAGATCTACCTGAATTGGTAATTGATGTTGAATAACATTACAATCTCAAAAAAATATTACCTAAAGAGATTGCCTAATTTGAAGATGGCCATTAAGAAGAATTTATATAAACATTAGTTATAAAGGAAATTGGATGTTAAGCAGCAAGACTGTTATTAGTCAAGGAATTCAGAGTGCATGTTGTTGATAAAAATAATGAATAATCAGCCATTCTAGTATTAACTATAGATAAATATGTTGGCTGTTGGTTAAAGCATGATGACACAATAGAAGGTATTATTTAGTTATATTGTATAAGCTGTTGATAATCCAGTTCTTCATTATCCAATTAAGGATATGGCTATTCAGAAAGTTAATGAACTAATATTAGATATAATGCCCTCAAGACATTTATTGTTTTTGAATGTAATCTTATTCGTCTACTTTAGATCGCAAATGACAGATAGAAAAGCAGAATTAAATTCCAAATGCCCGATGATATGGAAGAATTTTGTACAATTTCATAAGCAAAAGCTTGATAATATTGAGTGTAATATAATGAAATTAAATTGTTTTATATTATTCTTCAAATTACTCATAATTGAATATTTTACTATTCAAAGAACTTCTAATATTGATTTTAATCTGGAAATTAATTTCTTATAATCAATGATTATTGTGAAATCAAAGTAATTTACAAGTTATTCTTGATTAAATTTTGGAGAGAACAAAAATGCAAATCCTAATAAATCAAAAATTTTATTAGGATTTATTATTAAAATTCGATTTTGTGATTATAAATAATGTATTAACCATAAAATTGATTTAAATATTAAATAATTTTTTATTAAATTTAAAAAAGAAAATTGTTAGAATGAATGCAATGATTATAATTAGTTAATGATAAATAATATAATCTTAGCTTGCCAGGTCTGAGCATTAAGTATTTTTGTAATTGCAAAAAAGTATAGATTAATAATCATATTGGCAATTGTTGTTCAGGTTTCTCCCTCTGCTGTTTGATCGTTTTCTCCTTCGACTTTGATTCTTCTTCCGTTTTCCCAAATCCCTGCTTTCCTTTCTCCAGTTTCTGTGATAATAACCCCTTTGCCATTTTACTTCCCTAGAGCCCATTCTCCTTCATATCTTTTTCCATTATTCCAAGAGAACACACCTTATCCATGTTTCTTGTCATCCAAGTACTATCCTTTATAGCTCTTTCCATCTGGCCAAATGGTTTCTCCATATCCATTCATTTTATTGTTTAACCAACTTCCAACATAAGTCTTTCCATCATTCCAAACGTACCTACCATTTCCACTAATTTCATTATCCAAAAATTCTCCTTCATAGAGACTGTTATCTGCAAATTGCAACTTGCCTCTTCCATTCTTTTTGCCAAAAGTGTACATTCCCTAAAATGAATTAATTTGAATACTTCATATTTAGAACCATCTGGCCAAACTTCAGTTCCAAAGCCATGTTATTAGTCATTAAGCCAATCACCTTCATAACGGGCACCTCCTGCATGTGTATACGTTCCTTTTCCATTAGCCATATCATTGGCCCATTAGCCATCATAGACATCTCCATCACAATGGACTGAATAAATGGAATGGTTACCTAATTTACCGTAGCCTTCTGCTTTATCATTCTTCCATTATCCTTCGTAATGTCCTCCATCAGCCCAGTACTATAAATTTGTGAGTTAAGAAATAAATACATGAATTCCTTAACCATGTCGCATACAATTGAACCAATCCCCTTCATAATAGCCTCCATTGGTCATATTAATTCTTGGTAATTTTTTCTGAATGCCTTTGGTGCTTTGTACTAATTATTGGGCTTCATCATTAAGCGGTTTATTGTCCTCTGCATAATTTAATGAATTGAACCATGACAAATTGATTTTTCTTCTGGTTGTTTTTCTTTGTCTGCTATATGGTGATCACTCGATCCCCTTTGAGTATGGAGTTCTTATTCAGGTTGTTTCTTTGGAATACAGTTGCAGCTCCCCATTATTTTAAATTAAAATTAATATTTTGCCTTGAATTTAAGGAGAACAAGAAGGAGATTAAGTAATTTGAGACATAAATATTGATTGAATGTTGTAAGTATCAAAATGGATGAAATAAAAGTTATTTATTATAATAATTAAATATGGACAAGCAATTAATGTTCTCAGAATGTATTCGTATCCTCCAAATAACACCATTACGTAGAAGTCCTGAGGAGTTGAATCTGTTACTGAATTTTGCAAGGACTATCACATTTTTCAGAGAATTAGGGGAACAGTCGGTAGAGATGCTGCAACGATGCATATTGGTTCTCTCCTATCGGACAATAAAAGGCGGAGAGGTATGATTGTGGGTTCTCCACTCCCTCTAGGTACTCTTCAAAGTGGGCGACGCTGGGAGTTTGTTTTACGTGATCCTGCGAGGTTCGGTAAGTGTAAACATCAGATTGCCAAACCCTGAAGATCCTCAACTATTTGAACTGAAGGAAGTGAACACTCTACGAGCAGGGATCGGTTTTGGAGAGTTGGCATTGATAAATGACTCTAAAAGGACAGCTACCATTATTGCTAAGGAAGATTGTGTATTTGCAGTAATGGAGAAACACCATTACAAATAAATATTAGGTGCTTAGGAAATGGCTAAGATATAGAATAAGATCTCCTTCTTATGCTCGTTCCCATTCTTTAGTTCTTGGTCCTTCAGAGAGATCAAAACTATAAGCTACCATTTTGAACCTGTCTCTGTAACTCTGAATCAAGCAATAATCAAGTAGAATGAATATTGCAATCATTTTTATGTTGTTAGGGAAGGAGAGTTTTAAGTACAATTCATCCATAAAAATAAGTTATTTTGTATGTATTAATTCACTAGTGTTATTTTTATAGTTGCACTCTTGGTCCAGGTGAATCTTTTGGAGAAGAAGCCTTCCTCAATAAAGATGGGCAATTCCTCATCAAGTCCTCCATTTTCATCCAATGGGCCAAGACCAAGTACAATATTGTGTGTAAGAGTGAAACTGGAATCGCTTACAAAATCACCAGAGAAGACATCCAGAAGTAAACCTTTATATTTAGATAGAGACGATTCTGGGATAGCAAGACCTAGGTTGTGTTTTTACATTTGCTTTCATCGATCCATCACTTCAGAACCATAAAGGCCAATCATTTGATTAAGGAATATGAAGAGAAGAGACAAAAGGAAGAGGAAGAAATGAATTTCATTCATCCTGGAATGAAGAGAAGCTTTGTTCAGAAATACAACTTATTATCTTAAAGAAATACGAGCAGTGAGATAGAGAAGGATGAATAATATGATTAATTCAAATTATAAGAGAAACAAGCCATTGTATAATTTACCAAATTGATGAAGGATAGAAATTGCTCTTATGCTCAAGTGAGAACCTTTTTTGATCAACGCAAATTCAAATCCTAAAACTACTTTAATAAACGCTTTTACCATAGATAATTCTTTAGATTTTCTAATAAAATTGATGATAAAATTAAACATGATCCTGATCATAATAAATTAACACATGATCATGAAATCGATGGATTACTCACCTATTGTACAAATCAATAGAATTTGGGATGCAATAACAATTCGCATCACTACCCTCTCACCCAAGTCTTGAGCAGTCCCACTACTGTAGATAAATTCATCAAGAGAATCAAGAGCAAGGTACAAATACAAGTGAAAAACGAGGAAAACAATACCTTTTTTAACATTCGTACTCACAGTCCTACCTCGCATAGAAGTATCAATAGCAGAAGACTGAAAACTTATGTTGATTGAGTCATATAATTAAGGTTTAGTATATAGGTTGTTTACTTGATTCAAATTAATTATCATTTATAAAACAACTTCTAATTAGATTAGTTTTATTAATGATAAAATAATAAAATATATAGCAATTATTCCCTAACTTATAAGAATAATCTTACTAGACACTCCAATAAGTCTATGAAAACATTGCTCTCTAAGAATTCCATGTCTTGGTCTAACAAATTAAAACCAAGTTTCCAATCCCAAATTAAATCAATTCTGTCCAATTTCCTACTCAGGAGAATGTAATTGAATTCTTCTAGAATTACAACCCAATCATTTTAGACCTAACTCACATTTAAGATGTTAAGATTAAGCTCTACAAAAATGCTGCATTCTACGGAACCTTAGTTGATGGCTTGAGACAAGGACAAGGCATTTTAATTAAATCAACATTATAACTTTATGAAGGCTCCTTTCTCAGAGACAAGAAAGATGGTATCGGATTTGAATTACTGAAACAAAACCAATTTTACTATGGCACCTATCTCAATGGGTTACCACAAGGAGAAGGAGTTTTCTGGTCAAAAAACTAAAAATATATTGGTTAATGGCATTAAGGAAAAAAAGTATTAACAATCTCTATATTCAAAGCATGGAATTGGGTGGTATCAAGGAACTCATTCTGATTATTATCTAGGATAATGGGAAAACGGAAGATGTTTCGGACTTTGCATCTATATTAATGGAGACATGTATAACTGACTCATAATTTTAGATATGTTGGTCATGTTACCAATGATCTAAAGCATGGTAATGGTTAGGAATATTTTGAAAATGGTGATTACTTTATAGGAGAATATAGAAATGGCAAACCTAATGGCTAAGGTGAATTCTATTGGAACAATGGGAATTTCTTTAAAGGAGAATTCATTAATGGCCTAAGGAATGGCTACGGGATTTGGGAAAGTAAAACACAAGAAGGAGTAAATACTTACAAAGGTCAATATGCCAACGATAAAAAATGTGGATAAGGAGTATTTGAGTATGCAAATGGCACAAAATATGAAGGCTCCTTTGTTGATGATAAAAGATGTGGATATGGATAAATTACTTGGTAGGACAGGGCGACTTATAAGGGTTACTGGGTTGATGGATTAATGGAAGGAGAAGGAATGTATGAATATGATACGCTTGTATTAAAAGGCAATTGGAAAAGCAACTAGTTGCAAACTATTGACAAAGTCAGAGTCTCATTAAATCAATTTCCATAATAACATAACTTAAAAGAAATTAATGAAAATGAAGAAGTTAGATCAGAATTAGCTGAAGAACCAGATTAAGATGAAATTGGAGAATAATTTTAAACTGAAATCCTAGCTTCAAAAACTGAAACTAATAATGCTCCTGTTTTAAATAATTCTCATCACACTAGTCATAATGAAATGTAATTTCATTAAAAATTACCCATTTTACAAAGACAATTTGATTTGCTCAGTCTTCTTGATTAAGGACTTCAAGTCTAAACTTTGGATGTATCACATAGATAAAACAGCTCCAGTGTTGCCATTTAAACTGAAAGTAAGAAAAAGTTTCTTCCAAAATTGACTCTCAATAAGAAAACCCCTACAAATAGTGTGGATCATCCCCATAATGGAAATATGAAATTTAAATTCGATTCGTTTTCTAACTCACCCAACACTAGAGGTACTGATCAATCAAATAAATCAAACAGAGGTCAAAATTAAAAGAAAGCAAATAAATCTGTTCAATGTAGAACAAGGAAAAATAAAAAAGTCCTTCTTTCTCAGATAGAATAGAACATTTGGGCAATCAAGATGAATAAATTAAAATTGAGTCCTGCCAAGTATACTAAATTTTGGAATCATGGAGTAAGAAATAAATTTCAATATAGGTTGTCAGTGAAATAAAATAGTTTCTATATCCTCCGATTTGGAAACCTCCATCCCATTTAACATGAATTATTATTCTAATGCTTGACACTTTATTTATTATTTTATTCTTATATATTATTTCTATTAGAATAATTCTATTAAGTATATAAATAAACAAATCTCATCTAACTTTCAAAAGGAATAATAACTATAATGTAGAGACAATTGAAATCTGTACCACCTATTTAAAAATTAACTTTCTTAAGATAGGTACACAATTAACAAAGCTGTGAAAAAAGAAATTAATAATCAATGCATCACCGTTAAACATATTTAGGTATTCCAATTACATATCAAACGAATTAATAAAATTATTATAATAACACATCAAATTAAGTACATTAATTTACGAGCCCTCCAAAATTTCAAGTACATTAATTTACGAGCCCTCCAAAATTTCAAGTACTTGTTAGTTAAATTAATAGATTAAATAAAACGAATATAAGAGAACTACGGATTAAATTTTTACAAAGGTTAACGGAGATTCCTGTTTAAATTAACCACTTAGAACAAAACAAGTTTAAATTGGCAATACTAAATAAAATGGGTTAGCTAAAGGAAATCTAAATTATGATTTATAAATGCAACAGTCCTTATTAAAAAATAAAGAAAAAACTTTTTTAAAACAAGCAGGCATTAATTAAAATAATGAATTTGAATCAAAAAAGATTTCACCAACATTAATAAAAAATGAAGAAATAAACAACGAGAATAATATTTAACAAATTTCTAGAGGAAATATGAGACGACTTAAGGACACAAATAAATGTGAGCGAGTGCAAGTAGGTACAAAAAATAATCAGTCAAATAATTGGACAAACAAGAAATAATTATTTGTATAAAAAATACCTTATACAGCTTTATAATAGAGTTAGGAACATGTGAATTCAAAAACTATTTAAAATATTGAATAATAAATGCCAAATAAAGAAGAATAATAAATTAACGAAGATTTGAATGCAAAATCTAAATAATAATCTGGATAAAAAATACCTAATACAGCTTTATAATAGAGTTAGGAACATGTGAATTCAAAAACTATTTAAAATATTGAATAATAAATGCCAAATAAAGAAGAATAATAAATTAACGAAGATTTGAATGCAAAATCTAAATAATAATCTGGATAAAAAATACCTATTACAGCACTATAATAAGGAGATGTGGATTCAAAAACTAAATAAAATATTGAATAATAAATGCCAAATAAAGAAGAATAATAAATTAACGAAGATTTGAATGCAAAATCTAAATAATAATCTGGATAAAAAATACCTATTACAGCACTATAATAAGGAGATGTGGATTCAAAAACTAAATAAAATATTGAATAATAAATGCCAAATAAAGAAGAATAATAAAATTATGATGATGTGAAAACAGAAAATACATCATTAAATAGAACATATGATATTTCTACTCCTAATGCTTTATGCCTAAAATAATAACCCATAGCTTTATTTTTAGGATCTCCTGGAGTCGGTAAAACATTTTTGATGAAAAAACTATTTAATCAGTCTGGAACTATAAATGAATTTGAATTGAATAATTTATAAATAGATGATAGGCTAAGTTATAACTTTGTAGACACTTAAGGCTTTGATTTTGAATCCGATATTGATGAAAGGGAGGCACAAATCAAGCTTTATCAACAACTATTTTTGCAGTATCAAAATTTAGTACGCTCTATTTTTCTAGTTGTCAATTTTGAAAGAACTGATCTAATGAAAAAAAAACTCCTCTCAGTTTATAAATATTTTAGAAAGTTCTAATCAATAATTAGTATAATTGTAACTGAATTCTAAGAAAGTGAAGATAAAGATTTTAATGAAGCTGACTTAAGGGCAAAATTTTAGCATTTTAAACCTTGTGATTTAATTTTTGTAGAAAGGACCATTAGCAAAACAGAATTGATAAATAAATTAAAATAGAAATCTTTAAATTAAATTGAATCAGGTTATACATTTGATTTAAGCGGGACTATCTTTGAATAAGAAGATGAAGAAGAAACTAAAATACTGATTAATTAAATTAAACAAAAAGTCAAATGATTTATTATTATTTTTTATCATAAGGTAATCTTATTTAATGAGTTACTGAATCTAAAATATACAATTTTTCTTTAAAAATTTCTTTAGATTTTCTTAAGATGCCCATCATTAATTTTTTCTCGTATTTTTATTGGATTTTCAAGTTATTCATGTATTCGAAAAATTCCAGTTTTCACAAAAGTGAACAAATTGAATAAACTAAATAATGAAATTTATAAATCAAATAAAGTTTTCTAGACTTTCAGGAATATCATTTAATCTAATTCCTTATTCTTTTAACAGTCCACTCATTTCTATTTCTACTTTGTTGAGAAGATTGTGGATTTCTTAATCTCCTTAGATATTCTTGAGACTAGTAATTTGGTCTTCTTCTTCTACTCCAAATTTAGCATAAATTATATCTTATACTATAATGTTTATGACTGTGGGAACCAGCATCACATTTTCTGATGGCTAATCGAAATATTATATTGTAAAATACAATTCGATGCAAAATGACATGAAATTCTTATGGAAAGCTTTTAAGAATGTGTACATTAAATTGAATAATGTCCTTCATTTATTTTAAATTCAATTTCTTGGTTGATTCAATTTTCTCTTTGATCTTTTGCTTGACACTGGCTTGTAACATATATAATTATTGAAAATATCCCTGATCCATTCTTACCAGTACACTCTCTTCAAATATTTCTTTGGGCACATCTAACTAATATAGAAGTCTTTTTAACGCTTAATCTAAGACATCTTCAACATCAATGATGAATTAGACAATGCTATCAACATATATCTATTAATTTGACTTTCGTAACCTTCTTCTCTGGACACGATTCTGTTTGCTTAATTTAACAAAATCATCTCCTGCCATCTCTAACTATTTGGCATATATATCAACTATGCAACTAGCTTCTAGACAATGATCTTCACTGTATTTAATTTCGATATCATAGCTCATATCAATTTTTTAATCTATAGATCGATCATTTGTTTCCAAGTATTAATCTAAATCATGCTTCGATAATAGTTTCTCTAGACTTAGTTTCTATTTAGTGTCTTTTTGCATATAATATGCTCTTCGATATATTCAATAAACACTTACCCAAAACCAACTATTCCTAATGAAGCTAAAACAACCGCTTTATTTTTAGATATTGCCAAACCCATAATTAATTCAATAATTATTATAAATAAACATGTTTTGTGAATTTTATTGAAGTATTTTACTTAATAAATTCCTTCAATTATGTAGAAAAGTTCAGTCTTATTGCCAAAAATGCATAGAAATCAAAACTGCAAATTTAGTAGTATATTGTAATTATCATTATATATCTATTTATATACTTTCATTTACCAGATTTAAAGGACATTCTCGCAAATAGGTTTGCTTATTTATACCCAAAAATAAAACTAATTTGCCAGAATTTTTCAGTCCAGAACATCAAATCATTAAGATCTAATTTTTTTTTGATGATATATTGTATTTTCAGAGGCTGAATCATATCCTTGTTCATAACAATATCCTTAATCATTTTCTGAACGACTATCTTCAATACATTTCGAATAGTAATAGACAAATTTGATTATTCATCTATTTATAAAATACAAATTCTATTTGTAAACCAATTAATGTGATAATATATCATAAGCAATTATAAAATTTAAATAAATAGTTACAATAGTATAGAAGCATTTTAAAATAATACAACTCTTAAAAATTTTAAATAAATTCAATTTAAATCTATTAGTATTTTATGATTCTTAATTTTGAACTTGAATATATACGAAGATGAGAATTATTAATGATAATTCAAAATTATGAAAAATATAAAATTTATTATTTTTCAATGCTCTGTTCTTGCTCGAACATAGTAATCACCTTAAAAACGAACCTTCAATTTCTCTTTGTTTGCTAAGAGGTTTAAATGAATAAATACAATTTTTACGAAAGCTACTCACTAATTTTTTTTATTATTCTTATTCCAATGATTCTAAGTATATGTGAATAAATACTATTTAATTAATCTTGTTTTTGAAGCTCATTCTGAACGTATTTCATCTTTGCATCAAATTCCTCATTGACTTACTGCTTCTTGAGTTGGTACTCTCGTAATAGGTCGGCACTCAATACCCTGAAAAAGCTAATCTAATTTTTTCTTTTTTTCATTCTCCAACTAATGTAATTGATCTTGAAGTTGTAACTTATCTCTTTCAATTTATTTCGATTTGTAGATATTCCAATCCTAATGCAATTGTGTGTCTTATCTCTTTGAGATTTTATTTGAAAATAGTGCAGACTTGTAGTTTTCTTCTTAGTTCATCGTGGGGGTTGTTTCGAAGCTGCGATTTCCATAAATTTTGCTAATAATGTTTTATTTTTATTTTGTAAGGTCTAATTGCAATTATTGAATCTGGTTTCTGAGTGACTCAATGTTATTAAGAGGCTTTTTATAAGTATTCATAAATTTAATGATTAATTCTTAAGTTCAATTGAAGCGGGAGCAATTTGTAATTCAAATTCGAAAGCAAGCTAGAGAAGAGATCTTCTCAAAAAAGAGACTAACAGTCTTGAATGGCAATCTAGATGCAGACTTGAAGTGCTCCCCTGATGAAATGATATTCTAAATTTATAAAAGTTTTATGCTCAAGGACTTTAAGACTCTCAAGGATTTACTATATAAGTACAACGAGCAATTCCTTATAATTCTTTTAAGGAAGTAATAGGCTGATAATATCTTCATGAATCAATATATTAATCATTTTGGTGTAAATTAAGAAACCATCCAATTATTCATGCAAATTTTGCAAATGTCTGATATTCCACAATTAGGCAGCATAGATGAAATTACAATACTTTGTATAAACCAAGTGCTTGTGATATTGGTTAACATAACATATCTGACTGCTCCTTAAATCATTAACAATTTATTGAGCCAGGAAATATAGGACATCCTTTTAAACGATATATTGGGTCGAATGAATACAAAAAAAAATTTAGATGAGAATTTGGAGGTTTGGTAATCAATAATCGACAGTGTAATATTATTACTTACTTGCAGCTCTGTTAACTGTTTATTAATTTGTTACTTGATTTGAAAGATTAAAGAGGAGTCTAAATGAAAATTGAAATATTGAAATCACCTTTCTTTAAAATATGGCAATATATTTATAAGGAGTACCCACCATAATAACTTTGGATTTCAATCTTGTATTTATAATAACTGCTTTTCATGGAACCAGCAATCCAAGGCGTAGAAATAATTTAATCTAATGTATGTCTTATTATATCAACATAGATGCAACGAATTCTTAAGTAGTGTGGTTATGTAATTAAAGAGTTCTCAGACTAAGATTAATTATACGAGTTAGCATTAATATTAATTAATTACTGTACTTAATATTAGCTAGAGACTACAATAGTTTTAACAAAACAATTATGGGTCAAAATGATACAAATAAACAAATTTCCCCTATTGATGTATAGTTTATTCATCAATTTCACTTCTGTGAATTATGATCAAGATTCTCCAGCTTCAGAGTTGACTACTGAGAAGCATTTAATCGAAATTGGTTTATTGAATAATATGATGGTTTGGTTATCAAACTTATCAGATGAAAATTTAATTATCAAGATATATAAATGTTTGAATAACGTTCTGACTTTCTAATATCCATAATTAGCTAATGTAGTGATTTATCACTTTTTGCCATTCCTCAACCTATTTTTAGAAGGTTAAATGATTTAGAAAGCAGAATTAGCTGATGAATTTTTGATTTTAGTGAAAAACCTAATTAAATTTTAGAAATTAACCGAAATAAATCTCAATTAAATATTCATAGAATAAAATGTTATGTAGTAAATTAGAGTTATGTATTTAATTAATATTAATCTCTAGATTATTGTAGAGCTGTTTCAAGGCTTGCAATCTTTTGAATTTATTTAATTCACTTGATCTCTTATCAATAGAGTTTAAATATTCAGTATTAAAAAGAATTGTTGAGCATCAAATTGTTGATATTCTCAACATGTTATATACAAAAAATATAATTACAGATGATTGCATAGACACTCTCATGGAATAAATAGCGAAATGGGAATCGGAAACTAATAAATTGAATTATTCATGAATTAATAATTAATTTAATGCTTAACTAACCACTCAAACCAAGCAATAAGGTTGTGTCTCTTCATGCTATAATGAGTAACATCAAGAAATAGAACAAACAAAAGCCAAGATCTATGAGTTATCATTCGAATCAAATAAAATCAGAAGGACAATCGATTCTGTTAAGAGATGATGATTAGAAAAAACTCAATGACCAGATCAGATAAAAAGATGAACTCATTAATTAATTGTAATCATAGTAACAGTCCTTTCGTAAATAACTCAATGAGATATTTGAAGTCAATCATGGTAATGATGAATCACTCATTTTACACATTTATTCATCTGTCATATAATTCAAAAAGGATAGAACACAACATTTACAACAACAAGAAATTAATAACAAAGTCATCCTCCATTATAAGGGACTACTATAATGTAAATTTAATTCATTTATTTAGAAAGCACTGATCTTATTGCAAATTAAGAGGAATAGTTATAGAATCATTAACAATTATTAATTACATTAACTAATTAGATTAAAGAAAATTCAATTTTATAACATTTGAATACCTCAAATTAAGAAGTAACTCATCATCTTTAAAATTAAGAAATAATAGATATCCAAATTTGAATCAATGTAAAGCTAAAATGATAAATTTCGAAATGCAAGTCTTATAACTACTTTTCGAAAAGAAGATTCCTATCAATATAGCAAATTATAAAATGCATGCAAATTATTATCATCTAATCCAGAAGAAATTGAAGATGAAATTCTTCAATTCGTTCGAGATACATTGCAATTCTATTAAGCAATCGGAAACCAATAAAGTACTCCATGATATAACATAGTCTACTCCTTTATTAAAAGTTAGTTTGAGAATGAAAGAGTACAATTAACGTTTAATCTAAATTAAATTAATAATGAAGTTATCAAAGTGCTGATTAACAAATTCGATTTAGATGATGATATTGAATAGGAAATGGAACAGTTAATACTTTTGAAATAAATTAAATCTCATAATAATTAGATATTACAATAAATTGATTAGTTGGGGGAATATATTATAGTTAAATTACAAAATTATAAACGAAATGAAATATCGAGAATCATGTTGATACATAACTTAGTTAATTTAAAGAAATAGATAATAAAGAAACATTGATCTAATGTATTTACTATTATTATATATATATATGAGTATAAAGAATCATTACATTTTAATCGAAGACTATTTCGTAAATCTCCTCTTTGCCATTTATGGATCTGCTACATTAATGTTATTATTGTTTATGATACTGGCTATCATTTAATAAAATCTTTAAACTCTGTTCTTTACAAATATTTGCAGAGGTCTTAATTTCCTCTATTTGGCAATATTTTACAGTTTCTTCTACTAATCATACTCTATTAATGGCGAGAACAATTAAGATAATTAGTTATTCAGAGATTTCAGTGATTCAATCTCACTTTAATCCCAATCCTTACAGAATGTATTCTACTGTCTCATATGCAAGTCAATAACAGTATTATAAATATGAATCAGCTTAGTTACTGTAGAGAAGAGAGAATATTAATTGTATTAATCTTAAAAATAGTTTTTGATGAGTTTATGCAACACTTCTAATTCAAGAATAACTGAGTGTAATCCAAATTATAGACAGCATTTTTATACTAGATGATGTGGCAATTGCTTATAATGTTAATAGAAATCCAGAAAGGGTAAATTGCTTTCTTTGTATGAGATTTCATTTAACTCAACCACTGGGGTCTTATTTAATGTTTTGAGTAACATCTATTTGACAAAAAAGCAGGATTCAGAAGCAGCCGTGAAAAATGATTCAGCTGTCACTACTCCATCTCCACACATATATGATTCTCTAAAGAGTGAACAAATTTCTGAATCTGAAACCTCTGGAAAATTGCTTTAGAATATTTTTTTGAAATTCTTAAAAGTAACTCCACTCTTACCTGAACTTTATACTGATACACAAGCACTAAATACTTCTTTAAGCATAGCCAATCGATTCTTCCTCTCTGTCCTATATAACTCAAGCAGAATTCTCAATACGTAATGCCCATCCACAATTGTCCCTTTTGCTTTTGTTACACTGCTCTCAATTATTATTTAATTGATTTAATTGTACATAGATTGATCATATTTCCATAAGATCTATTCTAAAATTTATTGAATCCAACTCAATTAAACAAAAAGGACTGCTTCAAAACTATACCTCTGTTAATGAGATAAACTTCCTTTAAAAATCAAGAATCTGGAATATAAATAATAGTAAAGTTCATCTGGAGAACTCAGTTCAAAAAGTAATTCACTATTATAAATAATATAAGTTACTTAAAGATAATGACTTCATGTAATTTAGATAATTTAGGACTTAAACAATCCAAGATAAAATCAGTTCTTATTGGTTCTAGATGCTCAAAACTTCTATCTTTAATTATTTCTATTTATCGTGTCTTGGGATTGATTATAAAAGTGCTTATCCATCCATAAACAAAATCTGCAAACTTAACAAGCGTATATTGATTATCCCGATACAGAAATTCATTATATTATGAATCTAAAATTGCTCTGATGGTAGCAAAGAATAGTATGCTAATTTAATGAAATTCGATGTTCCTATAATCTGATTCCAAATTCTTCATATTTGATTCATAAAACAATAGAAAACTAGGACGAGGATATTAGAACTTAGTCAGAGAATCATTGTAAATATAATCATAACGAACATTTTTTAGGAACATGATGGTTGTTTATTCTTGATCACTCAACTTAGTAATATTGAGTTGAGTGAGTTCTTTCATAATTTTAAAGTATTGTTTATCTTGAGAAAAGTTGTAAGCAAGTCTTAATAACTTCTATTCCTACTCTGGATCTACTTTTGGGACTTCAGGTCTCTTACTCTTTTCGATTTTCATCTTGTCTATCTCATCTTACAGCATTAGCAATTTCTTTCTAGATTTAGCCTCCTCCCTTAAGTAATGTCTATATCTGAAATAGTGAGCTGTGAGATCTTCTTCTTGCATTTTGCACAACTCATTCAGATGTCTATTTTCACTAACCATTTTGTCATATGTATTTTCAATATGACTGTATTTCTTTTTGTCACTTTCTAAATAGTTTTCTAGAATTTGAATTTAACTATCCTACTTCTAGATTACTGATTTCAATTAAATGATAAGTTGACTGTTCTTGGACACTTACTTTTCTTTGGTATCATTCAATATTATTAATCGATTAATTTAATCATCCTTTACCTAAGTAATCCTTTATATTTCTTCTCTTAATTTGACAACATCTTGACTTTCTTCCAGTTCTTTTAATCTAATAATAGAAATTAGGGTACTTATTTGACAACTATTTTATTTCTATTGCTAATTTATTATTCTGGACAAGTAATGCATTTACTCTCAATTTATCTAACTCTTTGACTTCTCTCAAGGTCTTAGACTCTCTATTATCGTCTCGGTAATCATTCTTTAGTAGTTGTAACAACAATCGTTATAAAGCTTAATAGCTCTTATTTATGTATTATAATTTAATTATACTTGAACTAATAAAGGAGCAGCTTCCATCTATTTTAGTGCACTTAAAGTAGCTGATGCAACCTATTTAAATTATTCTTTAAAATGAGATGGCATTTCAATTTATAATTATGAATTCAGAGAAATTATATCCAAACTTATGCGTTCTTGGGCTTACTTATCCATACTAATGGATTTCTAATGAAAATTAGACTTTGAAAAAATGAACTTGTTTAATTTATCTGTTGACTCTATTCTTAGTTATCTCATAAAGATTATATTAATATTTTAAAAGGCTTTAATAATTATATCAATTTTAAAGAATTTTCGAAGATTTAAATTCCTTTTAGAAAAATCTTAACAAAATGAATCATTCCATAAGTTGTAAAATATTTTTTGAGAATTATAAAGTGGTTTTATTTTTAATATATCCAATTATATTTATTGAGAACCAAATGTCTTAAAGCGATATAGAATTTTTAGAGAAGTATCATCTTCAATCCAAGGATTAAGCTCTTTCTACATTAGTAAAAGGATCACAAGAGTATATATATTATACTCTCCTCAAATCCTTGAATGAACAACAATCCAATCTGAATGAAGATTAAAAAACACTTTTAAAGAATCTAAAATCTAATTCCGATAATTTTAAGAATATTGAGTTTCGATCTCTCATGCTTGAGTTTGACAGTCTTTCTAAAGAAGAAGACACCAAAGAAAATTAAATAAAAAGATAAAAGCTTATGTAAATTATCAATGATAAATACTTGTATCTCCAATTCAACAACCCAGTAGATAAGCTACATGAATTTTAAAACGAATAAGACTCTTTGAAAGAAGCATAATTAGGGTCTCGTTAATACAGAACTAATTTGGACCCAAAAAATGTCACTTTAAATACATATTTACAAAAAGCTTATTAAATTGAAAACCTAAATAAATTTTCTGTTTATGCACTTCGATAATTATAGTTTGAAGAAATCTTGAAATGTAGTGACAATTGGATTTAAGAATATTTAAACATTCTTGCTAGTTCAAAAGCATTAGAAGGGTATTTAAATATATTTATATAGTTTGGATTTTGTTATTCCATTATTTTAAAGACTTATAAAAGGATAATTTCAATTAGGATCGATTTTTACAGCCATGAGTTTATAATAAATGGAAGAGCTTTAAAAAGTTTACGAGGATTTGAAAAATAATTTAGATTTTATAACAAACTACTATGCCAAAAGATTCGATTCCTAGAATGTCTATCATACTGATGCTTTGAAATATAAAGAACATTTGCAAGAAGTTTAAGATTGGTAAAAGACACTGCCTAAATAATTTTAATTTGAATCATTAGTCTTTATCAATTTATTAAGTCTAAGTATTATTTATGATTTAATTAGATGATAAATAAAGTAATTATGACATCCATCTCTTTATTTCATATCTTTAAACACCATTAAAGGAATATCCTGGTATCAATTAAAATATAAGGGATAGCATGGGGATAATCAAAATTTAATTTAATCCTATATCTCTACCAGTAGAACACGATCAAATTATTTATAGACATCTTGAATATATGATTAAAAACGACTTAGATTTAGAATAAATCTTAGATTATTTTGAAGAGAATTATTTGAATAAAGCAAAGGCTTTGCTGTATTTATAGTTGGGGAAAGATATACCAAATTTAAATTCAATTCTAACAGAAAATGAAGTCCTTAAATTACAGAATGAAAAATACATTGAATTTCATTAGTAAACTAAACTACAACGATTCTAACATGGAGAATCAGTTAAACTTTGCATTTTCTTAAAGAATATTCCTTCATTATCTATCAAATTATTCTAAATTGACACACTTAATTATTATTTACAAGACGAATCACAGAATTTTCTAAATCTTAATCTAAAAGGCTTGATTCCTAAAAATGAGATGGTTTTTGATTACTCAAAGGATTTTAAGCCTACATTAAAAATGGAGAAAGAAATCGAATTTCATGAAATAAGTTAATAAGAAAGAGGTATATTTATCATTGAGTTCTATGGAAATGGCATAGTCTCAAGAGCATTAATCTAAAAAGGAAATATTTAATTAAGGTAAAAAAAAACAGTTTCTTCAGGCCATTGCTTTGAAATTTTGAATGAAAATTTAGAAGTTTGCTGTTCCAATACAACAGGACTTTGGCTGGACAAATAATTTTACAAGATTGATTAAGAAAGAAAGGAAATTTTGATTCCATTTGGGAATACTACTTAAAATCAAAAAGTGATAATTACTCATGATGGGTTTGCAAATATACAAAGTATATAAATCGAATAAGAATCATACAAGTTAAAATGTAGAGGAGTAATCTCTGAAGAATCCATGATCTTAGGAAATTAAGCCAAAATTTTGTTATTCCCAAAGCTCTTTGGAAATTAAAATGTAATTAGTTTGAAATTGTTAAAAAATGCAATCATTTTAGTTACAATATATAATGAAGAAATGAATCCAACTGTTTTTACATTTGATAATGTAAAATTTGAAGATAGAAAGCCATTTGAAATGGATATACCTATCAGTAAATTTAAACAGATTAGAATTTAAGTTACTGCTTAAATTTAAAGTATGTTAAATAAATCAATAATTGATCTAAAAGATTATATTTCAATAGTGGTTGATGAGGAATATAACACCGAATATTTTAATAATCAGTATCTATAATAAACTGAAGACTAGGGTTATACAATTTATGTGTTAGGCAAGGCTGGAGAGCCTAAAATCAATGTAAAGCTAGAATTAACATTTCTAATTCAGCATTATCAAAAATTCACAGAAGTTTTTCAAACTGACGAAAAGGGAAGGATACATTTAGGTTAATTGAAAAATGTAACTTAAATTAACTCAAAGCCGCTTGAACCTTAAGCAATAAATCAAAACCCAAGGAATTGGATCATTTCTAACCTAGACACATAAAATATTCCAAATCAAATAAATGCATTATCAGGTTAAACTATCACATTACCTGTTTCTATTGAAAAGGAAAATTTACTATTATATAAAATACATAAGAATTAAATAATTGACTATTTCTCATAAACTTGTGTTTTAGAAAACAATAAGTTAAGCTTTACTTTAACTGAACCCGGAAATTATGAGTTATAATTAATGGTTGATAATAACCCTAAAGTAACTTAAATATAAATTTTTAAAGGAAAACCTAAAAATGATATTGATGGATTTATAAACGACGATAAATTAATACTAGACTAATAATTAAATCATCTAATTTCAATTTAAAATATAAAAAAAATACATGAAGAGTCAAGCGTGAAGATTACTGGATCAATATGTTCAAACCGCCCAGTAATTCTTTTTGCACTAGTTGAAACATTTTATAAATAACCCAATATTATTATACAACAAATGAAAAATATACTATAACCTGAGAAGAAAGAGGAATTCCAAATGTTTAAAAACTAAGTTGAAGTGAAATAAAACACTAAAATTTCAGAAGAAGAACAATATGTAGAAAATAGAAAAAAACAGGAAACATTTATTGGCAATACTTTAGAGAAACCTCAACTATTACTTAACAGATAATGTATCAGAGAGTGTATAAACGAAAGGGAATTGCTAAATGAAGAAAAATGTAGCCCATCAAATAATCAGTGTCTTCCTTGTTCAGATCTTAGGGCATAAAACAAAGACTATTCAGGAGAAGATTTAAATATGATCTCAATTTTCTGTAAATTGGATTTTTTGAAATTCCCTGGAAAATTAATTACGCTAGAATTGAATGGAAGCAATGATGACAAAGAAGGCAAAGAATTCTCTTTATAAATTCCTAATAGCTATTCTCAAATTACTCTTTTTGCTGTAAATGATTATAATTATGCCCACTAATAAGTCTTATTAGCTTAGTGTGGAATTAGCACAAGAAGCCTTGAACATCAAACAAATCTTAAAAAAGATAAATGTTATAATATCTCTAGGAATTCTTAAGCATTTAAAAAGGGAGAAAGTATCTACATTAATGATGTAACAGCCACTTAAATAAAGATTATCGATTCTCTAGAAAAAGTATATAGAGAATTAGTATCATTAAATAATAATGGAAAAAATTTGAGAGAAAAAGATCTACTAAATTGGGAATTTCTAATAAAATGGAATTTAAAAACATTAGAACAAAAACACTAACTCTATAATGAATACTAAAGTGATGAGTTAAATTTATTTTTATTTTTCAAAGACTCCCCCTACTTTGAGGTTTATGTTAAAAATTACATTAGGTGTAAAATTGAAAAAAATGTAGTTGATCATTTTTTATGTTAAAATGATGCAGAATTAGAAAGGTATCTCTCAATTTACACTTTTAACTCTTTAAACACAATCGAATAAATTTTATTACTGGTTTATTCTTAGGAAATAATACAAAATTATACTCTCTCTAAAAATATATATTCTTATTTGCAATAAAATCATGATATTCTCCCATTTGATTAAATTTAAGCTTAACGCCTTTTCGACACTGTTTTAACTTCTCAAGAGGCTAAGGAAATGAAAAACAATAATAATAATAACAATAATAACCCAACCAATCCATTTTAACCCCCAAATTTAGGAGGGATGCATTAAAATAGACCTCCTCCACCCCCCCCACCACCACATTTATATCCAACCTCATCAACAGGCTTTAGGTTTGGAGGATTAATGCCTCCTCCACCTCCTCCACCACCTCCACCAGGAGGATCAATGCCTCCTCCACCTCCTCCCTCAAATCCTTTCTCCACTTCAACTACTACCACAAAAAAATCATTGTTTGGAATTCTTAAATCAAAAAATATAGTAGAAGACAAAATCGGCTTATTGCAATAGTTGTGCTAGAGAAAAGTAGCATTAGGTAGAAAAGATAATGATTTCAGTGATGATTCAAGTGACGATGAGCACTATAACGAATAGAGATAACAATATATTTAAAATTATAAAAACGTTGAAAAAACAAAAGAGTATGGGGAACGACATTCCTATTATTATAAAGATTAAATTGTACCAGTAAGGTTAAATAAATTTTTTATAGAGTTGGCTAAGTACACAATGAATGAAGGAATTTTAAATAAATCTTCTTTTATTACTTCTGAAATTATTCATTACGATACATTTTCTGAATTCGTTTTTATTCTTTCTATTTTAGATCTGCCTTTCTAAAATGTAAAATAATAGTATTATTAATTCTAAGAAAAAGGCATGTAAATTGTATCGGAATCTAATTTAATTTATTATAGTTAAGAAATTAAAGAAATAGATATCTAGTTAAGAAATGATATTCTTATAACATAACTATTCTTTGACTAGCAAAATAGAAAAAAGGAATTTTTATCATCATAAGAATTTTTAACAAATCATATTTATGGATCATTAATAATCATTTCCAATTTCTCCAATGATGATATTAGTACTTAAATCTTCGTCGAAATACCAAATGGTGCAATTCCAATAATCTCACCCTTTTATTCAAAATAAATTAACATATCTTGCAATTCATTATCTACTGCTAGATATACATATTACTGGTATTTTCCAAAAAAAGGCACATTTTCTATTCATCCTGCCTGCTTGACTATTTTTGATAAAGTGGTAGCTATAGCAACACCTCAAGAATTTAATGTGGTTGATTTTAAAGCCAATCCTAATTTAGAGGTAATAGAAGACATATTAGGGACTGGAAATAAGACTAATATTTTAAAATTCTTGGAAAGCAAAAATATATTTGATGAAAAAGTGTTTAAATCATCTCAAATAGTCCATCTATATGAGGATAAAGACTTTTATTTGAAAGTTCTAAATATATATAAGGCAAAGAAATTTTAAGACTCCTAAATCCTTAATTATGCTGTTTACCATGCAGATTTTGAAGGCTTAAAGGAATTTTTCTAGCAAAAGCATATTATTGATAAATTTAATTCCATTAAATATTTCAAATGCTCTCTTTTTGAGATCAAAAACATTAAAATGCTTGAGTATTATCCATTAATTACAAAGCGTATTCATAAACTTAAATAAGATGAATAAGGAATTCTTAACGTTGATCTCAGGAAACAATATAAAGATTATCTATAGTATTTAATTGAAAAACCAGTTCACTCGATTTAAGATAAATTGGGATTCTCCTATTACCTCATATTGTAAGAAAGAATAACAGAAGCTGTAAAAGTGCTGAACTCTATATAAGTGCCTAAAAATGCTGACAATTCCGAATTGCAATATGATTATTTTAAAGCTTATTTTGACTTTTATGTTGGTTATCCTAATTTTCAAGAAGCTAGAAGAATTTGTGAAAAATATTTGAATTATCCTGTTATTTATTGGAGAAATTTGTTTTATGAAATCGCTAATTTATTAGCTGAATTTGATGGTGATGATGATCAAAAAGAAGTTGGATTAGATAAAGATTAACATTAATAGTTGAAGTAATTAGTCTTAAAGGAGGAAACGTTATCATGCCACATTTAAGGAACTAACATAATGCTTTCTTATTCAAATCTCAGCCAAGCTACAATCATGTTTTATAATTTGAATTAAGAAGTAGTATTTTCTATTGATCCGTTTTAATTAAATAAAAGCAAAGACTATTAAATTATAAAATCATATCATGAAATTAAATTGAAATTAGAAAATGAAAAAGAAGGAATGTAATTAATATTTTATATTTTAGAATATATAAGAAAGTTATAGAAATCCCATTGCACATCTAAAAGCATAATCTATTTATCTAGGTTAATGGTATTCATAAGAAATGTTTCTAAAGCTATTCTTCAAATAGATTAGTTGTCAATATTATGGAAAATTGTGGTTAATTAAAAGTGTGTGATTAAAATGGAAAGTATTTGTCAAAAGTTTACGTGAAAGTCTATGTAAAATAGAAAACTTAAGAATGTTATTTCTATAAGGATGGTTATACTGATTTAAGAGGTAGATTTGATTATGCTTCCTAAAATTCAGAAGAAATTTCCCAAGCATAATCTTTTGCCATTTTGATATCAGATGAGTTTTACGGATCTACTGTAAAGGAAGTGAAAACACCATCCATTTTAGGAAAATGTGAAGGAGATGTCAAGCTTGTTTCAACTATATGGTAGAAAAAAGTTGAACATTAAAAGATAAATAAATATTTAACGTGATGAGTGATTATATTTAATACCATTGACAAATAAAAATATTAACTCCTTTTATAATTTCTTTTAGTCGATAATTTAAAATAAAAAGAATTTCCAGAAATATTCCCTTTAATCAATATTAATTTGATTTATTTTTTTAATCTTTGAGATCTATCATTTCAAGAAATATCAGAAGCCATTTATAAAGTTGATATGATTAATTCTATTCTGCATTTACTCATAAATAATTATTCCTTTTTAATTTGTAAACTAAATGTTGAATTTCATAAATTCGGATAATTTTCTATTTTAATGTCTAGAATAATAATTAAGATCATTTCAAGTAAAATTGATGGCATAACCAATGTCAATAGGATCTGATTACTCATAATTGAAAATTACAATAAAGATAGTAATAGTATTTTTCACCCAATGAAATCTGTTCAAAAACTTTTTAACTATTTAATCCTAATAAAATTAGAGGGAATAACTGAATATATGTTATATCTTATATTTAAATAGAACATATCGTAAAAAATCTGGGTATATTCAGCATCTATAAACCAGAAATATCAAAGTAAAACCTTAAGAATAAATCATAATTTAATAATTTGTTATTCTCAACATTTACTTACTTAAAAGTTCTATAACGAAAAATAGAGCTTATTGAATTGATATCCAAGAATTTCACATAAAATTTCTTTGATTTAATAAAATTATGTATATGTCGAGTCAAAAATCAATATTGATGAACGAAGAGAGTGATTCATCATCTAAATTAGTCATTTAAAAGAGAAAACTTGGTTGGAGTGGCTTTTTACAAATAAGACTAAATAATTTATAAATAAACTAAGTAATCTAGATATTAAGAATGTAGGAGGTGGAGATTTAAATCAAATTTACAATTCAAACTTTATCCAAAGTATAAGTTTAAAAAACATCAAATCCTTCCTCTTTTTTATTATATTGGAGCTGCTAAATAAATTTGACCATCTAATATTTAGAGGATTTTAATCATGACAAACAAAAAGTAAAAAATTAAAGAGGTTTTAAAAATCAATAAAAATAAGAAGTTTATTGGTATTCTAAAAACAACTATAGTATTAAATAATTATTCAAGCATCCCTAATATCTGAAATTTTAATTGTTTTAAGATTATCATTCAATATTTATTTTATTTATAATGTGTTCTGCTATTCATCTTCACATAGGGGGAGCTGGAGTTATGATAGGGAATGAACTTTGGAAACTTTATTAAAAGGAATAAACTGAAACAAATGTCAAGAGTTACATTTACAATGAAAATGAGACTAATTATTTTCCATTAACTCTGTTTATGGATTTAGATGATCGAATGGTAAACGAAGTCAAAAAGAATAAATTAATAAATTATAAAACTAACTCTTTTGTTACAGGCAAGGAAGATGCAGCAAACAACTATTGTAGGGCACATTATACAATTGGAAAGGAAATAGTTGATAAATGTTTAGATAATATTAGAAAGCAAGTGGAAAGCGTAGACCGAATAGATTAATTTATTATTACCTCTGCTTTAAGTGGTGGAACAGGATCAGGTTTTACTTCTTTGCTTTTAGAAAGATTATCTGTTGAATATGGAGCCAAGGTAGATAAAAATGCATTCTTAATTTATCCATCTAAAGAAATATCTAATAATACAGTGGATGCTTTTAATGCTGTTCTAGCAACTCATGTGACAATAGAACATTGTGATTCAGTCGTTATGTTGGATAATGAATCTATGTATAAATCCATAGATGAACAGATTGGCTTGGACTATGTTGATTATACTCACTTAAATAATTTAGTATCCCAAATAATTAGTTCTTACACTGGTTTAAGAAGATTTTGTAATATTGACAATAGTAAATTATTTACTGGGCTTTGCCCTTATCCAAGAGTTCATTTTGTAATTCCTTCATATGGACCATTAGCCTCTATTAATGATTATAATAATAAGGAGTTAACTGAAAAATAACTTATATCATAAATAACAAAATAGTCTTTAAGGTTATTTCAATCAGAAATACATCCTGAACACATTTGTGCATCTTTAGTACATCGGTCTAAATATCATAATCAATTTTTTGGTTAATAAGATTTGACTCTTTAAAAGATGAAAATTAAAAATTAGGACAGTCCTAATGTGTTTGAATGTTTATCTGCAAATTACACAACTATTCCAGAACTTGCACAATTGAAGCAAACTGGTATATTTCTTTCAAATGATGCTTCCTTGTTCAATTACTTTGAACTGCTTGGTAAGAAGTATGATTATGTCTATGCTAAAAGAGCATTTGTTCATTGGTTTGTTGGAGAAGGTTGTGAATCAGGGGAGATGTCTGAATGTAGAGAAGATTTAGCAGCTCTTAGCAAAGACTATGAAGAGTTGACAGAGGGAGCATTGAAATTTTGTGAAATGTTAGAAGAGGACGATTAAGAATGAAGATTTAATTAATTTATTTAAATAATTTTCTTTGAACGACATAACATTTAAAATTAAATTTCCCAAAAGATAAAAATTAAAGGTTGATCTTTAGCCATGTATATTGATTAAATAATAGCTTTTAAAAAAGTATTCATTGAATTGAAAATTTATTCTATTAAAAAAAACAGATACTAATTATATGGAAATTAAGCAAAATCCAAAATAGTTTTTCTTTGGTAATATTAATTGTTCGAAAGTTATCAATATAATGAGTCCTAATTTTTAACCTTAATTTTTTAATTCTTCCATTCCATTCCATTTTTTTTAACTGATAAGTGTTTATTTATATCAGCTCTGTGACTATTAAAGATAATGCATTTCCTATCTCTAACGAGTAAAAAACAGAAATTTATTAATTTACATATAGTTATATAAGGAATCATTCATTAACTTCTTTATCTTTTGTGATCAAACTATATTGGAGATATAACATTAAAACAAAAGTAGAACTTTATTTCCTAAAATTTATATTTCATTAACTTGATTTTATTATTGGCTTCCTAGAGATTCTTCAATTATAATCCAAATAAACATAATGATAAACTTTGATGATCTAGATTCCTTACTTTAAATTTTTTAATATTTATATCAAATGAATCAGATCACTAATTTTCTAATTGAATTTGATACAATTGTAAATAATCTAAAATTCCCATAAAAAATTCGAAACGATTAAGAATTTCAATCGAAATCATTTTAATATGTGTTAATTCGCATTGCATTAATTATCAAAAATTTCGAATATGAATAATTGACTAAAGAATTAGATTTTAATTGCATAAAAATTCTTCCAAATACTAAATTAGTCACCAATATTGGCGATATTTTCTCAATATAAAATTATTATTGTAATAACAACTACAGAAAGTTGATAACCTTAATAAATTTCAAGTAAGAAATTTGATTTATATATTTCTGTAAAATAAATTTCACTGTTTCTTTAATCAATAATTTTAAATAATTCTTCTTATATTTTAGTGAGAAATTTCATAAATAACATAGTCGAATCAAATATAAAATAGAATAATAACTTGTATCTGCCTTCATATACAAATCAACATAGAATGAAATTTTTTAATTTATTGAGAGACCTTTAAATTTAATTATTCAGATATCCATAAAATTATTTTTAAAAATATCGACTTAGAATACCCACAAATTTAATAAATAAATCTAGTTCTAAGGATAAATGAATGTTATTTTGAATCAAATGAGTCCAAAATATTAAATTAATTTTAATATTTTAGTTTATTCATTTAGAGCCTTCAATAATATTAAAATAGATGACATAATGGAAAATTAATTATAATTAAATGATTCATTAGTTTTCTGTATTTTATGTAGTTATTTATATTGTTAGAATAGATTAAATAATATCAATATACTATATTTATTTTAAAAATAAAATTACATTTTCTAAGTTTGATCAGATATAATTATTTAAAAAAATAACAAGGAAAGAAATTATCATATCTGTGACTCTAAATATTTTCTATATTTTAGCAATCATCTATTGTATTATGTCTAAAATATTTCAAAATCATCCTCTATTTTTGTTTTCTATGCCTTATAAATTTTGGTTAGATTTTGAAAAAGTGTTTCTATTTTTAATAAAAGATTGCACCTATCAAGTAATTCTTTAATTAAATTACAATAGATTTTTATTGAAGAAAATTAATTTATATAGTGTTTGGATCTGGCCATAATAATATATGATAATTGATGCGTAATTTTAGCTTCTTAAAGGATCAACTTAGTGGATCTTTGAACAAACTTAAAATTCATAAGTTGAGGTATAAGAATATTTGTCAGCTTACTAATCATTTTCTTGTAGGGCTGGCAACTCAACCTGATAGGAATGTAAATTCATCATCATTAATAAATTATATAATAAATGACACATTATTTATTTTTAAATTGATCTTTTATAAATTGAATTATTCTTAAAATTAACTGAATAATTGTATTAGATTTTATAAAACAACTGTTACAATCAGTTTTGAAAATTTTTGGCAGCTCTATATACATATTTATTCAAAATTTTTTGTATATAAATAATTGCACAAACAGAAATATCAGACTATTCAAAGCAATATACTAAATTTTATTAATAGGATTGGTCTTTATTGACGATTTTTGATAGCTGTTGTAAACAAAAAGCAAAATAATCATTAAAAATTTATTCTACTGTTCTATAATATTTTATTTACTAAATAGCATGACATAGTCATTTATACTATTGTTAATTTGGATAATTTTTGTTTCTCTGATATTCAAATTAATTTCTAAGTTTACCAAAATAATAGGAAAGCCAAAGACTTCATATTAAACTAAATAATTTTACGAATGACTTCTCAATATTTCCTTATTTCATACACGTTTTTGACTTTTGATGAACAACAAATCTTATATTTTTCAAATATTTTTATATAAACATAAATTAAAAGAGTTCAGATTAGTAATTTATTATCCAATTAGCTGATGACGATTGAGAAAGCTTGTAATGGAGTAAAGGGATAGGCAATATCTATGTTTAGGATCTTTTCATCAAATCTTCCAAACTAAATTGCTACATCTTTATTTAATTTGCCATCATCATTTGATTACTTAAGCAAAAAATTATGAACAGACGCGCTATTTACTCTAGAATTAAATGGAAGTGTAAAGGATTAATATTTTTAATTCCAAATAGGCTCTTGAGTTCGAAATTCAAAATATTCTTGATTACGTTTATTTATAAATCTACTTTTGATTTTCAATCCTGTATTTTCATCTGTAGGAATGATTTATGTGGGTTGGCCATCTTTTAAAGAAGGAATATAAGCCTTAAAAAGGTTTCCTTCTAGGAATATATATAAAAAATTACTTCTCGTTTTTAATAATTAGTACTCATAATGAATGAATGCAAGTTCTTTTCTTAAATTGTTTTTTTCATTTGAATTCTTGTAAGATAACCCCTTTGAATACAATATGAATTAGGTGCCACTAAAATTAGACCTAAAAATATGATTAAAATATTACTCTAACGTTCCGACAACATCAAGTTCAGTTTCTGATTTGCTCAAATAAAATCGATGGCTACCTGTACATTTAGATTTTTTAACCGAAAGTAATAGTTTTTGGGTTTTTGAATGATAAAAATTGTATGCTAAATGGCAACCAAACCATCCTTTGACTATTTTCACGTCACACTCTAATATAGTCCCTTGAGGAATTGTAGTATTTAAAAATTAATCGGTATTGGTAGGTGTGAATTCTTCTCCTTAAAATGGTAGAGGTATATGACTTTGACTTATCATACTTGGTAATCTTTAGTCTGATGAATTTACAAACTCGTGTCCATCGTCCATGATAATTTATTTAGCCACATTGTCATTATTTTCAATTATTTCATCTGACATTTCGAATAGGTGTAAAAGTGTTTAATTATTTAATAAGATTAGATTGATTTTATGGGAATAATTTAAATAACTATATGACTTAACAATATTAAAAATATAGTGCATTTTATTATAAAATAACGTTATCATTACATAATATAAATTAGATGCAAAATTCGCCTTTATCTTCAAGGTTTGTTGTAAATCACAATAATTGCAATTTAAGTCAATATCACTTAAGTTTAGATTTAATAACAATTAAAGTTGTCTATTTAAAACTATCGGAATCAAAATGGATGAAAAAATATCTATCCTTAATAAATAGCTTCACATTTAGAAAAAGAATATGTAAACCACTAAATTATGATAGGAAGATTTGGTATAGGAGTTCGCTGCTAAAAGGAAGAAATAAAAAACTAAAAGCAAATTGGAATCGATGTGATAAATTAGGTCTTTTGAATCAAATAAGAAGAACATAAGAAACTAAGATTAATACTATATCGTTTGATTCTAACAGAGAACTTGATGACAATAAAATAATATGAAGGACTGAATAATTGAATTGCAAAAATTATAATTTTGCTTTATAGAGTATCATCAATTATTAAAATAGAGGTTGAATGAAAAAAATATATTGACATTAATAAAGTGTTGAATGTATTGTAAATAGAAAATTTACTAAAAATGATACTTTAGTAATTTTTTTCTTTGATAAACTAATATTTCTCTTAAACTATTCAATTATTCTTAGCATCCTTAATTTATGGTATTACAAAAAATTGTTTTGAATTTTCATTTAAGTTATATTAGAAATATGGAATGTTATTTTCTTAATAATTGAAAGTTAAAGCTCAGAATTATAAGTAATTCTTTGCTTAATTTTTAGAATTGAATTTTGTGAGAATTTAACTTGAATTTTTGACTAAATTTTACATTAGTGGAATAAAATGAGATTTCTTCTAATTTAATTGATAACTTTGGATTTACTCTAAATTGTCTTTATATAATAAATTTATCATAATTATAAATCAATTTGAAATTCCTCTAGCTAATTTTAATATCACTTTTGAATTTTCATTTCCTGTAGCTTTTACCATTTAAGCAAATTCAGTGTTTTTTGTAATTTCTGAGTCATCCGTTGAATTACACAACAACATTAAGGGTTTATCATATTCTATAATTTTGCCATCTTGCATAACCATCACGTAATCGTAATCTGCAATAGTGTTCAATCTATGTGCAATTGTTATAATAGTAGCATCAAACTTACTAATCACCAATTGAATAAGATCATCTGTTTTCTGATCCAAATTCGCTGTTGCTTCATCCAAAACAATAATCTTTTTTTTACTCAGTATAATTCTAACCAAACAAATTAATTATTTTTATCCAACAGAAAAAATAGAATTAACTTAAGTCATATCGGAATCAAGTTGTTTTGGTAATTTTCTGATGTATTCATCTAATGATGTTTATTGCAAAGCATCCCATAATTCTTTGTCTGTATATTCATTCAAAGGATCCAAATTTCTTCTAATACTTCCACTAAATAAAAATGGGCTCTAAGGGATTATACCAATCGAAGATCTTAATTGATGTAAACCTAATATTTATATATTAACATTATCTATAACAATTTATCCTTTCTCTATTTCAGACATTCTAAACATTGCTTATAAAATTGAAGACTTCCCTGCCCCAGTTCTGCCAATTATTCCTATTCTTTTTTTTTGAGGAATTTCAAAATTGATTCCTTTTAAGATTAAAGGAGTATTGTATCTGTATCTCAATTCAACTTATTCAAATCTCACCTCACCAATATTCGGCCAATTTTAAATCTATTCAAGATATTAGGGAGCTTCAGGTTTTAAATCAATAATTTCATACATTCTTTGGCAAGATGACATCATTGCATGTACTTATATCATCTGTCTCATACACCATTAAAATTAATCATTAAAGATTGTTAAAATCAGCAAAGCTTGCGAGAATACAGATTTATTTTCATACACTCCAATAACAATCATGGTGCCTATTACTGATGCAAGCCATCCTGATAAATGTACTTTATATCCAAAATTTGTTGAACACTAATAAAATGTAAAATTGGATCTAATGCAATTATTTGATAACTAGTTAAAGAATTATTTAAAATATTATTATTGTTTGTATAATTTTATCTACACGATTCCATTTAATGTATTCTTAAAGAAATCAAACAGAGGACTTTTTTAAATTGAATCGCATTCTTTAGTCTCTATAATTATTTTGTAAGATCTTGTTAATATATATACTTAAAAGCAGATTATAAAAAACATTACGATTACAAAATATGGGAGTATTGATATTAGAAATGCAATAGAGATGATAAAATAGGAGTTCAATTCGAAAACCTCCCATAATGATAAGTTCATTGTAAAATCACATAAACTTTTATCATTTGAAAATCGATTAAGTATCCTACCTGATGGATTTGTATCAAAATATGATATAGGACTTTGGCTTAATGAATTTATCATCTAATCATGAGTTTGTTTGGTTCCTGATAAAACACTAAAGGTGGTGATTCCATACTTTATTAAATTTAATACCAATGCTCCAATACACAACATTCCAATTAATAAAAAGAAGGAACCTTCATCTTCATATTCAGATATAAAGTAAATATATAATTATAATAGAACTTCCTAACCCAAATAAAATATTATCATAATGATTAATAAAAATGGGTATGACCATTATTTGAAAAATCTCTTATAAGTATCCAACGTTACTGGCTTAGAAGTTAGTTCTTCCTTTTTATATAAATCATTGTCTTATTTAGTTACATTGTTTATATATTACACCTATTATTCTTGTTATGAGAATGTATCAGTAATTAGATTTAAATGTTAGTTTACATCTTTAAATTCTCCACTTGCCATTATCTACCCTTCATTCATAATAATAATTTAATCACATTCAGGAGCAAACTAAACTTAATGCGTTACTAATATAATAATTCTTTGTTTAGCCAAGTGTTTAAGATTATTAAAAATAGACCTTGATACTTTAGCATCTACTGCAGATAATGGATCATCTAATAGATATACTTCAGCGTCTTCATATAAAGCCCTTGCTAAACTCAATCTCGCTTTTTATCCTCCTGATAATGTGAGCCCTTTTTCCCCTATCATAGTGGTATCACCTTTCTCCATATTTTAAAGATCCATAATCAAATTAGATTATTCTAGTACTTACTAGTATAAGCATTCATCCATTGGTCTTCCAAATAAAATGTTCTCCTTAAAGCTAGCTGGAAATATGAAAGGTTCTTATTCTACATAACCAACCTTCCTATTTTTAATATCTTCCCCATCTAATAAAATTGAACCAGTTGTTTTCGGCATCTCACCAATAATTGCATTCAATAATGACGACTTTCCAGATCCAATTTTTCCTATAACAGCATATAGTCCAATGTTAAATTTGAAAGACAATTTAATCTAGGGTTGCCCTTGTACATTCCAATATCCTTCAAGATTTTTTAGAACCAATCCCTCTTCTTTTGGTTGTTAATCTTATAGTGACTAAGTTTATATAATCTCTTCCATTGACAAAACAACTCTCATTCTTTCCAAAACTATTTTTAAATTTGCGATAAAATCTAATCCAAAACTTGACAAATTAACACAAAAAAACCTGGCAAAAGCAGCTAATTATAATGTTGATAACATTATAGACACATTAATTTCATAGAACCCTCCATAATGCATAATCATAAAAAATATTGCACTTGCCCACATTTGACTAAAGAAGGTGGTTCCTCTTAATATAACATATTAGAGATGAGTTAATATATAAGCAAAATGTTCTTAATGGGCTAGATTCCTAATACTCTTAATAAAGGACTACTCCCAAGCATACATCTTAATTAATCTAACACCCTCTATAAATTCATTTGTCAATTTGACTCGTTAATCTGCATATTCTTTAGTTTTCTTGACAAGTACAGTAATTCTATGAGTGAAAAATAATTAAATTGGGTAAGCCAGAAATAGCAGAGCCAACAACAATAAACCTTAGGGACCATCAAATCTTATCCATAAAATAGCAGCCGTCAATCCTAAGGCTATTGGTAGATTAAATACAACAAACATATAGATTAAGAAAGGTTCCAATAAATTTAAATCTGCTGAAATCATATTGATTATTTTTCCTTAATTAGTATTTTTTATCTGATAAGTGTGCAACTTAAAGATTTTATGATAAAGTATATTAGCCATACTCATTCTTACGATTGTTGAGTATTCATAGCCTATTGAATAGAATTAATGTTGACAAATGATAGATACTCCATTTAATAAGACCAATCCTATCCCATATGCATATTTAATTTTTAAGTCTTATTATATTGAATCTATTAGAGTAGATAGTAAAATAGATATTCCACATTTAGAGATTGAAAAAAGTGCTAATACAAATAAAATTAAGGCAAATTTTTATTTTTATTTTAGGAAAAATAGTTTGAAAAGAGACATCTTAGTAATATTAGAAGATTTTTAATTAAGAAGATTCTCAAGTAATTCAACTTGAATCTTCTAACTATCCTACACTGGAGGTGTATGTGAAAAGTTAAATTTAATGTCTTTGCTTACTATTTCAGAATATAGATTATTCATGTAATCTTAGACATTCAATAGGAATATCCTTTTGAAAATATTAGTTTCAGCATTCAAAGGTTTAGAGTAGAATTCTTCTTCATTAAGTATTGTGTTTAGGCTAGAAGTATCTAATTTGATGGTTTCTTCATTCTTTTACATAATTAATAATTTATTACTAAAATATTTTGCAAATTAAAAATTACAATGTTAGTTTTTAATATAATTTAATGAAAATTTTAAGTTTAAATAAATTTTCTGAGACATCAAGGTCTTTAATAGTTTCAAAGTTTATTCTGGTGATGTTAGAATTGATCATTACTTGTTAATGTTTAGGTGCTACTCATTAAAATATTTCAGCTGGAATTAGAGCAATTCCAACAGCTGATGAATATTCAGAGGCATAAGTTTAGTAATAATAAAACTAAATAAAGCATAATAATATTTTTGATATTGTGTATTCTATTTTAAGCAGCACAAATTGGGTTAAACATGTTAGCAATGAATATTCATTTTGATAAGGTAAATTCAGTTTTATGCATTTATCACTTTGTCGGAGTTTGGACATTTGTATGTTTTCTCTTTGATAGATGGAGACACAAAACTATAATGTATCTATGGGTGATATTCTGGTATTTATAATTATGTAAACTAAGTATAATTCCTTTTTTGTTTGAATTTCTGACATCTTTGAATGGGTATTACTATTATGGAATTCACGAACATCGATAGATGGAAGCCAAGAGACAAGCACTTTAGGCTGAATAACTAAAGAAGAAGAAATAAGAAGAAGATGAAGCAAAGAAATTGGAGGAGGAGAATTAACCACTTAATCCTTAAGATGGAATTTAAAATGCTATGTCTTAATGATATTTAATTTATTATATATTTATGGACATTCCTTCAAAATGTATTTCATTTAGTCCCAATTGGTTTTATCCACAGATTGCTTAAATGAATGGGGAGATACTGTGTTATGGAGTCAACGACTAAGTATTTGTTTATAATAGTGAAACCAAACACTTCAAATACACATTGCAAGGATAATAAAAAGTAACAATGTTGTATTTAAAAGATCAATACATATTTGTTGGCTAAGAGGGTGGGGTTATTACAATGTTTTAATAATAGAAATATTTGGGTAAGCTTGAATTCAATATCGAAATTCCTATGATATTAAAGGAAATGAATAATGAATATTTGCTCTTAGATAATAAGGGAATAGCATTAGGATTTAAATTGAATGATAAATTTGAATTGATTCATTTCGCATTGAAATTGATAACACAACCTCATTGCATTCCAAAATGGGGAGATGAGAATGTTGTCATTTACTAGAGTGGCAGGATGTATAGATTTGAATAAAAATCTGAATATGATTATCCTTATCATGTATTATGTGTTGATAGATTTAAAAATAAATACGGAGTGTTAAATAAATTGCATAAAGCAATTAGTCTACATGTATTTCAATTAGATTAAATAGATGAATGGAAATAAACTAATACCATTAATGAAAATGATATCTTCATTGAATTAAAATTTATCGTCAATGAGAAATTGCCGACCGATAATCTCAAAAAAGCATCTTTAAGCATTAAATTCTTAGATGATAAACAAATTTTTGTCACATCCAAATAAGGAGAGATCTTCTTAATTTAATTAACCAATCAGGTCAAATCATTAAAATTGGATGCAAATGTTATCTCTGATAAGCACTTCTATAAATTACCATAAGAAATTCATATAAAGGGTATATATTTAATGAATAACTACCTAAATCAATATTATACAGTAGGCTTGGATAGAAGAATATTTTCATTTCGTGTTGAAGATGGATAAATTGTCGATTATCACAAATTCGTCTGTTTGGCTGGTAAAGTCAACAAATTACAAATAGGGAAAGAAAAGAATTTAATATACTTTCATGATTAAACCTTAAAATCACTAGATTTAACAAAAAATAAATACCCTACTCACATCAATGAATTTTGGAAAATAACTGATTTCTCTAATTTTTATATTAGTCCATTTTAAGAAGGCATTGTGATGATTCAAAAAGATTAGAAGATTGAATTAGTTGATATTTATAAGGAATAATTACTAGACAAATATAATTCTGAAGATCCTATCGCAAAAATTGAGTGGCTAAATAAAAAATAAGTATTACTTTTATTAGATTTATTTGATGTTGAACAAATATAAATAGATTAAGAAAACGAATTACTAACTAAGCCTCATCAAATTTAAGATTATGTTTTGATCATTATGTTAACTGGTAGGATTTAACTTATTGATTTGTCAACAGGGTAAGTGCTTTTTAATTTTTTGATCTAATAAAAGATTAAATTATAACAAATAATTAAAAACAAAACATTTGATATCGTTACAATTAACATGAACAGCATATAATTTCTATTTAATAATGATAAATGTTATCTATTTTATATCTTTAATGGATATCATGTGTTCTATTATCAGAAACTTCATTTTGATACTAAACAAATTCATAATACAGAGATAAATTGCATTGATGTTAGTTTGTACAATAACAATATTTACTTACTTACTGGTTGCAATAATTAAACGATATCCATAAATGTAATACATAATGAAATTGTGTTATTGGGATATTTAAAGCATCGCTTCCCTATACAAAAAGTTCAATAGAGAAATGGTTTAATAACATCCTAAGCCAAATGTCATTAATCTTTGTAAGTTTGGAATGTCACAGAAATTCTATAAAGAATGATACCTAGTAGATAAACTCTTGAAGGATTGGAAAAGGCCAATATTCGAGGTCACAGTGGATTTTTGTTGGACTTTGTGTATTTCACTAATAATTTGGTTATTACAAGTACAATTATCTTTATAATTTTAGGTTCTGAAGATCAAACTATCAAGGTATTTGACATCGATCAAATTCAAAACAAAATGCCACCAAATAAAAAGAAAAGCAAAAAAAAAGTGAAATTAGACAATCAATAACAAGATTGAATTTATATAAATATATAATAAATGAAACATTCTTAATTAGTTCACCTACTGTCCAAATAACCTCAATCTATTGATTATTTAGGAGCCACTTAAATGAGCACTCCAAGAGCCAATTAACAATCATAATAAACTTTGACTTTACCACATAAGTAGACAATATTAAGTACGGCCTTTGGCAAAGAATAAAGATTATTGACAGAAGGAAATGAAGATCTTGATATCTAAGTAAACTAATTCAATGTAATAAGAAAATAAAAGATTTGCAAAATAGATTGATATCTAGATGCACTACGTTAGAATTCCTCATCTAAGTTATTACAACACAAAAAAATTAACTGAATAGTTTACCAACCATATAAAAAATTGAGTAACTCTTACTCTCAATTGTCAACACTATATAAAATGCTACAAAAAATGAAATTTAGATAGGTTTTTTAAATAGAGAATAAAAGAAAACGTCAAGTATACTGTTTTACTCATTTCTAGTGTTTAATAAATAAAAATTTAGGAAGGAAGCTGAATTATTTGATAGGAATAAATCATTACAATAAGAAGTAGAAATTAATTCTGGCAGAAATAATAAATTGATAGAAGACAATTTTAAATTATAAAAGTAACTAAAATAAGAAAAAAATTTAAACGAAATTAATGTCAAGAAAATAAATGCATTAGAAAAGAGAATCGAATTTATAGTCTCAAATGATATCAATATTTTTGAAATGAGATCAAATATAACTATTTTAATGAAGGAAAATGAGTAATTGAAAAGAGATTTAGAAAGGAAAAATTAAGAGGTTGAGAGAATTCAAGGGAAATTAAATTAATATCAATTGGTAGTAAGTAGATTATAAAAAACTATTGATAACTTAAGAAAAAAGAATGAGGATGATGAAGTAAGAGGATTGATTAAGAAGGATGATATCGAATTATTAATGAATTTCAAAATACCACAAAATTTAGATTTTAGAATAGTATGTTAGAAGTTAGATCATTAGAATTTATTAAATGATTTATGTGAGAAAGGGGTTGTTAACACGCTTTAATAAATATCTTAATAATCTTAGGAAGTTTAAAAATAATAAATATCTTATTATTGTAATCAACTTCTCTCATATAAGGACTTTTCTGAAAGATTGAATTAATTATTACTACTAATGGAAGAATTCAGTAATTGTTAAACAATTGAAGATTTGATTTTTAACGTAAATAGGTAGCTGCCATAAATATTTAAATGTGAGACAGCCAAGTTATGGTTGTTAGACACGAAAAATGGGTTACTATATTCTTATTTAGAAACTCGATAATAAATAAAGGCACTATAAGATAAAGGAATGGTAGCTGATACATTCAAATTGTATTAAGCGCAAAACATAGGTTAAAAACCAAAGAAAGCAATAATCTATAGAATAAATGAGAGTGAGTAACCAGAATTTGGAAAGAGTGCTTTGATATTACCCATATTTTGTATTGGATAAAATGTAATAAGAGGAAGTTTAATAATATTGAATTCGGAACAGGAGTAATTTTCTTTTGATGAAGAATACTTTGGGATTATAATTAGTAGTTTTTTGGGAAATATCTTATAGAGGTTGGTAGATAAGGAGAGTTGGCTAATAGCCTAAAAGTACAGAAGTTTAATGAACCATCAGTTAACAGATATTCTAAGATCCTAAAATAAGTAAACAGCAACTGAAAGAATTAAATTAAGTTTTAAGAGAATATTTGGATTTCAGATGATCAGATTCTATTTTGTGGAGAATGAACAGTTATTAAGTTATGAAAATCAGAAAGAATAGTAATTTTCATTGGATTATGGATTAGCAGGGATGGCAGCAAGGAATAAGCAGAGATACATTGTGAATGATATAAAGAGATCAGTTAATTTTAATCCGAAGGTTGATTTGACAACAATTTTGCCGATTTTTGTTTAGCCTTTATTAAATAAAGAGGATGTGGTGATTGGAGTGGTTGAGGTATAATTTCATATTGAAAGCTAGACATGTTTAAAGAACAAATTGTCAATTGACATCGAGAGGGAACACCTATTGTAAGTGAGTGAGAATCTATTTGGAATAGAGGAACCTTTAACAAGTCAATTATAGAGTTATGTGGAGTTATTGGCAGGGACTTTATCTAATATAAAATTTTGATATATAAAATGTGATTAAATTATTATAATAATAAAATAAAGATGTCTGATTAATTGGATAGTCAATACAAATTATAGGAGTAAGAGACATAATCTGGAAATAATATTGAATTGAGTAGCCCTTAAGGGAGCAGCAAGAAGAAGGGAAGAGCAAGAACAGCATCAGAAAGGACATTTAGTGCTGCAGAAACCTTGTATGGACGACCAAGAAATACGGGATCTATGATACTCTTGAGGACAGCTGATCAATTTAATAAAAAGGTTATTCATGATGTGATTAATCATTCTCCATCTAAATAACAATATTCATTTGCTAAAGCCACTAGATTCTCGAAACCTCGTTCCAGTTATTGTCAACAATAATTTTATGATTCTTAGTATTCCAATCTTTGTAATATATTAGGATTCGAACATCTCTTGGCAAAAGAACTTGCAGTTTCGGATTTGGTATAAAGTTCGATTTTGCCAAATTAACAGATAAGTATATTCCTCCTCCAACAGCTTATACAATAAAATCTAAACCTAAGCCAGTAACAAGATTTGGGTTTGGCAGAGAAGAAACAAAAGCTGTTGGGATATATGGAAATCCAAGTAAGAATCCTGCACCTAATACCTACACTCTGAAAGATACTTTCTCCAATCTTAAATTTTCATTTGGAGAAAGAACTAAAGCCAAACGTATGACATTCTTCTAATCTAGACATCTATTTGGAATCTACAACTCCATCTCCCTGTGCCTATAATGTTGGAGGTATTAGCAAAACAGGAAATTATTTCAATTCCAAATACTAAAGCAATCGTGCTCCATTATTCTCTCCATCCTCTAATAAATCTGTCAGAATCATTAAAACTCCTGGACCTGGAACTTATGATCCACCAGGGAGCATTGCAGATCTAAGATTGAAAAGCAGTTCAGGATTCAGTTTTGGTGCATCAGAAAGAAAAACCATTTAAATTCGTAACAAAGTTTGTAATTGAATTCAATTTCATAATTTTAGTTCCTGGACCTGGGACTTATTAATTACCATCAGAGTTTGGTGATGTTGAATATCCAGATTGATAATCATTATTAATAATCAATAATTATAAATCATTTTCACATATGTTAACATTAACTCAAATGGATGAAATAATCAAATTAACAGAATAACATATGACTGATTGTTAAGTCAATTAAGATTTCAAAGAAGCAAAAGAAGTCAAATCTAAAATATTGTAAATGAAAACCATTCGAGATCTTATTGAAAGAGAAGAAATTCAGGAACAATTTAATATTGGAGAAGACAGAATTCTTTCCTAAATCAAGTAACAGATTGATGAAGTTAACTAATACTTTACTTAATTATTTGAAAAATTTAATTATTAGAAAAGTTAGGCACTTTAATAGTTATGGCATCAATAAAAAATATCATAATAAAAATCAGTCTTTTATAAAAGATAAAAAAATGCAGAATACTAAAACCTATAAAAAATTATGACATATTTGTCAAATCAGAAGGATTTCAAAAAGGCTGAGTTATATCAAGTCTATCTAAAAGAAGCAAGTTAAGATCATATGCGAAGAACTCAATCCGAATAAAGGTAAACTCAAGAAACCCAATAGAGAGTGCTTAAATAGAAACATGCACATTAAGAGGAAGTGCTACTTAATAAATTTAATGATCAAGAATAATTAATTAAGCTAGAAATGAATAAAAAGCTATAGGAAATAGAATAAAAAAAAATCAACCAATTATCTCAATTGTAATTTGAGAGGAATCAAAAAATTTCTCAACTTGAAAAAAGTAGAACTAAGGTTATAAAAGTGCAAGTCCAATAATAATTAGAGGAGATGGAAAAATGTGGCTTTATCTTAAAATGAACTTGTTATTAATGTATTAATTTTTATTTTGTTATTATTTAAATTTCATTTGTATATCTGTATCATAAAATATTATTGACTAAATTATTTATATTAACTCATCACTATATTAGCATATATGTTTGCAGAAATCAAATTAATCATCTTAAGTTCATTTTAAGAGAGATTGATAGACTTTTTCAATTAATAACTATAATTTGTATTTGTGTCTAGTGTATTCAACAATTTACCAAGCTAATACAACATCTTACTTTATAGGAACTATTTATCAAACAATATAATTTTATATAGCTTTAATTAAATATAACAGTTCTTTTTATTATAAATAGATCGTTTTGTGATGTTCTTTCAATCTACTGATTTTAGAGCAAATATTTAGATTAATTAGGTAGCATCTGAATTCTCAACAATTATAATTAAAAAAATACTATAGATGCTAAATTTATGGAATATATTTAATTAAAAGGTCTCTTTAAAATTCTTAATTACTATCAGGATGATATAAGAGGTAGAAATAAAGAAAAGAAATATTTCAGAAATAAATATGAAAAAATTTATGATTTTATTAATTAATATCCTTAGAATTGGTAACGTATAATAAAAATGAAAAAATTAGAATAAAAACAATTAATATAATAAATTTCATTTAATTATTTTTTTAGCTGCATTAACTCCACTTTCATAAGCTCCATGAATTGTTGAATAATAAATAGGATGATAAGCTTCTCCTGCAAAATACAATCTATTCTAATGAGGTGCAGAGATGATTTATCTATAGTTATCATCAATTCCTGCCATGGGAAATGAATACAAGCCTTCGATAAAAGGTGTATTACCCCAATCTTCATAGTGATAAGAGATCACTTTCAAATCAACTTTGTATTAATCATTTATTGTTTAAACAATCTCTTTAGCAAATTCTTCATTTCCTATTTCCATAACTCTATTATGAGCACTTAATCCCAATAATCCAATGATAATTGATTAATTTTCACTTGAACTATCCCACCATAGGGAATTGTGATTAAATTTAGGTAAAAAGAAATCCTCTTCATGCTCTAAAAACTTTTTATCTAATTTAATGAAAAATTTTCCTCCTTTATCCATTCCAACCAGATTAATTTACTTTATTCGAGATTCTTCAAAAGGAGGGTCTACTTTCAATTTCTTAAGCTGGGTTATAGGAACACAGCAAACAGCATAATCAAATAAAAACTCATTTGGTTCATTATTTACTTATACTTAAACTTTTTCATTAGTAATTGATATTGATTGTACTTACTTATTATATTCAATTATTTATATAGCTTCTTTGAAGAATTTATCAAAAATGTTTTGGTGGTGAAAATTATTCTCAATTTCATAATCAGATACAAACATAGGCATATCGAATTCATATCTTCCAATAGCCCTGGCACCTATTTTTTCTATAGAAGCTCCATATTCACTACCATATAAAGCATAAAATAAATGAATAAATTCCATATTATATCCTTTTTTTTACAATCTTTACAAAACTGGCTCATCCTCTAAAAATCTATCATTTATGAAATCTTCAATTGATTAAGATTCTTTTTCATAGAGATCTTCAAATTCATTAAAAGTAATGACTTTTTTTTGGATAGGATCATAAATTGATCCAACCAAATCTCCTCCTATTTCTAATTTAGCACCTGCTTCAATAGCCATTTTATAGTAATCATTATCTGGATGATGGATTGTTTATCCTCCAGCCTCTAAATGCCTATCACTAAATCCAATTAAGGGTTTCACTCTTCCCCCATATCTATTTGATGCTTCAAACAATTTGACATTATAACCCTATTTAATCAAGTGTTAAGCACAAGCTAATCCAGCAACTCCTGCACCAATTACTAATATATTTTAATTCATAATTTTGTTAAATATTCTTTGATAATTTAAAATAATAATTCTGATATTAAAATATATATAAGACTTTCATTATTATTCGATTTTCACATAACTTAGATTTCCATCCTCCCACAAAATAGCAAATCCATAATCATCAAAAGAACAATATTTTATAGAATTTTTCTCAACCCAATCTTAACCCTACCAATTAAATTAAGTACAATGTTCTGGATCCTTGCCTTTTGATTTTTATAAGTATCCTTAAACCAAAGTTGGGAAATGGAATTTATAAACAACAAATTAATTATTTGGATCAATCAGCAAACTTAAATTCTTTAGTAAAATCAATTATTAAAGTAGATCCTAAGCAGGCAAACTAATGCATAAATTTATTTAGTACTTTGTTATGTTGGATGGAACTTTAATAACTTATTTTTGTTAATTATATGATTAAACTTATCTAATGTTTATTAAAACAACTTAATTTCCTTAGGTGTAATTATACAAGTTCGAATTGATATCAACATCTTAAGCTATTAACAATTAGTTCTCATCATAAAAATCTAGCGCAACATTTTATGGAAAAGCAAAGCCTTATGATTACAGATGGTTCAATATCTTTAAATATAGATTAAACTATTTACTTCAGTTATTATCATGTCCGGCAGTGCTTATTAAAGTATTTATTATTCTCCAAAAAAAATACTAACAAGTGGTTATATTTAGATAATTGTGAACGAACATTAATTTTGTTATATATAGTATGCAATTGATGTATTGTCTTTTGGGTTTAAAGGTGATTATCCATCACATGATAAGGAACATTGAGATATATCAATTAGGTTTTACTGTAAATATTGATACATATGTTCAATAGTATATTCGGGGCGAAATGGTAGAGGTGGAATTTATATTCCAATTTATTATCCATCGAAATATATGTAGCTCATTATTAATAATATATTAATAGAATTGGATTGGAATTTAAATTATATATATGTGAATAAATTTCATTTAATCTATTAAAGTGAATTTAATATCTGAATAATTCTATTAAAGATAAATATTTTGATTATAATTATTTAGATGGGATGTCTAATATATATTTTAAAGTATCATAATATTGAAATACTTATATATGATTGTAAATACAAGGAAGAAAGTATATCTAATTCTTTCGACAAAACTCTAACACTAATTATTATAAATATTGATATAATATTATGAGAAAATTTATATCAAAAAATCCAGCCACTAAGGAGGTAGTATAGGAATTCAATTTTCTTAGTGATGAAGAGTTAAAGCAATTAATTCTATAATCACAATAAGGATATGAAATCAATAGGAATAGCTCGTACTAATTGAAAGCAAAGAAATTATTGAAGTACATTTGTTATACAAATTAATAGGCTATCTGATTTATTGAACGAAAATTAAGAGAAATATGCAAGATTAATATCATAAGAGGTAGGCAAACCAATATGTTAATCAAGAGCAGAAATAAAGAAATCAGCAAATTATTGCAAATATTATGCTGAAAATATCGATAAATATTCACAACCTCAAATAGTGATAACTGAAGCTAAAAGTAGTTATGTGTAATATTCACCTATTGGAACCATCTACTCGATATCTCCTTTCAATTTTCCATTTTGGTTATGTAAGACACCTTGTATATTAAGGTTTTAAACCAATTATTCCAATGTTGGTAGTTGGTAATGCAGTAATCCATAGACCTTCAGATTCAACAGGGCTTTGCGGAATGGCGTTATAGGAGTTATTTATATTAGCTGGATTCAATGAAAATATATTTTAGAATGCATTTACAACTGCTTAATAATTAGAATAAGTGATGGCTCATCCTTAGATATAAGGTGTGTCATTCACAGGTTCTACAGCTGCAGGTTCAATAATAGGAGCTACTGCTGGTAAACATTTAAAGAGAAGTGTCTTGGAATTGGGAGGATCAGATCCATTTTGTGTATTGTAAAATGCAAATGTAGAATTAGCAGTTTAATTGGCTCTTAAATCAAGAATAGCTAATTGCGGATAAGTGTGCTTTTCTGCAAAAAGATTCATAGTTCATTTTCAATATTATGATATTTTTAAAGAAAAATTAGTAAATGCATTGGAGAAACTAAAAATTGGTGATCCTTTATTAGAGACAACTGAATTAGGTCCGATAGCAAGAGAAGATTTAATTACAAGTCTTTTGCATTAAATTAAGATGGGAGTGGATTAAGGAGCAAAGATAGTTTATGGAGGTACTAGATTAAAGGAGAATGAAAATTTTATGTTGCCAACTGTCGTAGAGGTGGATGAGAAAAATATATTGGTAAAAGAGGAGACATTTGGACCATTATTTGCTTTAATAAAAGCAAATAGTAACGATGAGATATTGAGAATTGCAAATAACACATCTTATGGATTAGGTGCAGTAGTTGTTAGCAATGACAAGTAAGAGATTGAGTAATTTGTGAATCATCTAGAAGCAGGAATGGTGTTTGTGAATGAAATAGTCAAATCAGATTAAAGATTACCATCTGGAGGTATCAAAGGATCTGGATATGGAAGAGAATGTGGTGAATGGGGAGTCTAGAACTTTGCTAATATTAAGACAGTTTGGATCGAATGAATTGTTTCAATTATATTCATAAATAAAAGAATTAGAATTATAATTTTTATTGACTGGCTCTGATAACAAATATTAATAATAATAAATAGAGTGTTTTTTCTTACAAATTAACATAATAATTATAAATTTGGTAATCTTGTAATTTTTAATTTCAATTATTCCTTATTCATGTATATTAAGATGGGAATTTCTTGATCAATATTTAGTAAATCCTTATTATTATTATTAATTTAATTTATATTAAAATGCTTAATTAATATCTGAAATTACTTCACACATAGTGGGAATAAACATTTAATGATGATTTATCAGATACACTTAGAGAAGATCCAAAATTATCCTTATAAAATTAATCCATTATAGAATTTGAGTTTATTTCATTAACTAAATCAAAAGTTGAAAATCAATGGGAATATGAAAACTTTTTCAACAAAAAAAGGGAATTCTCCTTTCTTTTTCAACTTACTTACTTTATAAATGCTGTTATTCAAGGATTATTATTCATATACGTCAAATTATTTTAGGTCAATAATAACACACTAATAATTTATTATTTTTTCCATCCTCTTAAAAAATTGCTATTGAAATCTATCATAGGATTGTTTGGACAATCTACTTTATGAATATGATAAATTATCAGAAATCAATGAAATTGTCAAATAAATTCTATTTGAAGTCTGTTATGAGGTTGGAAGCAATGTGATTATTTTTGTAAAGAAAATGATGTAAAATAATGATCAAAAACCTTAATAATATTAATATATCAAGCCATTCATTAAGTTATAAATATTAATTAAAACTTATTATACCCTTAAATTTTAAGAAAAAATTAAATATAAGGCCTTTGATTTATTAAATTTTATTAGCAAATACTTTGTATTTCACCTATTTACAGGTTATAGATATCTAGAAGTTTATTGAGTTAAATGACTTATTTTAATACTGTTTCTTGCAAAACTCTAAGCAACTTCAAGAATTAAGTGATATTGAATAATCTTAGGAGATTACATATTTTTAAGTATACTCGTCATGTTTAAAATAAAATTATCGATAAATTTAATACATTTAAATTATAGAGTAAAACTTGTGGAAATGGATTTATCAAATTAAAGAGGATAGTGATATTAATTATTACTTAATTTTCATTTATTTGTTATAAGTAACCGAGTTTGTTGATAATTTCAAATTGGACACAGAATTAATTTAAATTAGAAGTCAATCAATAATGAAATTGATGTAATAATAGAATCATAAAGTGGTTGGTCATCTGCTCAAATAATTTTTATATAATCCAAAATTATACTCTTATTTTATATATTTTTGATTTGATTGTTTAAAATTCAAACTAAGAAACCAAATTATCTTATTATCTATTAATTGGACAATAATTATTATAGTTGAACGACAACAATAAAATATTAAATATATACATTGATTTTCATGTAAAGGAATTAAAGCACTTTGTTCATGACAATAGTTTAAACACTGAACAGCTTATTCAATTTATTATATACTTATGTAAATACTAACATCAATTTAATGAAGAACAAAAGATAGAACTCAATTCTTCTATTATTCAATATTATACAGAAGAAATCAAAGATCAGTATTATTATAAGATATTTGATCATAAACTTTTGGAACTAATTGAGAATGAATCAATTTATTAGAAAATAATCCATATTGCTATTTCAAATTCCTCTAAATCTTTGCAGCATAGTTATGGTTTCTTAAATTTCATATAGTAAGTAATAATTACTGGCATTATTTTAGTCTATATAACAGAACTCTGGATGCTTTCAGCATATTCTAAAATATATTTCAATTTTAATGAGATCATGCAAGAAAAATAAGAAAGGAGAGTATAAAAACAACATAAATTATAAAACGGGTATGGGAACCAAGATTCTCAATTATTTATTGTCAAATTTAACAAAGTTTACTGAAATAGTATAGACTATTTACTATTCTATAATCAAGGCTTCTAATACAAATGTTGGATAATATAGAACATATACTGAAATCTATCATAAAATTACTTATATAATTTACATGATATTTTGGTTGATCGATGAGAAAGAGATGTTAAGATCAGATCCCATTTAATAACTTTGTTTAGAATTATGCTATATTCACTATAAATTCACAATAAATCTTATTATTGTACTTTAAAATGCTGGCATTCTCCAATCTAATACACTCTATTAAATAATTAACAACATCAATGTTATTGCTTATGGATATGATTATATCATTTAAATTAAGGATATGTACTTTGATAGGAATGAGAATTTATTGAATACTTCAGATCTATTTTCGAAATTAAATTAGAGATAAGTTTTATTGAAGTTAGTCTATAACAAATTCTATGAAACAAGTTTAAGTATTTTATTCGAAGTGCCTAATATACAAATCAATAGAAAATTCTATTTATAGATGCTAAAATTGTAATTAGAAACATAAATTTCCCTTGTCCTTTCTTTTTTGGATTTCTATCCTAAATTTATTTTCTATTTCAGATTAGCAAGAGATCCAGAAATAATAAGGTTAATGCAGTAATGCATAGTCAGAGTGATTTCGTTGAATTAAGATCCTCAAATAATTAAATAATTGTTTGAAACATTAAGTCAATATTAATCCACAATATTAATGAATGATTTAGATGATTTGTAATTAGATGCTTACGAATAAGATGAAATTAAATAAAAAGTTATCGAACGTGTAGTTATCTAAAGGGTGAGC